CTTTCTTTTCTTTTTCAGGCTTACCCTTAGTCTTGACCTTGGGCTTTGCACGTAATTCAACCCCTTTCTCAACTGGAGGTGTTCCGGCAACAAGGTCATACAAAGACGTTTCCTCATCACCGGGTTCGATCAAAGACGGAGCTGAGACCTTAGATGGCACGTTGAAACCATACTCTTTAAGTCTCGCAAGCTGTGTAGCATCAAGCTTGTGTACAGCACGATTCACGTATGATGTGATGCTCCATCTGTCACCCTTCCAGGGACGGACGCAGTGGTACGTCTTGGGATCAAACGTAAGCATACGATGCTTGGACTTGTGAACTTTGCCTTTCAGCTTACTGCCGTCAGGCGTGCGAACAGAAGCATAATCTTTGTTCTCCCTGCTGATTTCCTCATCATGAATCCAAAGTTCGCCTCCCTCGAAGTCACCCAAACACATAGTGTTATTCTTATGTTCACGATGATTGTGAGCATCTTTGTGCACCTTGACGCTGGACCCGTGATTAATGCACAGTGAAGAGCTGGGGCCCTTGGCACCATGATGTTTCAGATACTCATTGAGGAACTTCATTAGCTCCTTATTTTGGTGACTGCGGTTAGTGATGCCTTGCATCCCGCCGTGTGAGAAGGCTCCGAGCACAACATACTCGGACTTCTTAGAGGACTTTGGGTCCTTGGCGATGATAGACCTCTGCTTCTTAGAGGCCTTGAAAGCTACCTTGTTTAACAAGGAGTAACATGATGCATGTGAGAAGTCGCCAGACTCTCGAAGCTTCTTTGCGATAGCCTCGGATGATTCTTCCGGCGCTGGCCTTCCGGCCGCGGAGGGGCTTTCAATGATCTGCGTCTTACCAGGACCGGACGAGGCCCGACGCGCAGGGACGCTGATGTTTTCATGCCAGGACTTCAAGTACGGCACGTTATCTTTAACGTCCATATAGACCTTCTTCCCTTCGGGAGTCTTAAGGTACGGTCGTGAATTAGCCCTCCAGATGAAATCGAATCCCTCTTCCATGCATCGCTGTCCTATTGAAGGGACAGATGGGGTATCAGGAAGAACATATGGTTTGACCTCAATCCCAATGGAGTCAACAGAAACATCACACTGTTCTGAAGCGGAGTTTGGCCCATTTGCAGTCATCATTTGAATGGGCGCAGGTGACTCGTAGGCCTTAGCCTGCCCAAGCTCCCGCTGGGCGATGAGATCTTGCGCACTGCCAGTATCAGCAATCCATTCGATGCACAGACACGGCGATTTGCTGCTGGCGGGTGCGGCACAGTTGAACTTCAAACCAACCGGGATGCAATGTTTGCATCCAAACTCAGTGTTGCACTTGAACTTACACTGCGGTCTACAGCCCTTGACCTCATCACTGACAACAGCTTGCAACATCTTAGCGGTTACCTGAGCTTCCTTCACGGAATCAGGATCGGCTTTCCAATGGCTGTTGGCGGGATATACTTGGCTATACTCCCTTGGCTTATTGCGATCATCGAGGGGGTAGAGGCCATTCCCTTTCGGAATTTGGTACGTGAAACTTTCAGTAGTGTCATTGAATGACACTGCGGCCAGTGCGACATGACAGTGCGGGGTGCAAACATCGACATTGCTCAACATATCCTTCCGGAACGTGAATGCATCGGCTTGGGCTGCTGAGCCAGCCAACATTGCTCCCAATAAGCAAACTGCAGCGGGAACGGAGGGCGCACCACCCTTGCGACCTGAGCCACGCGAACCTTCGAGCCTTGGCTAGACTTACTTGATTTTCGGCTGCCGCTCTTTGAAGAGCTCTTGGAGCTAGATCTGGAGCCTTTGCGGCCCTTACCACTTTTCTTCTCTTTCTTCTTGTGCTTCTTTTCCTTCTTCTCGCCGCTGCTCGCTCGTGCACCTGAGCTGCCCGGGGCGGCTGCAGCAGGTTGGCCGTTGTGGAGGAAGTTACACTTGTCTCCACGATTGCAAACTCCTTGCTTAAAGAATTTGCATTCCTGCTTTTTGCCTTTACCTTTCCCTCCCGGGCTAGGGGTTCTAGTAGGCGTACGACCTCCGGCAGGAGTGTGAGAACGCCCCCTAGGTTGTTGGTGCTTGTACGGGCAATTGTCTCTCTTGCAACTTCCGGTCTTGACCCAATCAACGCAATACCCTTTGGGAATACGCTTAGGGGCCGGTGCGGCAGCAGGCGCAGTAGGTACACCTGTTTGCCGAGCAATGCGCTCGCGGTTCTTCTGCAATCGCTTGCGTTTCAAATGATTAGCAACCGCGTTATACAGGAACTGATAGGACCTTTGCTCGCTACCTTCCAGTGCGCGTTCATAGACCTGGATGTCGTGATCGATATCCTTGCACTTCTTCACCTGTCTATGGAACAGGGGTTCAAGCACGCTGTTGTCTGGAGGATTGGGAATCCCTGATAGCACCGTATCCCAGTTTCTAATGAAGGTGGTGAGGTTTTCGTTGACCATGATGCAATTCATCAGGTCCTCCATGTCATACACAGAGCCATGGAGTGCATTGGTAGCAAAGTGGTTGTGAAGACGACACAGCAACTGTCTTCCTCTCACCAGCCTTCCGGCGTGAGCTTCGGTCTCCTTGAAGGTATCAGTCTGCCTAGCGAAATCACCCTCAAGGATATTGGTGAGCCCAGAAAGGATCTTGGCATCCAAGGTGCTAAACCCCTCCGGGTCGCGAAGCTCTTTCTCGTCGGCGTCCTTCTCCCAGACCTTACTGAGCCAGGCATGCGCCTTGTCAGGCGAATCCGATGCAGCGACAATGGCTTCACGGACCCTTATGCGCCAGTTTCTATACTGCTCAGGCTGGGGAAACTTGGGAAACACGACTTTCTCAGCCTCTTTAACCTTGGGTTTGGTACTCGAGGAACCCTTTTCTTCATCATCATCCTCTTTATCAGACTTCTTAGATTTCACCATCTTCTTGAGCATCTTCAGAAGAATCTTGTTGTCGATGGAAGAAGACGATGAATCTGACGACTCATCTTTCTTGTGCTTTTTGGATTTCTTGCTCTTTTTCTCCTTCTTACCGCTCTTTTCAGGCGCTTCAAGTGGTTCGCCAGGAGGAGTATGGATCGGAAAGGGTCCTAGACCAGGAGGCCCGGCCTGTTCCGGTTCATTGCCCAATGGGTCAGCTTTGGCTCCCGCCAAGCGTGTTCTTAGCTCGGCATTGTCCTTTTGCAGCATCTCCATGTTGAGGGCTTGAATCCTCATCATCTCTTGCATCTCACCTTTGAGGCGAGAGAGCTCGTTGTCACGAGCCGACACGTCGGCTTGATTAGCCTGCAACCTTCGATTAGCCTCGGTTTCCACCTGGGCGACAACATTCGCAGCTGTCTGTTCAGCGGATAGGAGGCGCTGCCTTAGCTGCTCAGCTTCAGCAGCGGCTGTTTCAGCCTCAATTTGGTACTGGGCTACGGCCTGCCGACCAGCATGGATGTTTTGATTAGCCTGTTCTTCAAAGGCTCTGGCTTTTGACTGCAACTGTGCATGCTCAAGCCTCAGCTGAGCGACTTGACTCATGGCACCTGTTTCCAAAGCGAGAATTTGCTCCCTGTTTTCGCTTTGGATGTTGCGAACGGCTTCAGCATGTCTTGCATTTGCTGTGTCCATAATCAGTGCAGGATCCGCACTGATCAGAACGTTTTGCTGATGCTGATACAACTGATTCACGACAGTTGGAACGGAGGTGTGCGATGGAGGCACCGGAGAATAGCCTACGACTGTGGGTGAGGGCTGATGTGTCAGCGACGCTCGCGATGGCACGTATGCTGGTTGAGGTCCAAGGGACCCAACATGCGAACGTAGCGTCTGCTCAGTGAGAGCTACCCGACCCTCCCGGGCGGTGACAACCGGAAGCTCTGCGCCCAGATTCGATCTCGAGCGGGCGGACTCCGTGTCGTCATCACCTAGTTCGGAGATAGGCACACCTGCAGGATTTGTGGGAGCTGTGGTGTCCATTGCACTACGAAGAGCTATACAAGCTACGGCTGATAACCTATTGTTAACAGCAGGACGCACGAATCCTTTTTCATACTTGAGCCATACAGTAGCAACGAGTACTAGCATACAAACAGAGTTAAAACAGTTTTTGGGGTTTTAGTGGTTTTAAGGGGTTTAGGGGTGTTAGCAGGTTTAGGGGTTTAGGGGTTTTAGTGGTTCTAGGGCTTTAGGGGTTGAGAGTTTAGGGGTTAGGGGTTTGGGGGTTTAGGGGTTTTTGGGGGGTTTAGGGGTTTTAGGGGTTTAGGGTTTAGGGGTTTAGGGGTTTTAGGAGGCTTTTGGGTTTTAGGGGTTTAGGGGTTTAGGGGTTTTAGGGCTTTAGGGGTTTAGGGGTTTGGGGGTTTAGGGATTTAGGGGTTTGGGGGTTTAGGGGTTAGGGGTTTAGGGTTTAAGGGCGCACGGGTTTAGGGAGCTCTCTCTCTGCTTTAACAGTAAAAGGCAGGGTTTGATGTTGAGGGTTGAAGGTTTTAGAGTTTACCTGGACCCTGAAAACCTAGTTGTTCGCGTTCAAAGGTCTTGTATTAAGCTCTATTACCAATGTCTCACTATGCATGTTTATGTATTTCTGGGTTCAGGGGTTAGGGGTTTAGGGTTTAAGGGTGTAAGCCTAAACTGAACTCCAGAATGCAAAGCCCCAGAACGATAAATCCTCAAATCCCGAAACTCTAAACCTTGTAATTCTTTATGGTGCCGTGATCACTTACTTACATCCCTAAATCCTTATAACTCTTTGTGGCACCATTACAACTTACTTACATCCCGAAGCCCTAAACCGCATAACTCTGCATGGTACCATTATAACTTTCTCACATCCCTGAACATTATAACTCTTGATGGTACTACAGCTCACGTACAGCTCTCCTTCGTAACTAGACTGAACGTAGAACACTAGCAAAAATTGTAATTTTTTTGCTGTTTTTTAGGGATTATAACAACAAAAAATCAACATTATTTCTAAGTACCCCTAAGAAACCCCAAACCCTAAACCCCCCAACCTGCTCCAGCGTTGGCCCCCCCTTTGGCGGCGCGGCGGGGGCGGCGGCACTGGGCGCAGCAGCCATCTGCTGTGGAGGCGGCGCACCTGTTCGGGTTTAGGGTTCAAGGCTTAGGGTTACAGTAAACTCCATAAAGTTGGAAACCGGATAAAGGCCAAATAGTGCTGGGTTCTCCTATAAATTGCTCTTAAGGATTGAGGCTATTGGGTTTCCAACTTTTTGGCTTCTACTGTAAGTTTTGGGGCTCAGCGTTCCATGAGGGTTTAACAAGAGTTCAATAAGGCTTCTTGCAAGGCTTCTATGAAGGGGATGTAAGCTTGAGCTTCTTTGAAGCTTAGGGTTTGGGGCTAAAGAGCTGCTCAAGGCTCTAAGATGCTCTGAGGTTGTAGGGTTTAGGGTTTAGGATGTTCTGCTTTGGGAGCCGCTGTTTCGTCTTCGATGGTCTTGAGTTTAGACTTGGGGAAACGGCCTGAAAGCCCTTCCGGCCGAGATCTTCTTGACATGGGTGGATGTCAAAATTTGGGTCCCTTTTTGGTACCCTAAATAATAGGTGTCGTACTATATTAGGGATCCAAAAAGGGACCATAACTTTGACAACTACCCACATAGGCTACTGTAACTGTTAAGGCACTTGATGCCTGTGCTATCGTAGCTGAGGTTCCGTGATATAAACCAAGATTCCGAGCCTCGAAGCCACTCCGAATCATGGGATGCATAACTGCCAGACTACGACGTTTTCGTCTCCTTGCTGTGGTTGACAACTGGATGCTAGCACCTGGCTCCGTACATCAGTATCTGTACGACGACGACAACGAAAATTCCGACAACCACTACCACCGCGACAAGCTCCCCTCCGCTAGTCACACTGCAACGGCATGACTGAGCCCAGGTCAAGACACATCATCAAAACAAGTCATCCTAAATCCAAACTCAATCTAAACCCTAAACCCTAAACCCTGAACACTAACACCCATAAGACCCATAAGACCCTGAACCACCCTAAGCATCAAAACCCACAAAAACCCTAGACTACTAGACCCTAAAACCCAGAACCACCCTAAAACACTAAAACCCTTAAAACCATCATAAACCCTAGAAACCTTAACCCTAAAACCCAAAACCCTAACCCTAAACCATAAACCCTGAAAACCCTAACCTAGCTGCCTCCTCCCATAGGCATCGGCCCACCAGATCGGCCACCGATGCCACCCGAGCCGTACCTGGGTCCAAGGCGTGAGGAATTGCAGGACAACTCCCAAGGTTGAGGGTCTGGAGTTTAGGGTTTAGGGTATAGGATTTAGGGTTTTAGGGTTCAGAGTTTAGGGTTTAGGGTTTAGAGTATAGGGTTTAGGGTTTAGGGTTCAGAGTTTCGGGTTTAGGGTTTAGGTTTGGGGTTCAGGGTGTAGAGGTTAGGCTTTAGGTTTGGGGTTTAGGGTGTAGCTCTCTCTAGGATGAAAGGCAAGGCTTCCGATCTTACTGCAGTTTCTCCACCCGGTAAACCGGCGCCTGCTGCGGTGTCCTACATATCCCCTATGCTGAACTTAGAACCCTAGCAAAATTGTAGTTTTAGCTGTTTCTTAAGGATTATAATAACCCAAATTTTAGAACCCTAGCAAAAATTGTAGTTTTAGTTGTTTCTTAGGGATTACAATAACCCAAAATTAAAACTGATTTCTAAGTAGCCCTAAGTCCCCCCTGAACCCTGAACCGAGTCTCTGTAGGGCCTTGGATTTGTAGCTACGCAGGGTTAAGGGTGCTGGGCTCGGGGCCGAAATTTTGATTCCAGATTCCCAAGCACTCTGGAATTAACGGCGTGGGGTCTCAAGGTTTGGGGATAGAAGGGTTTTCAGGATGTTGCGTGTAGGGCTTCGGACGTTGAAGTAAAGCTGACATCAGCTTCTGTAGTCCTTGATGCAAGATATCAAGACCTGAGTGGGCTACAGTGCGCAGACCTGAAAACAAGTCATCTAAGCAAAGTGCAGAAACCGACGCCCTCAACCCGGCGACCAGCTGGACTCTCAACTGCAGCACGGCGACATTTGTGACTCAGATGGCATCATCGGCATCGGAGTGGCCTTGTGAAAGCTCCCCGGTAAGATGGTTCCTCTTCCGGGCCTGCCCCTTGTAGCTACATTTACTTTCGCGCTTAACCTTTGATTCGCAACAATCACCTGGAACCCTAACCCTAAAACCTCAAGCCCCTGAACTCTCAACCGCAAGCCTGCAAATCCCGAAACCCAGAACACTGAACCCCCAAAACCCCTAGACCCTTAGACCCCTGGGTAGTTGTCAAAACTAAGGTCCCTTTTTGGGTACCCTAAATATTAGGTGCCGTACTATATTAAGGACCAAAAAAGGGACCCTAATTTTGACAACCACCCCCTTTCTTTTGGAGGGTTCCTTGAAGGGTGCTTACTTGAGGGCTCAAGGTTTAGTTGCCTTAGCTTTAGACCCCTACAGTAGAAGCCAGAAAGTTGGAATATCATTATCGTAACCCCTTTAAGGTAAATTATAGGGGATCCTACCATTAATCCCTATTCCAACTTTTACACCCCTAGACCCCTAGACATACTTTTATAATATATGATATAAGAATAGTAGTAATGTTAATTTGTATATTTTCTATAAAAAAACAGTATCCCTTACTGAACCCTAGATCCGAAACCTGCCTCCGAAAGATGAACGCTCAAACCCAGCGACCCGAAAAGACCTGAAGCCCTAAACTTAACCTGGACCCTAAGGAACCTATCTTTTTAAGGACTTGTATCAAAAAATCATATTAAGGAGCCCTAAAAAGGTAGGGGTTTTAGGGTCCAGGTACTGAAAAGAACCAACGAGACATGTCTGAGTCTTCAGGTTTAAGCCTTGGTTGGATGGTTGAAAAATTTTCGGTTTAAGGTTTGCGGTTCATGCTTTGGGTTGGGGTTTAGGGGGATCTCGGGGGTTATGCAAAACGTCTGTGGGCCATCCTCCCGAGAAGCACGCCAAGATGCATGACAAAGCGCTTTCGAACGCTTTTTGTCCCGGTGTAGGGGTTTAGGGTGTGGGGCTTTTGGTGTTTAGGAGATTAGGGCTGCAGAACTTGTGGCGCGAAGGGATAATTTCCGCATGTATGGTTCCCGGGGCTCCGTGTCCTTTTCAAAAACGACAAACCTTACACCACGCCATGGTGGAAAACAACGAGGAACGTGCAAACAGGGACCTGGGGATAAGCATCCATACCTTAACCCCACGTAACCTACCTTTTTTAAGGACTTATATAAAGAAATCATATTAAGGAGCCCCAAAAAGGTAGGTTCCTTAGGGTCCAGGTAAAGGTTGATGCCTTGGACAGAAAATATGCCCATGCACAACGGTCCGGCACATGTGCAAACATTTCGCCACTGTGGGCCTGCAGCAAGAAAAGAATGAATGGGAGCCTCTTCCTGGGTGTTTCCGAAAATAGGGGACCCTAATATAGTACCCCAAATAGTAGGATCCTTATCATAGAGACCCCAAAATAAGGTACCCCTAATTTTCGGAAACTTCCACCTGTCAATCCTGAAACGCATGCTTGCACAAAACTTCATGCCATGGTCGCCTGAACATCTGAACCGGCGTTCGGCTTTTTCAACTTAGTGCAAGTTGGGGCATGGCATGCAAAACCTCAGAGTGCCTCATACAGCTGGGTCCGCAATCATTCCGGTTCTTGTGCGCATATTTTGGCAATTCTATATGTGACAGCTACAAGCCTTTAGGTCCGGGCCACAATTAAAGACACAATCATCCAGTGTTGATAGAGGTCAGAGTAATGCCCTGTGAGGCCGAAATGACTGGGTTAGATGCTGGTACATATGTACTCCGAAACCGTGATCAACATGACAATAGTGACCCTACACCCTAAACCCTAAACCCTAAACCCTAAACCGACACCAGTGGAGTAAGGACCGACATCCGCTAAACCCTAGACCCTCGACCCAACACCTGCAACCCTGCAGCCCTAAACCCTGGACTGATCCTCAGTGCCGCAAAACCACTCAGGTCCCACGCAACATTAAAAACTGCTCCGAGAGGCCTTCTCATAGAAAGTGAGCTATAAGGGATCTACGAGGCATCAACAAACGATCTAGTGAGCTATCTACTAGGACTTTAATGTAGAGTGTTGCTGCACTTTTTGTTGGAGTTCTCAAGCGAGATGGATGTTATGCGCCAGCGTTCTTCTCTGCAACCTGGATGTTCGGCTATTTCCATCGCTTCGGCCGAGGTTAAGTTCCAATTCAGGTGGATCTCGACGCAGGCGTCGTCTTTGTAGTAGATGTAGACCCGGAATGTCCGTCTTTTTTGGGTCTTGGGTGCATCTTCTCCTTTTCGTCTTTGAGGCGGGACCGACACTTGGACTTTGCGGCGTCTGTCCGTCTGCTGGCAGTGGAGTGAAACCGATCCCGTGGTCGACGTGCCTGCTTGGTTATTGCAAACCGCAGCTGGTTCTCGATGTCTGAGATTGCACTGGCGGTGCCTCGTTTGGCATGTTGCTGGATCCTTGTTGGTGGTCGACGTGCAACAAGTATGGTTAGCTGGTTTGCTGTGGCTGCTGCTCCGATGAAGTTTAGGACCTCGGTCAAACGTTCAGGATTCGACGCGCGATGTGACCGGAAAACCGACGAGCCTGCAGGACTTGTGCTGTCGTGAACGCCTTGGAGCTGTACTTGGAAGGGCAGGGGACTTAGTAAGCAGGTTATAAGTAGAGTTATAAGTGCCCTAAATGGAGTTACCCCAATTGTAACCCTACTTATAACCTACTTACTAAGTCCCCTGCCCCTCCAAGTAATGGAGTTCGGACAGGGCTGGTCAGTTCTGAGTGGCTGGAGCCGAATTTTGATTCAGACTTTCGTGGTGTGCACGTGCGTTCCTTTGGCGTCTTGCGCTGTCCCGCTACTCTCGGATTCCCCTGACGGTTTAGGGTTTAGGGTTTAGGGTTTAGGGTTTTGCTCCCTGAAGCAGAGCTCCCGTGCCAACGCCTGCAGCGGCTTTGCTCTGCAGGTCGGCGGCCCAAGTTGGTTTAGGGCGTCGCGCGTAAGGTTTCGGGTTTGGGGTTCAGGCTGGCTTGCACGCATGACCCAAAATCCTAAACCTCAACCACAAGTCACAAGATGAAGCTGAAACTTCTCGCCACACCCCCAAGCTTGCAACTTCCGCCATGAACAACACAGCAACCCAGACCGCCGGGAGGATCCAAAAAGTAGATCCCTTAATGGGGGTTCCTATAAAGTACCCTTAGTAGTATAGGGGCCCAAATTAGGGGATCTACTTTCCAGATACTCCCGGGGGTCTGGGAAGCTAAACCCTGCGCACTGCACAGACCTGCGCCCTGAACACCAAGCATGATCCTACTTTCGGCCTGAGCAGGTGCATGGCATTGGGTGTGCTGTGATAAATTGACATGATATGGGGCTTTTGCTCGGAGTATCCCCGCAGAAGCCCTAATATGGGGGGCCTTAATAATTAGAATAGGGTTTCGGGGCACAGTCTACTATAATTATGAAATAAGGAACCCCCAAAATAGTATAGGTAATTACGACGGCCCCTATAGTAACAACAACCCTTACAAATCGCCATATTCAGAAGCACCCCTGAGCTTGCAAAGCCCTCTTTAGAACAGACGCGAACGGAAAGGAGAAAAAATGAATATATAAATCCACATAATTTAGACCTATGTGTGTGTGTATATATGTACATATACAAATAGACACACACACACGTACTCTGAATGATAAGAATAGCAATACCCCTCGTCATAATCAACATCACCATCACTGGATCATCAGCATCATCGCCAACATCAACAACACCAGCATCATCATTATCACCCAACAAACCTTGAGCCTCTGAAACAAGACCCTTACACCCCCCTCAACCCTAACCCCTAAACCCTCAACCCTCAACCCTAAACCCTTAACCCTGAACCCGAAATCCCTGAAACCCTGGAACCCTAAAACCTTAAAACCCCTAACGACCCTAAAAAACCAACAAACTCCAAACCCTTAACCCTTAACCCTAAACTCTGAAACTCTGAAAACTTCAACTTTTGCCGGGCTCTCGGCCGCGGTGACGCCGGTCTCCTCTTGCTCCCTCTGTCGGAGGTAATCCCCGTCGATGATCTCTCGCGCTTGCTCCTTTTTTCTGAGGGGGGGGGTCAGGGTTTACTTCAAAGAGCTCTATGAGAGGCCCCTTAAAGGGTTTGAAGTTTGAGGATATGTCCTTTTAAACGGGGGTGGGGTTCTAGGGGGCTACCTTCAAAGAGCTCTAGGATTTAGGGTTTAGGGTTTGCTTCAAAGAGCTTTACGAGGAGTCCCTTAAAGGGATTGATGTTTGAGGACATGTGGGGTTTAGGGGTTGGGGTTCGGGGTTGACGGTTTTTGTTTATGTGTGGTTGTCAAAATTAAAGTCCCGTTTTGGATACCCTAAATATTAGGTGCCTTATTATAATAGGGACCCAAAAAGGGATCCTAAGTTTGACAACCACCCACATGGTTCAGGCTCAAACAGCTCAGGCGCTTTCTGCGTCGAGGGTGCATAAGCGCCCATCATAAAGAAGGGATCCTAAAGAGGTACGGTTGATGATATAGATCCTGCTTTATTTTAAGGACCCTAAACTATGGGAATTATGGTATATTCCTTATTGTGGGTACTGCAGGATTTATATCATCAACCGTATGTTGTTCCCTGTTCTTGTGGGTTTAAGATAGGATCCTTATTGATTCGCAGAGGGTTACGGGGTATGCTATACTACAAACAGGCTTATATAGGAACCCTAGGGACCCGTGTTGGTAATTACTCCGGCTCCCCTAAGCCCTAAGCCCTAAACCCTAAACACCTAAACCCAAAAACCCCTAAACCCCTAAACCCTCAACCCCTGAACCTCTAAAACCCCCAACCCCTAAACCCCCAAGCCCGAAACCTTGGGCTGTGAGATTTCGGGGCTGCCTGCTTTCGGGTGCTCCGTTAAGCTAAGGGGCCGAACCCTTTGCATTTTGGAAGTTCGGGTTTTGCATATTCAGCGCGGTACTCAGGTTTAAGAGTTACTTGTTCGGGGTTGTTTAGGATTTGGGGTTTAGGGCTTGAGGTTTTGGGGTGTAGGGTTTAGGCTTCTGGGGACTATAATGGGGTTCGGCTTTGGGTGAGGATGAAAGTGAGGTCTGCGATGCGAGAGGACACTGTGTCAGATGTAAGTTCGGATCCGCGATACCTAACGCGGGCTGCACTGATAAGATGTGAAGTTGCACGGTAGCCTCTGTAGGCACCTTAGCACAAGCAAATGGGCGACTTTGTACATGGAACAAGAACTGTTCGACAAATGACCAACAGAAACCCGTAATTAAACCTTAAACCCTGAAACCTTGGGTTTAGGTCCTAAACCCGAGATACGTACGGACAAAGCTCGCATGGAAGGACATGCAAACAGGCTAGAAACATCCTAAATTTCGGGTGGTCACGGCGTTTATGTTTTTGAATATTGTTGGGGTTTAGGGCACACGGGGATCATTCAACAGACATTAGACAAAAGACTGACCCTTTTGAACCCTCAACCTCGGACACTGAACTTAAACCCAATGAAACCCCATGCTGTATACTGTAACAACCTCCAAAGTCCTCGACAGCCCTCTACAAGCCCCACAATCCCTGCAAAAGACCTACAACGTCCGAAACCCGCCTAAACTCCATCTTCCCCTTCCCCTTCCCTTCCCCCGCGGTCCACGCCCTGCTCCGAGCCCAGCTCTTCGAAAAGAGTTCGGGCCGTCTTCGCAACCTGAGGGCGAACACAATTTAGGGGTTTCAGGGTTTCGGGTTTAGAGTAGATCTACGCAACCTGAGAACCAGAACAAGATGCCTTATGCAACAGCATCGTAGATTTTTGGTCAGAGGCCTCTTTTCGGTCTGCCGGGTTTCCCTTTAGGCGGCTTAGAGTTCAGACTTGGAGCTTGAAGGGGTTGGGGGCCCAGAGAATCCAGTACCCCTAGATTAAGGAATATACCTTAAATTATTAGGGGCTTCTGGTTATGATTTTCAGCTACATTCCTTAATTAAGGAATATACCTTGAATCATTAGGGGCTTCATCTTAAATGCAAAAACCTCTGTCTCAGAAACGCTAAGGCAACTAAACCTTAAGCCCTCAAATAAGCACCCTTCAAGGAACCCTCCAAAAAAAAAGGGTGGTTGTCAAAATTAGGGTCCCTTTTGGGGTCTCTAATATAACACGGCACCTATTGTTCAGGTTACCCAAAAACCCCTAAACCCTAAACCACTTTACCTATAGTAATTTAGACCTTATAGTCTTCGTGGCTCTTGATCAAAACTCGTGGCTCTTGATCAAAACTCTTGGCTCTTGATCAAAAATTCGTGGCTCTTGATCAAAAAATCGTGGCTCTTGATCAAAACTCGTGGCTCTCGATCAAATCTCCTGGCTCCTGATCAAAACTCGTGGCTCTTGATCAAAACTCGTGGCTCTCGATCAAAACTCGTGGCTCTTGATCAAAACTCGCGGCTCTTGATCAAAATTCGTTGTTTTTGATCAAAACTCGTGGCTCTTGATCAAAACTCGTGGTTCTTGATCAAAACTCGTGGCTCTTGATCAAAAAACTCCTGGCTCTTGATCCAAACTCTTGGCTCTTAATCAAAACTCGTGGCTCTTGATCAAAAACTCGTGGCTCTTGATCAAACCTCGTGGCTCTCGATCAAATCTCCTGGCTCCTGATCAAAACTCGTGGCTCCTGATCAAAACTCGTGGCTCTTGATCAAAACTCGTGGCTCTTGATCAAAACTCGTGGTTCTTGATCAAAATTCGTGGCTTTTGATCAAAACCCGTGGCTCTTGATCAAAACTCGTGGTTCTTGATCAAAACTCGTGGTTCTTGATCAAAAGTCGTGGCTCTTGGTCAAAACTCCTGGCTCTTGATCAAAAAAACCCCTGGCTCTTGATCAAAACTCGTGGCTCTTGATCAAAACTCGTGGCTCCTGATCAAAAATCGTGGCTCTTGATCAAAACTCGTGTCTCTTGATCAAAACTCGTGGCTCTTGATCAAAACTCGTGGCTCTTGATCAAAACTCGTGGCTCTTGATCAAAACTCGTGGCTCTTGATCAAAACTCGTGGCTCTTGATCAAAACTCGTGGCTCTTGATCTCCTCGCCAGGGTTTGGGCATCTAGGAGGCAGTTGCTGTGTTCAGCCATGGCCTAGCATGGAATCATGGTTCACTGGAAAGTTGTTCGTGGGTTGGCTCTTCAATTCGTATTTCACTGGAAAGTTGTTCGAGGGTGGGTGGGGGTTGGCTTTGGCATAGCTTGAACACGTGTTTCACGAGAAAGTTGTACGAGGGTGGGCTGGGGATTGGCTTTGAAGATAAGCCGCTGCAGACAGACTGTGGAAGCTTGGCACGCGATACAAGCGAGCAAATCAAGGCAGTGCTGCTTTGCATTTTCGAGCAGCAGCAGCTTTAGCATGCGAGTTTTTGAAAAGCTTCGAATTGCAAGTCTACTCACAGGAAACAACTTGTCGCTGAGCTAGCAAGTTGACATCAAAAGCATTAAATGCTTGCAGACGATTGGAGCGACTGTTGTTGACATGATTGAAACAAGTCTACCGAGGATTCTAGCTGCTTGTAAAAAGATTGCAGTCACTTTGGCTGGCATCATTGAAACAATGTGGGTCGATGGAGGACTCTTCGTTGGTCGACGGCTCAAGGCTTGGCTCCTGCGAAGTGGATCCGGCTGTCAAGCTTCCATGTGGAGAGCACGTCTCACTGTTCGACTCGGAAAGCATATCTTCCTCCTCGCTGCTGTGGGTGCTCTCGCTCAACATGGAGACTTGATTTTGCTCAGAAGCATCGTTCTGGCCGTACACCACTCGCCAATCTGTGCGGCGAACGCGGCCGAGAAGAAAGACGTCTTGTTGACGTTTGCCGCGGGACAGGCCGACATAGCCGTAGCCTCTGTCAGGAAGCCGGCGATCAAACCACAACCCAACTTTGTCTAGAGTGGCTCCTTGGGCTCGTCTTATTGTTGTTGCCCAACCATAGGACACTGGAAGGAACTTACGTCCTTGCTGGGTCACGGGGTGCACGAGTACCGGCAGACCCTGGTCCGATTGCAGAAGAAAGACATCCGCCCTGAGCATCGATCGAACGATTCCCGTATTCCCGTTCACAAAAGCCTCTGTCCTTGTCGATGTTTTGCGTCAACCGCATTCGCATGCCTGCATCCACGACAACTCGGCCGACTTCCGCTGGAATGCCGCCGCCTCCACGCATGATTGCCGCTGCTTCTGGAAACTCGATTGCTAATCGACCCAGGTTGAGGGCAGCTGCTCCCTGGTTGGTCACCGTGAGGAAGGTGAAACAACCGCCAGTGTGAGCTTCCACGGTGGCAGCATGGCGAGCTGCGGTGTTGACATCTTCGGAGAGTGATCTACAACGAAAGAATGCCAGCAAATCTTCCCGAGCCTGTTGCTGGACCCTTGCTGCCTCCAAGAAATCCAACATTGCTGGATCCACCGAGCGAGCAGCTTCGTGGTGTTCGAGCTTGACGTAAAGAACCTTGTTCTGTGAGCGCTGCTGGTCGAGGGCTGCTTGCAGTTCGGGACCGCCCCGAAGCGGCCGCAGCTGTTGGGAAATCACCAACGACCAACGAACACCAGAAATGGACAAGGGACCAGCACGCCCAATGCAGTTTGTAACTTCCGCCAGACTGCTGCCTCGATCTGACTCACCTCGTCGATGACAATGAGATCGAATAGGCGAAGGCGCCCTGGAGGTATGTATGTAGGCGGCGTCTGCATCCCTGGTGATACGGAAGGCCGAGTGAACCGTTCCATGGTGAGGTTCTGGAGGTTCGGCAGTTTCAGCCTGTACATCGACACCAACAAACCAATAGGACCCGCGATAAGCACGCGACACTCATCTTCCAAAGCTCGCCGAACTGCGGCGATGACGACTTCGGTCTTGCCGGTGCCAGGTCCGCCAGCCACCTGCAACACACGGGGCGCCTTTTCCATGTCGGCTGCATCGCTGATGGTCGTCCCTCGTTTGATGTGCTCCAGGACGGCTTGCTGCCCTTTGGACCAGACTCTCTGGGGTGGCGGTGACACCGAACGTGCGGTCCATAAGTTGGCATCTTCGCGGCCATCTCGGATTGCACACAAAAGAAGAGCCGAAGCACGAATGCGAGCATTGAAAGTGGCGATTCGATCCGCAGTCAAGCCCCGCAGTCTCAAATCGGTTTCCATCTTCACCAACGTTGGGATGGAAGGTCAGTGGATCTTTGCGGTACAGCTGGAATTCGTCGAGACACAAGACGGCTTTCAAGTGTTTGCAACCGTCCGGAGCAGTGAAGGAAGCTCGGCGAGCTTTTTTAGCAGAAAATGTGGTTGAGTAGCGCTCGTTGTCCTCATCGATTTCTGGGTTCAATCGATACTCGAGCATGTCTGGCAGGAAGGTGGCTGGCACCGACGAATATGTCCAACAATTCAAAAGGAAAGGTCATGGCGACTCCACATTGCTGATTTTCATAGGACCGGCTAAGTTTCTTCGAACGACTACTGTCTTCTCGACGTCGACGACTCTGAACTGTCGAAGCCACTGCATGAAGCACAAGCCTCTGGCACAGCCAAGCTCGTCAGCAGGCCGTTGCAAGAAGAATTGATAGAACGGTTGAAAATGTGATAGATTCTTTGAGTTGTATGTAAGTTGTTATTTAATAATTCGAGCCAAAAGAAATAAAACTCTTAATTCTCATGTGAGGGGATTCTCTGGGCGGGTGGGGTTTCTTCTTGAAGATAGCTTGATTAGAAATAGCTTGACCTGAAACCTTCAAAGTCAGAGCTGCTGAACCCTAAACCCTAAACCCTTTCGGCACCTTTCGGTTCGCGGTCAAGCCTCGGCTCCGGCGGAGGCATGCCTGGCCCGGGGTTATTTAACCGACAGGCGGGAAAGGAAGAGCCGTCCATTCACGACTCTGTTGCACGCACGCCCCATTTGAGAGCTGCGATACAAGCCAACTTTCGATCCTATCAAAGGTGCCCGAAGGCAAAACAACGAACGCACATGCCAGCTTCACCGCGAGAGCTGCTTTGCAGGCACCCCGACGAGCCTTACGCGTGAGGATGTTTTGAACTGCGTAAGCCTGAGTTTCCCGACATTCTTCTCGGCCAGTTTAATTTCTTGCAAGGAAAACTTAAGTAAAGCCAGCTCCCACTCAGCCCATCCGCTTGGGCAGACCTGATCCAGTCGGTCCATCATGAGCAGACAAGTCCTGGATATATTGCCTGGAGGCCAGTTTCACGACTACGACATGCGTGACGGAGTCCATGTCCGATGGCTCCCACAGCGATGGCCGCATTGTCTTGACGATCTTGACCCAGCATGCGCCGCCCAGACCTAGCTTCAAGCTGCTGACGATGGAATCCGACGCGTCGCAAGATGATCGGGCGTAGACTTCCACTGGTTGAACCAGGACATTGGGAGGGAAGAGAACCTCCATTTCGGTTTGCTTCGTAGAGAACTGTGAAATGTCGGCGCCATGTGCATGCTGGTAGTTTTTTGGGCACACGCACAAGATGGCCCGCCGGTTCGGAGCCCCAGCCGACCAGGCCAGGTAACCAACTTCCACGTACGGAGCAAAGCCTGTGCCTGTGCCCGGCCAAGATGCCATTCCTCGCTGAAGGGTAGAAACCCCTGTGGCACTCGGCAGCTGCATCAAAGCTAACATCAGGACGTTGTCCATTTTTGCGAGCTCGGCTTGCTTGTCCTGCTGCTCGCGCGAGAGATCATGTCCCCGACGGTCCTGCTGAATGTCATGGCAGCCTTGATTCGTTGTCCATACCTTGATCGTTTCCTTCTGGATCTCCGATACCGCCTCTGTCCTGGCTTTCTTGATTGCCCTCACTTCTTCCTTTTTTGGAGATCCCTTCGATCGTAAAGGAAGCTGGTCATCTGGGAATCGACATGCCCTGGTAAATTTCATGACTGCCGGTGCGAGATATTGCTAGAGCCGCCTACCAATCGCAAAGCTTGAGCCAAAATGGCTACCCTAGACCCTAAACCTTAGACCCTAAACCCTAGACCCTGAACCCTAGACCCTGAACCCGAAACTCTAAACCCTCAACCCTAAACCCTGGGAGTAGCGGCCGTTTGGTCTGCCGCGCCTCCTGGGCCTTGTCGTCCTCCCCGTTGCAGATGTGGATCTGAGCCTGCTTTCAGGATTACCTTAGCCCTGAAGGACCTACCTTTTGAAGGATTTATGTTACCTTAACCCTAAAAAGGTAGGTTATTCAGGGTTAAGGTAGGGTTTAGGGGTTAGGGTTCAGGGATCTGAGCCTGCTTTCGGGATTAGGGTTTAGGGTTTAGGGATTAGGGATTAGGGTTTAGGGTTTAGGGATTAGGGTTTAGGGTTTAGGGATTAAGGCTCAGGGATTAGGGTTTAGGGTTTAGGGACCCAGGGATTAGGGTTTAGGGTTTCGGGATTAGGGATTAGGAATTGGGGTTTAGGGTTTAGGGATTAGGGAAAAAGGTTTAGGGACTAGGGTTTAGGGTTTAGGGATTAGGGTTTAGGGTTTAGGGATTAGGCTTTAGGGTTTCGGGTTTGTTAAAGCAGTTCGAGATTCTCATGTCCTTTGTAGTGTGGTGGTGGCGTTATTGCGGGGTTTGCTGATGCTTGCATGACTTGCTATGAAACCTGTCTGCGGTTGTGAATGAGATGTTCAAACCTCACCTACCAAACCCTAAACCCTGAACCCTGATCGCTAGACCCTGAACTAGAGACCTAAACCCAAAACCTCACAGTCGGTTCTCAACTTGAAACACAAACCCTGGAACCTCGACCCTTTCATAAATGCCAACACTATTGTTTTTTTTGGGTGGGGTCTTATTGTACCTGTGATATACTATGCCCCAAAACCTATTCTATTTATCAAGGCCCCTATATTATAGTATCCTTTCTAGATCCCTTATAGTAGCCCCCTTAAAGGAACCCAAAAGCCCTAGTCTAATTATATTCAGGCCCCTTCAGCCAGGGCTCCGGATCTCCCCCAACTACAGGGCTGAAACTGTTGGATTTGTGTTTAGTGTTTTTTTTAACACCTTTTTCCACCTAGCAGTTAAGGTCGGCAGAATCCGCAGGGTTTAGGGTTGAGGGTTAGGGTTTCACTGCCCTTTTCCTTGCGTCCACGGGTCCGCCCCGGTACGAGGCTTGCATAGAGATAAGGTAGAGGCATGTTTCACACCCCGACCTGCATTAACCACTCGACACGGGATAAACTGTTGGGGTTTAGGCTTCAGGATTTAGGGTTTAAGGCCTGAAGCTTCAGGGTTTAGGGTTCAAGGACCGAGGCTTTAGGGTTTAGGGTTTAAGGCCTGAGGGTTTCGGGCTTTGGGTTTAAGGCCTGAGGGTTTCGGGCTTTGGGTTTAAGGCCTGAGGGTTTCGGGTTTTGGGTTCAGGATTATGGCCGAAGGGTTTAGGGTTTTGGGTTAAGGCCTCAGGGCTATGGTTCTCGGCTGTCGGGCCTACTTGGAGGGGCAGGGGACTTAGTAAGTAGGTTATAAGTAGACTTACAAGTACCCTAAATGGAGTTACTCCAATTATAACCCTACTTACAAACGACTTACTAAGTCCCATGCCCATCCAAGTAAGTGTCTAGGATTTGGGGTTTATGGTTCTTGGGGCCGCACACTCACCACCACCACGACCACTGCTGTCACTACTTCTTCTACTACCAAAAAGAAGAAACAAAATCTAATCTAAGGGCCTTGAGAATCAGAATAGGGTTTTGGGATGCTTTGGGTATATTATAATATAACTCTAATAAGGAACCCCCAAAATAATGCTAATAATGATAATGGTACCTAGCCAAAATCATGCTCGTATGAAGGGTTCGGGCGCTACTTGACGTTGCAAGCGCGCAACCCGGGCAGGCAGTATTGGTAATTGTTTAAGACCCTATGTTCAACCATTCAACCCAGGCCTTCAACAGGAAGAGGCTGGCTTCTTCCATGCCTCGGCTACGAGAAGGGTCTCTTAACCGAGACCTCTGCAAAAAGTGGATAGAGCCCCTATGGTGTTCTGCAGGGGATCTATAAGGGCTCAGGGTTTAGGGTACCTTTTTGGGGTCCCAGGGTTCCTTTACTAGTGGGTATTTGGGGGATAACAGAGGGTAGCTGGGGGGTCTAGTTTAAGTTCGGGCTCTACTCTTTTGAATCCTTCCGGGGGTCTAGGCAACCGAGACCTTGACTAGACCCCAAAACCTTCAACCCTTGTCCCGAAACCCGTAGCCCCTAACTATACTGAACTTAGAGCCCTAGCAAAAAATCATAATTTTAGCTGTTTCTTAGGGGATTATACTAACCAAAAATTAAAAACATTTCTAAGTACCCCTAAGCTAAGCCCTTGCCCCCTAAATCGCCAGGTTGCCCTGAAATTACCTGGCCCTCCGACCTTCCGCACTGACTGCCCTTCGCGACCACATACAAAGAGCGGATTACGGTTTAGCGTTTAGGATTTAGGTTGGATACTGCCCCCATACACTAACAGTCTATAAAGGGCTACTATTAAGGGCCTAATATATCCATAATAAGAATATTATCCAACTGTTACTGAGTGGGGGGCAGTATCCAAGATTTAGGGTAAAAGGCCTAGGGTTTAGTATAAAGGGTTTTGGGCTGATAAGAGTGTTTTCATGTTTTGACGGACCATTTTCCGCTCGCTCTTCGGGCTGATCAGAGTTTGGGGAAGCGTTTCGGTGCTTTACAGAGCGTTGTAGAATTCAGCTTCCTAGCTAAGAATCCTCCCTAAGAGAGACGCAAGAAACCCTCAATTGCGGGGTCCTCGAATTTGTTTTTGGAAGGAGGATTGAGAACAAGAAGGGGTCAAAAGAATGGAACTCAGTAATTAGAAAATGATTTTATTGCACAACATACTGCAAATATTATGGGAACTAGAGGTGATATCATACTAGAAATCATGAAGCTACAAGGGGCTAGTATTTTTGCAAATTCCCCCCCCCCCCCCCCCCCCCCCCCCCCAAAAAAAAAAAAAAAAAAATTGCTACTTTTGGCAGCCGAGCGTCTCTGGCTGTTCTTCTGCGCAATCTCCAAAGCCTGCGCAGGTCCGGGAAAGGTGGCCGTATTTAGCCGGTGCCTCTGAAGGTGTAGGGCCTCAGGGTCTTAAGAGCCTTAGAGCTTTCGAGCCTTTACTTTGGGTTTTGGGTTTAGGGTTTAAGGTTCAGGGTTCAGGGTTTAGGGCTCAGGCTTAGGACACCCTTAGGGCTTTAGGGTTTAGGTTCCGTTCTGTCAACCTGCATGCAGATCACGGTTTCTGCTTGAAACACCCGGAAATCTTGGGGTCTCGTCCTTATTTTGGGTACAGGGTCGGAGGTTGAATACTTGAGGCTTTGTATACCAACCCAACGGCGAAAAGGCCCTAAACGCTAAAATCCCAACCCAAAACCCCCTGACCCAGAAATGCCAAACCCAAATCCCTAAACCCTATACCCTGAACCCAAGTGGCCAGGCTCTGTGAAATGTGCTCTCGTCCGCACCCCCCACTCTTGCCTCTTGCACAGGCTCCTCGGCCTGCGCTGAAAGTTGAAAGGTGCAGAATCCGCGGTATTAGGTGCCAGATGTTTTAGTGTTGAGGGTTAGGGCTTGGGATTCATCATGTATGGTGGTGTGTAAGTGTATAGGGACTAGACGCATTGTTGCCACTACTGCTAACTGACGCAAAGTGCAGCCAGAAAACCCTAAACCCTGAACCCTAAACCCTAAAACCTAAACCCCAAACCCTAAGCCCCTAAACCCCTAAACCCTAAACCCCTAAACCCTAAAACCCTCACCCAAAGCATAAGGTTCCTCACACGAAGCTCTCGTGAATCCCAGGAGTCTCCATCACTTTTGGGAGTTTTCGAAAATAGGGGATCCTAATATAGTACCCTCAATGGTAGGATCCTTAGAGTAGTATGGTATAGTATACTATTCTATGCTATCCTATGACCTACTCTACTCATCTCGATGTTATTCTAGTCTACTTTGCTATAATATGTATAGTACAGTATTCTACCCCCAAACCCTGTTCTGACTTGTAAGGCCTCTATATATGGATTAGGGTTTAGGGTTTAGGGTTTAGGGTTTTGTCAAAACAAGGGTCCCTTTTTGTGTACTCTAAATATTAGGTGCATTCCTATAGTAGGGACCCAAAAAAGGACCATAATCTTGACAGCCACCCATATACTTCCCTAAGATTGTCGGATCACATGGACCCCACAATAAGGCACCCATAATCTTCGGAAACTCTCATATAAACTTGAAACTTGAACTCGCCATCCTAACAGGTCCCAGGCCAACTTCGCCTTGGGGCATACAGAGAGTTCACTCGGGGGTTCTTTTGTGAAATGACTGGGGTTTAGGGTTTAAGCGGTTTAGGGTTTAGGGTTTAAGGAACCTTAACCCCTCAAACCAAGGGTTTTAGGAGGTTTCCTATGTCGTTCTTTGTGCACCGAGGTTGCTTAACTGCAAATGAAAGTCAGTACCCCGTCGTGCCTCCCAGTGCCGGAAAGACATGATTCGCGTCTTGGCGACCACCTGCTCCATAACATCGTGAACCGCGGTTTAGAGCTTACGGGCTTGGGGTTAGGCTGTAGAGTTTAGGGTTGAGAAATTAATGGGTTTCTGAAAGCCGCACTATCGGGGAATCTGACTCCTTCACAACGTCTGTGTCCTCGCAGAAAAACAGAAAGGCCAAACTCCAAAAAACACGACACACTGTGAAGAGTTCGGCCTCTGTCTTGAAACATCAAGGTTAGAAGCTGCCCCCACCCTGTAATAGTGACTATAACGCTTATATTGGGGCCCTAAGTTTTCCTATTATACCACTATTACAGGGTGGAGGCCCCTTCTAACATCAAGGGTTTGGGGTCATGCTAAGTCGGTATCAAAACCTATAAAACCCAACCCCCAGATAGGCTGGCATTGTGTGTGTGCTTTTTTAGACAGTGCACCCTCATGCTGGTTCTCATCTCATGGGGAAGGTACGGAGCCTGCTGTGCATGTTCGTGTTTATTACCTTCCGGAAATTAGAACCATAATAAAAAATATTCTTAATGCTCTCTTGGGCATTATATGAACAAAAATAAAACGAAAATCCTAAGGAGACTATAGGAAAAGCCTTCCCTTGAGATATGAGCAGAATCTGGGAACCCCAGCAGCGCTAGCACGGCTCAAGGTACGGTGGAGGGTAGGTTTGCGCCATCAAAGCGTGCTTCAGGCTCAAGACCTAGGATTCCGCCTGCTGTGAGTGCATGACGAGGATGTCATCGTCGACGGCCTTCGCCAGCTTCAGCGCCTCTGACACGCAGTTCTGGGGGAATAGTTTGGGCCCAGATTGCAGGCTTGGGTTCTACCTTGCAGGTGTGAGTTTAGAATAATGATGATGACTGGAATCTGCAACTGCTACACGGGCTTCGGGATTCAGTGTACGATTCCCAACCGCCAGCGCGTTGTGTTTGGAGGGTTGGGGTTTACGGCTTTCGGGCTTGGGCCCGGGTTTTAATCGGGTTTAGGGTTTAGGGTTTAGGGTTTAGGGTTTAGGGATTAGGGTTTAGGGTTTAGGGATTAGGGTTTAGGGTTTAGGGTTTAGGGTTGCCTGGTTCAAAGCTCTCATGTTCAGGCGCCACTTTTTTGGTGGCCATACTGCAGTAGGGACCCTTAGGGGGGTAGGGAGGAGTGGGTAGGGAACTATACTTCCTTAAATAGACCTTATCAAGCCCTTATTATAGGTATTAAGACCCCCTACCCCCCTCCCCCCTACACCCCGAAGGGTCCCTATGATACTGTGGTGACGCGACCTCAAATCCCAAACCCTCCTCAAAAGCTCAGGGTGCCAGGTGGTCACGGGCTCAGGGACGGGCAGTTGTTCGATAATGCCGACTTGCGCCCCCCGAAGAACCTGAATTTAACATAGGGTTTAGGTTAACATCATAAGCGACCAAAAACCCTGAATCCCACACCCTGTATATTGGATCCTGTTCACGGTCTAAGCTGGGCTTAAGGGTTCAGGCAGACCGGAGTACAAAGGAAGAAACTGCCCTTGCGCCTCTTCTGCAGCATCACAGGCCTGGCATGGAAGTCCACGGGTGCTTACAGGTCTTGCGAGTCGCCATGCGAAGTGTCGCGAAAGCCAGCCTAACTCAATAAAAATAGCCTTAAGATGATGCAGAATAGTAGTTAATACGAATGATAAAGGAAGAAATACTAATAAATAAATCCTTGGACCCTGCGGCGCATGCCTTTAAACTACGAGAGCCATGAAGGAGGACCTGGCACCCCCCGGGAGAGGATGAACGAGCTTCGGCTTGGGGGAGCGTCCCAGGGTCTGGGGTCTAGGGTTTCGGGTTCTTTGGGGTTTAGGGTCCAGGGTTTGGGGTTCTTGGGGGTTTAGGGTTTAGGGTCTAGGGTTTAGGGTTCTTGAGGGTTTAGGGTCTAGGGTTTGGGGTGTTCTTGGGGGTTTAGGGTTTAGTTCGGGGTTTCGAGGCCGGCCCCCGGGAAAGGCTTAGGGTTTCTCTAAACCCTAAGCCCTAAACCCTGAACCCTTAACCCGAAACCCTGAACCCTGAACCCTGAACCCAAACCCTGAACCCTAAGGTCTCCCTCTTGGAAGCTTGGAAATGCTATGCGATCTGTCCAGGACGAATCCTCAAAGGACTCTGAATCTCAGCTCTGTCGTCGTACTTAGGTAACGCAGCAAAAGCTACAAAAGCTACACTTGCAGCCTCGGCCAGCTAAACCCAGGGCCCAGGACGAAGTGCGTTGAGTCGACAGCAAGAATATGCCTTGCAAGTTACCCACAAGGACCGAGACACGAGCAATAACAAAGCAGGAGCCCGTAAGGAGGACCGGAGGTTCAGAGCTCCCCACGGAGCCCAAGACCCCTGAATTAAGGAATATACCTAGGGCCTAGGGTCCCTTTAAGGGATCTTTAGGGTTTAGGGTTAAGGAATATACCTTAAAGAATTAGGGGCTTCATATTATGATTTAAGCTATATTCCTTAATGAAGAGATATCGGGCTCTCTGGGAACCCTATAAACCCTATAAATCCTAGACCCCATGGTTCCTTAATTAAGGGATATCGGGCTCTCTGGGCCCCGAGGCCTTCTTGAAGCTCTCGGGAAGATCGTCCCCAGGCTTGTGGTCGTCCTGGCCCGCGACTGAGGGAGATTTCACATAGGGGGCCTTAATAGCTCGACTGGGGTTCCCTTAAAAAGGGGGGGTCCTTTAAGGGTTACTAGAAGGGATATTATGGAGGTTTAGGATAGGGGCCTCAATAATCAGAATAGATTTTGGGGGCCCATTATACTACAATCATAATGAGGAATTAAGGCCCCTACCTTAGGGCTTGGGGGCTTCGGGCTTTGGGGCTTGGGGTATGTGTAAAAAAGCTTCGGGCCGTGTGGTTTGGGGTTTCGGGTTTCGGGTTTCGGCTTCAGGCTTTGGGGGCTCGGGTTTAGGGTTTAGAGCCTCGGGCTGCAGGGTGTACCCAGAAAGCCCAAGACCCCTTAACTACGGTTGATGATTTAAATTCTCCATTACCTTAAGGTCCCTAATCTATGGGAATTATGGTATATTCCTTACTATGGGTAATGCAGGATTTATATCATCAACAGTAGGGAATATACCTTAAATCATAATATGAAGCCCCTGATAGTTTAAGGCATATTCCTTCTTTTAAGGGGTATTGGGCTCTCTGGGTAGGGTTTACGAGTGTGTGGACAGAGCTTCGGGGTTTGGGGTGTAGGGCTTAGGTTTAGCGTTTAAGCCTCGGGGTTCGGGGGTTTTGAGGCTTTAGTGTGGATGTATGTGCATGTATGTGCTTATAACCCATCTTAGGAGACATATAGCCCCAGCTAGAAACTACCGTGAACCTCCAAGTATGCTTGACCATGAAAGACTTTGACCAAGCCTAGAATCCCTAGAACAACCCATACCAGATCTTGCAAACCCGATTAAACAAACGAGAAGCTTCCGAAGATCTAAATATCGATGATCCTGTCGTCCCAACCATTCCGCTACCGTATATGCGGAAGCACTGTCAAACCCATCTCCAGAACAAAAATCCGTAACCTCATGAGCTTTCAGCTTTCGGTGTAGGATAGGTTTAGGATGCAACACAAAAACCCAGAAAAAGACAAAAAAAAAAAAAAAAAAAAACATTTCAAGCCATCCGAACTCTTGCAAAATCGAACCCTCAAACAGGCCCAGGGAGCCCAATACTAGGGGCTTCATATTATGATTTAAGGTATATTCCTTAATTAAGGGGTATTGGGCTCTCTGGGGGGGAGGTCGGAGCAACCACTACAAACGCTGGGAACTTGCCAGCTTGAAACGCCCACAAGCGAATCCCCAAACCCACAGCCAAACCACTTATATACACAGTCATCCCCACACATCCACTGATGGGAGGGGGGGGTTAAGATTCTTGGGGTAGGGATTCCTGAATATGAGCCCTATTATGGGAACCCGAATCCCCACTAAGCCCCCATAGGCTAAAACCCATAATTTCCGAGCCCCGAGCCGAACCTAGAGAAAAAAACTAAGAACTGACTACCCAGACCCCCGGGAGGATCCAAAAAGGAGCCCTTAATGGGGGTTCCTATAAAGTACCCTTATTAGTATAGGGCCCCAAATTAGGGGATCTACTTTCTAGATTATTTCGGAGGTCTGACTAGTAAATACGGGAGCGGTCAAAGGAATCCTTGATCCCCGAAAGCCTTAACCCGCTTGGGAGCCATTTGAGGAACCCTTAAAGGAACCCTTAAAAGAAAGCTTGAAAGGAGCCCTTTAAAGGAGCCCTTAAAGGAACAAACCCTGAACCCTTAAAAGGAGCCCCTAAGGAGCTTTGTAGCCACCCCCAAAGGGCCCCCCCTGAAGGAGCCCATAAAGAACCCTTAAAGGAGCTTGCCAAGCCCCGACAGCCTTGGCCTTAAACCCCTTAAGAGCCCTTAAAGGAACCCTTAAAGGCACCCCAGAGAACCTTAGAGCACCCTATGGATGCCTTCAAAGAACCCTTTAAAGGAACCCCCAAAAAAGACCCCTTTGAGAAGGAACCCTAGAGAACGATAGAGCACCCTTCAAAGGAACCCCCAAAAAGGACCCCTTTAAGAAGGAACCCCCATAGAACCTTTTAGTACCCTTTAAAAGAACCCTTAAAAAGGACCCCCTTTAAGGAGCCTGCATCTGGGCCAGTCCGAACAGAGCCTCGGCCTCGGCCCACGCCATGAAGGCCTCGTCCGGCAGAGCTTTGGGGAGTGGGGCTTCGCGAGGTTAGGGCTTATAGGGTTTAGGGTTTAGGGGTTTAGGGTTTAGGGGTTAGGGTTTAGGGTTTTAGGGCTAGGGCCTATAGGGGCCTCTTTGTGGGGTTGCGGGTTTAAGGCTTATTGTTGGGTTTCGGGTTTGGGGCTTTAAGGCTTAATTTTGGGTCTAGGGTTTTAAAAATTTATGGTTTAGTGCATATGGCTTGGGGTTTAGGGACGGAGGTCTTTCTGTGCCTTTTCCTGCGGTTCTGAAGGTTTCTTGTTTTCAGGGATAGGGCGTGAGATTTAGGGTGTGTTGCGCATTGCTGTTTGACAGTTTCGGGATGATTTCGGAGTTTCCAAGGGCAGCTTATTTGGGCGTCCTCTTACTAAGGATCCTACTATTTAGGATACTATATTGGGATCCCCTATTTTCGGAAACCCCCCTTTGGGCTTCGCGCTCAGGGCTTAGATCTTAGTGATGTGGGCTCGGTGTTGAGGTCCTTGCTTCCCCAGTTTGGGGGGTTGAATATCCCGTAGGCTTGCGGTGATATGGTGTTAGGGTTCTAGCAGCTGAGAAGCATCAGGGGTTCCGAGTTTAGGGTGTTTAGGGTGTTTAGGAGTTTAGGGTTCAGGGTTCGGGGTTTAGGAATTTAGAGAGCTTGAGGTCAGAAGGATCTCTCGTGTGCTGCTCGTTCGCAAGGCTCAGCTGCCCATGCTGCGTGTCACTTCCAGCAGCCTCCCATCACGATAATAGGGCCCCAAAAAAGCACATAAGCAAAAATAGGGATAGGGAGATCCCATCATAATGAAGCCCAATAAAGTAGGGACATCCCTATAAAGTGCTTATGCTTATGTGCTTTTTGGGTCCCTAAGAGAAGTCTGAGAATTACAGCGCCATCACGATGCTCATCATAGCCACTGACAACCACCGCCGCTATCCGCCGCTATCAACATCCTCCACATGGTCACTGCCGACGTAAAGGGAGCAAGAAACCCTTAAACTCTGAACGCCGAACCCCGGAGCCTCTGACGCATTCATCAAAGATAGCTGCACGATATGACCCCAAAACCCCCGAAACCAAGAACCACGAACGGCAAACTCTGAAACGCGAACTCCTGAACACAGATGGCCTCAGTCAATCCCAAGAGTTTCATACCCTAATACCCAAACCATACACCCTAAACCCTAAACCCAAAACCCCAAACCATGCACCCTAAACCCTAAACCCCAAACCATACACCCCAATTTAAACCAAACTCTTCGCTCTGAAACCTAAAACAAAAATCGCTAACTTCCTTCCGAGCTCAGCCGCCTCCTGTCGGAAGCAGGACGCCTGCAAGGAAAAAGGCTCCAGAAGGGATGTGTGGGGGGGAGGGGGGGCGAAAATCAACCTTCAGAGCTTGAGGTGGTCAGGAGTTCGGACTTGGATTCAGGATTATCGACATCGGATGTGGTGTCTCGAGCTCTTTTTTCTAGGGTGCTAAGCATCCTCCCATGTTGGCGTAATTTTTGCTCGCTTTTGGCATGGGCTTCATGCTTACATACAGGGGCCTCCGTCTGCTTAGAAAAGAGTCGCACGGGGGGTATGTCATTTTACACCTTCATTGGTTGGCTATGAGGGCCTTGCAACAGAATACTCAGACCTCTATGTTCGGGTGTAGCCGTTGATGATATAAATCCTGCATTACCTTAAGGACCCTAAACTATGGGAATTATGGTATATTCCTTATTATGGGTAATGCAGGATTTATATCATCAACCGTAACACCAATTGGGGCCTGCTGATCTGAGAAATAAGGCTCGGAGCGCGGTTTAGGGTTTAGGGTAGGAGGAAACACCAAGAGAGCCCCTGACAAAATGTCGCAGTCTAGGACGTTGCTATGTAAATCAGAACAGCGATCCTGTTGGTAATCAAGTTTCCTAGATGGCAATACTGTCCTGCCAACAACAATCACCTACAGCATTAGTAGTATTGGTAGCAGTCGTCGTCATCGTGGTCGTCCTCCTCCTCGGTGGTCGTGGTCGTGATCGTGGCTCGTGGTCGTGGTCTGGTCCTAGTCGTGGTCGTGGTCGTCGTCGTCGTCGTCGTGGTCGTGGTCATGGTCGTCGTCGTCGAGGTGGCGATGGTGGCGGTGGTTGTGGCGGTGGCGGTGGTGGTCGTGGGAGTGGGAGTAGTAGTAGCGGTAGTAGGAGCCGTCGTCGTGGTGGTAGCCCGTTTAGGAGCGGTAGCAGTACCCCAACGTAAGCAAACGTGCCTCGCTGAAGATCTGCTTCGCACGCTTGGCACAGGTCGCGGACTTGGTGAAGTCGCCCTGACAGTGACGACATGACGACCGAAGCCATCCAAAACTTCACAGCAAAAGTCCTGAACAGCAGAGTTCCAAACCGCGAAAACCGCAGAGTTCCAAACCGCTAGCTGCCCAGCATTCGGCCCTGTGCCGGTGTTGGGTTTGGGTCCGTCCGGTTTAAGGAAGAAGCAGCTTAAGTCCCGTACAGGAACCCTTTAAAGGAACCCCTTAAAGGAACCCTTATAGTGTCTAGTCTAGTCTAGTAGAGCATGCGCATACGGGGGTAGGGGTACGGAACCCTAAACCCTAAACCCTGAACGCCTAAACTCTAAACCCTATACCCTAAACCCTAAACCCTAAACCCTAAACCCCAAACCCTAAACCCTAGAACTCTTAAACCCTAAACCCTAAACCCTCTACACCCTAAACCCTAAACTAAGAGAGGGGTCGCAGACGTCGAGCGACAAACCCCGAACGCTTGGCCGAGGGCCTCACAGCCCGAGCGCCCATACGGAAAGAGAGACGGAAAGGCGAGGGTTAAGCCTCGCCGCCTGTCCTGGACAGGCCAACGAATGTGGCCTTGCTTACGACAACGTCCGAACTCAATTAAGGGCTGGCCGTATCCAGACCACCTTTAGCGTAGCTAAAGAGTAACCCCAAATCGTGCACCATTGACTCTGGAGGGCGCTTAGGATTCAGGATTTAGGGTTTAGGATTCTAGGATCTTAGGATTTAGGGTTTAGGATTCTAGGATTTTGGGTTTAGGACTTAGGATTCTAGGATTCTAGGATTTAGGGTTTAGGATTTAGGATTCTAGGATGTAGGGTTTAAGGTTTTTGAGTTTTAGGGTTTAGGATTCTAGGATTTAGGGTTTAGGATTTAGGGCTTTAGGATTCTAGGGTTTAGGGTTTAGGATTTTAGGATTTAGGGTTTAGGATTCTAGGGTTTAGGGTTTAGGATTTAAGGTTTAGGATTCTAGGATTTAGGGTTTAGGATTCAGGGTTTAGGATTCTAGGATTTAGGGCTTAGGATTTAGGATTTAGGGTTTAGGATTCAGGATTTAGGATTTAGGATTTAGCCTCCGGAAATTTGGATTTTGCTGGTGATTTTCAAGTGACAAATTCTGGTCATAAAATGTGCCTTTTAGACAAGGCCGGTTGCGAATCTCGAGGTCCCCTCCTTTCTTTTCGAGTGGCTGCTCTTAAGCTTCCGGTTTTCAATATTTAGTCGCGCTTGTCCTTTTTGGAAAAGGACAACCAGCTCTAAGATCTAGATTTAGGATTTAGGATTTAGTGTTTAGGATTTAGGATTTAGGGTTTAGGATTTAGGATTTAGGATTTAGGATTTAGGGTTTAGGATTTAAGATTTAAAACTCAAGGTTTAGGATTTAGGATTTAGGATTTGGGATTTGGGGGGCCGGACCCCCCCGGACACCGGCAGACACCCCCCGGACACCCCTGACCCTCCGGACATGCCGGACTCCTCACACAACAGAGGGCCTGGTGAAGGACTTTTGCTGGTGGTTTCAAGTGACAAATTCTGTTCATAAAATGTGCCTTTTAGACAAGGCCGGTTGCCAATCTCGAGGTCCCCTCCATTCTATTTTGGGGGGCCGGACCCCCCCGGACACCGGCAAACACCCCCGGACACCCCTGACCCTCCGGACATGCCGGATTCCTCAACAGAGGGCCTCCGGAAAATTTGATTTTTGCTGGTGATTTTCAAGTGACAAATTCTGTTCATAAAATGTGCCTTTTAGACAAGGCCGGCTGCGAATCTCGAGGTCACCTCCTTTCTTTTCGTGTGGCTGCTCTTAAGCTTCCGGTTTTCAATATTTAGTCGCGCTTGTCCTTTTCGGAAAAGGACAACCAGCTCTAAAATCTAGATTTTCCAAGGCTGTCAAACGATAAGCTTGAAGGGCCGAGCCGGCCCTGCCATGCCGAAGGCCCGAAAAGGGCTGAGGCTACTCCCAGCCGTTGCCTAAACCACAACTTCAACAACTGGAACGTTCATGGGTGCAAAAATATAAAAGCCCCCCTTGATAGGGGGGTTGGGGGGTAGAAACCCTAAACCCTAATAGAGTATAGTTTGGGTGGCCGGGGTGGGTTTACAAGCAACGCGAGCGCGCGGTCCGGGGTGTTTCACACCCGAGCGCGCGACCTCGCCAGACACACCCTAAACCCTAAACCCTAAACCCTAAACCCCAAACCCTAAACCCTAGAACTCTTAAACCCTAAACCCTAAACCCTCTACACCCTAAACCCTAAACCCTAAACCCTAAACCCCAAACCCTAAACCCTAGAACTCTTAAACCCTAAACCCTAAACCCTCTACACCCTAAACCCCAAACCCTAAACCCCAAACCCTAAACCCCAAACCCTAAATGGGGCTCCCAGCACCGAAGGAGCCAAGGCCTTGGTCATGTGCAGGGAGGATAGGTGGTCCAGGGCTTGCCCCTCACCTGCCATAGGGCTTTAAAGGGGCTTAAGGTTTCGGATTCAGGGTTTAGGGTTTAGGGTTTAAAGGGTTTAGGGTTTAAGAGTTCTAGGGTTTAGGGTTTAGGGTTTAAAGGTTCTAGGGTTTAGGGCTGAGGGTCCGCACGCGGCCCGCGAGATGATTCGGAGAGTCACCCAAACCCTGATCCAAGATGCTGGCCACCCCTTTTTCGGCCGCCCTGACATTTGAAACATCCCGTTCTTCCCGGTTTATCAGCAAATGATGACAACGACCACCGCCTCCACCAAGCACTACCCAGCCTGTGTAACCTCCATCGAAACCTACAGTGATTTGCCTTCATCCAACAGCTTCTGCACTTCACCGCGTTCTGCAGGAAGGACTGCTGTGCCAATTGCCGGCTCCACCCAGCTCGTGAAGATTAGGAGATTAGGATCCGTGGCGAAGCGATGAAACACTACGGGCGATGAAACGAATCTGGCCCTATTTCGACTCAGAAGACTGGACGATAAGGTGGACAACTGCCACAAGGTGAAGCTTAGTGCTGGATCTTTCTGAAGCATCTGTCAATCAAAAACCGGATATCGTCCTGTAACCGGAATTCGCTCAATGGACTCCCACAAGGCCTATCAGAAGCTTCTGGCTGGCGAAGATGTCGCGGGCACGCATCGCGATCTTCTGAGCCTGGCTCAAATGAAAGCACTCACTACTTAGAGGATCATGGGACTTAGTAAGTAGGTTATAATTGGGGTTATAAGTCCCCTAAGTGGAGTTATCCTAATTATAACCTACTTATAACCTTACTTACTAAGTCCCATGAGCCTTCAAGGATCTTGAAGTCTTGGGGGTTTCGCATTCATCCTGCGGGAGCTAGTGTGACGCAGGCCCAAGCTGTACAGCCAAGAAGGAGCATAGAATAGTAATTATGGTAACAATAGTAATAATAGTAATAATAGTAATAATGGTAACAATCGTAATAATAGTAATAATAGTAATAATGGTAACAATAGTAATAATAGTAATAATAGTAATAATGGTAACACTAGTAATAATAGTAATAATAGTAAGATCCTGAACCATGAGGCCCTAACCCTAAACCCAAGCCGCAAAGCTCCAGCAACCTCTGATCCATCAACGACTGTACCTGGCCGTAATTCCGCATGAACCATAGAACCCTCCAGACCCCAATAGAAACCAAAAACACTTTCAGCCAAGGCTAGAAAAAGACACCCTTATAGACCCCTTTGTAGGAACCTTATTCTATTTGTTAAGGCACCTATATTTCGCCTTAATCACCCTCTTAAAACCCTTACAACACATGTCCTCGAAGCTTGCAAAGCCTCCTTTATGCGCTTTGTTCAGGCCTTAACTTTTGCCCTTACTGTAGGGGCCTTAATAATTAGAATAGGGTTCCCTTAAAGCTATGCTATAGGGTTCCTATAAGGGCTACTATAAAGGTACTATAAGGGATTTAGAGAGATAGGGGCCTTAATAATTAGAATAGGGTTTTGGGGCCCATTATACTATAAGAATAATACGGACCCCCCAAAATAGTGTATATATAGGTAATTATTTAGGCCCCTATAGTACCTTTATGAGACTCTGACGAGAAAAGCCCTTCTCAAGTCCATCCCGGACAACCCGATGCCCTTTAACTGCGGAGTACAGCTTAGATCACAATATAGAGCCCCTTATAACTTAAGATATGTTGCTTGATGAAGGGACAATAAACCCTACAAAATAACCCTTAAAGCAACCCCTAGCTTAAGGCATCTCCCTTAATTAAGGGGCTAATGGACCTCTCTGGACCCCTAAAGCAAACCTTACGAAGCCCTAAAACCCTACAAAAAAAGGAACCCCTAATTTAGGTATCTTCCTCAAGTCTCTGGGCTCCTAAAACAAATCCCCTAGGTATCTGTACTTATAACCCCTATCAGGGGACTTATGACCCTACTTACTGAGTCCCATGATCCTCCAAGTACCCTTATAGAAAGCCCCCCCCCCCCGGAACCTCCTCGAAGCGGCCCATCTTCGTGAGCCCGGAGCAGTGGTTAATCCAGGCCAGGCCCTGGCGGGGTTGCGGGGGTTTGCGGGGGTTTCAGGGGGCTAAAGGGTGCCTTGAAAAGGGGTTTATAGGGTTCAGGGCTTAGGGTTTAGGGCTTAGGATTTAGGGTTTAGGGGTTAGGGGTTAGGGCTTAGGGTTTAGGGTTTAGCGGTTAGGGTTTAGGGTTTAGGGGTTAGGGCCTTAGTAAAATTGTGGCACAATGTTCAGCGTGTTTGTTTGCTTTAATAGGGCTGCATGTGGCCATCTATACGGGTTGGGGGTTCAGGATTTCAGATTAAAGGGTTGAGGTCGAAGGCTATAGGATGTATAGCACATACACAAAAATACCGGCTCTGGTAAATGAAGCAATATCCAGTATCACTGGCTCTTGCGAATATCCTGGGATGCAGCACTCAGGGTGTAAGCGAGGCAGGTGCTCACACACACACACACATACTGCCCCTCTAGGCAGAGTCTTACCACGAAGCTGCTGATTCCCATAAGCCCAACGACAGTCTACAACAACTTCAAGCGCCGAACCATGGAACGTGAAAGACTGCAGCCCCTCATTTCGGGTCTGTTGAAAGTAGAACTGTGCGGTGATCAAAAGTGAAATTACAGCTACTTCTGCAGGCTAGGACTACAAGAGAAGTTTTTGCTATTTGTTTCAAGCCCCTATATGAGATCACAGCTACTTCTTCAGGCTAGGACTACAAGAGAGCTTTTTGCTATGTCTTTCAAGCCCCCTTTTTTTGAAATCTTTGCCTCGCCCTTCTTGTCGTTGAGGCTTTCGTAGATTTTGATGGCCCGGTTCGTCTCCTCGCCATGTCGTTGGGGCTTTGTGCCTTTGGGCGTTTCGGGGGTTACCGTGAGGGTTAGGGCAGGCTGTTAGGGTTTAAGGGCTTAGGGTTTAGGGTTTAGGGTTTAGGGTTTAGGGTTTAGGGTTTGAGGGTTTGAGGGTTTAGGGTTTAGGGTTTAGGGTTTACGCTTTGGGTTAAGGTCTCCTTACCATGTCTTTTGGGCTTTGGGGCTTGAGGCTTTTGGGTGTTTCGGGGTTACCGTACGGGTTAGGATTTACGGTTTTGGTTCAGGCCGATGGCGGAGGGTGTGAAACGTTCAGGAGAAACATCGTTCCTCAAGGAAGTCCCAACAGGAACCCTTGTAGGAACCCGTAACGAGGCTACGGCTAGCAACATACCGAAACCCTGACTTGCTTTGAAGGTATGGATTTGGGGTTTCGCTTCTATGGAGCCTGGCCGTTAGGGCGATATGTTAGGGCTTTGCGTTTAGGGTTCTTTTCGAGCGCTCTTTTCCTCCCGGGGCTCTAGAGACAACATGTTCGTGCAAAGAAGACAAGCGCGTTTCTTGGGCACTGCCCCCATACAGTAACAGTATATCATAGGGCGACTACTAAAGTCCGAATATATCTATATTATGAATATTATTCAACCGTTACTGAGTGGCGGCAGTACCCAGTACAGTACGCTTGAGCCAGACAAGGCTTTCTTTTTTGTTGAACTTCTTTTTCCACCCTATGCCAGACAAGGCTTTCAGGGAGTAGGGCTTAGAGGCCTCACATGACGTGGCGTCGATTCAGGGCTCATGGTGCAGGGTTCAGAGCTTCTCAGGGTTGAGGTAGATGTGTAGGGCTTCGGGTTTGGTCCCTGTTTTGCCCGACCCTCGAGAAACTCCCACCCCTCTGCTTTAATTATGAATTGCAGACAGCACGATGTCCTAAACCCTTCTGGCCCTATTATATCCCTAGAAATCTCTGCTATAAGACTATAAGCTAAGCAGCCCAATAAATCAAACAAAAAGCCTCTACAATCCTTACAAGGTTTAGGGTTTAGGGCTTAGGGCTGAGGGCTTCGGGTTTAGGAGGGTTTAGGGTTATAGGAGGACACCACCCATCCACGAGCCCCGAGCTGGACATCCGGCACACTCAACATGCGCCTCGAAGCATTCAGGCCTAAACCCTCGAAACCCTCAAACAATACATGGTTTGGGTCCCTAATATAATACGGCACCGAATATTTAGGGTACCCAAGAAGGGACCATAATTTTGACAACTATCCACATCCTAGATTTACACCTAAGTGTCCGGAACAAGCCGTCTTGAGAACCCTAAACCCGAAACCTTGAAGTACTTTTGGATTGGAAGTTTCAAGCAACGGAAACTCCTCCAAAGCCTCATCCGGCCGCTCCATGCAGAGAAGAGACATGACCATGGTACTGATGGTGGTGGCCTTTCTTCAGGCTCAGAAACCGTGGGTTTAGGGCTTTTGGGGTTTCGGGTTTAGAGTTGGTTTAGGATTCAAGCTTTATTTAGAGCTTGTAGGACGTAGGACTGAGGGTGCGGGCTTTGGCATTTGAGGCCTACTGTCAAGACCTCTTCCGCATGTTTTGGTGGTTTTAGGGTTTAGGGGCATTTGGGCACCCGAAACCCTTCACCCCAAACCCCACAACTCTCAACCTTTGGCGAACCTCCAAAAACCTTTTTTGAACACCCAAAGCCTTCGAAGCCTAAACCCACGAAACCCTAAACCCCTGAAAACCTAAACCTCCGAAACCCTGAACACCCCGAAACCCAGCACATCCCAGTGCTGCCAAAGCGCCATCTCGACCTCGCAGTCCATCTTCTGGAAAAGATGGCAGGCCTTGCGCGCCTGGTCGAGCCTTAGAATCACAGATTAGAGTTCAGGGTTTGGTACCTTAGGGATCGGACTGTGTCGGGTTCAGGGAGTGGTTTTAGGACTTCTGCATCCAGGGCTCAGGGCTTGAGAGTCTAGGGCATAGGGTCTTACGCCCCGGGGTTTCCCCTTTTCGCCCTTCGCCGAGGGGCGCGTCGTCGTACTTCTGGCCCTGGAGGTAGAAGTTAGCCATCTCAGCCATCAAAGTCGCCTTCCAAGGCAGCTTTTGTTAATTATCTGGGTTTAGGGCTTAGGGTTTTAGGGGTTTTTGGGTTTAGAGTTTTAGGGTTTTAGGGTTTAGGGGTTTAGAGTCTTTTAGGGTTTAGAGGGCGCCTGGCAGGGTTTTAAAGCCTCTGCGGCAGCTCTCCGATAGTTTCATAAGACTTTGATGAGGTCTTCTACTTAGAGGATCATGGGACTTAGTAAGTAGGTTATAATTGGGGTTATAAGTCCCCTAAGTGGGGTTATCCTAATTATAACCTACTTATAACCTTACTTACTAAGTCCCATGAGCCTTCAAGTAGAGGTCTGTAAGGTCTTCTGCGTTTTGTGGGTTGGGTTAATGTAGGGGCCTTCGCCCAAGCAGAACAGGTCGCACAACTGGAACACAGAATTGGTGTGCACAATCATACCCTTGATTTAGGTGGTTCCAGGGGATACTATTACTGAGCTAAGGGTCCGAAAACATCATACAAGCCATGAGTATTCGACAAGTCGTGCAAGGGATATGCCTGGGGTTGAGGGTGCAGGACTGAAGGGTTCGGGTACCTTAGACTATACAGGGTTTAGGGATCTATGGTTTAGGGGTTTAAGCGACTAGGGTTTAGGGTTTAGGGATCTATGGTTTAGGGGTTTAAGCGACTAGGGTTTAGGGTTTAGGGATCTATGGTTTAGGGGTTTAAGCGACTAGGGTTTAGGGTTTAGGGATCTATGGTTTAGGGGTTTAAGCGACTAGGGTTTAGGGTTTAGGGATCTATGGTTTAGGGGTTTAAGCGACTAGGGTTTAGGGTTTAGGGCTTGAGAGCGACTCTTGCTTGCTGGCTTAGGTACATGCCTGTTGCCTGGCAAGACAATCGCTCGCCGGGGTGAATGGGCGGGGGGCAAACAGAAGCCTTTTGCAACCCCGGGTTCCAGGTTCAGCGGAACAGTCAACACAGGGGCCTTCATAATTATAACATGGTTCTGTGGCATACTATACTGTAAATATACTAGGCAGCTTCGAGCAATACTACTTCTTTTAGGCCCCTACACAACAAAAAAGAAACCCTAGATTATCTATTTTGGCCCCTATATGACCGGACCTCGTATTTCTTCAGCTGTCGCTCTTTCATCTTTGTGTCCTCGCCGACGGTGCGGAAGTTGGGTCTAAACTTTGGGCCCACGGCCCCGAGGGAAAGGGTTTACTGTGGGGTTAAGGCTTTGGGTCTAGGGTTTAGCTTTTGATGGAAACGCCGGCAGCCCAGTGATTTTGGGGGAACGGGCCGAGAACGACCTTGCTTACAGGACGGTGGAGGAACGTAGCCCCTTGCTGCATAGTGGGGATCCTCTAAATCCTCCGTGCCAAGCTTTGGGCATGATCTGATATAAACCCCAAACCCTAAACCCTTTACTTTGGGTCGCTCGGAAGTGTTGCTGGAAGACCGTTGCAAAATTCTCTTGGGGTCCCTTGCAAGCCTACACAGCCCGACAGAAACCCCAAATGGTAGCCTCAATCCTTGGTCATGTCCTAGTTCTTACTCTGCAACCTCTATTCAGCTAACATTCCTTTCAAGCCTGAAATAACCGGTTCTGGAACCATCGTCCCGAGTCCTCAACCATGGCCATGACCATAACTATGTCTGCATGTGTATGCATGCATATATGTATATAGCGAGTGAGTGAGTGAGTGAGTGAGTGAGTGAGTGAGTGAGTGAGTGTGTGAGTACATATCTCTATATACACATATATATATATATATATATATATATATATTTCTATATATGTATATGTACATGCGTATATATGTATAATACCACAATATATTATATTATGTATATTGTATGTGTATATATATATATATATACATATATATATATATATATACATATACATATACATATACATATATGTTATAGATGGATAGCTAGATAATTAAATACATGTATGTATACTTACACGTCAATATATATATATATATATATATATATATATATATATATATAAACCCAGCGCCTCCTTCGACGAATATACCCAAACCCCGAATCGCCAATCGGAAATCCGCTCAAACATCCCTCAGACTTCTGCACTCATCTACCACAACCCCAGATCCTCGCGAACTCGGCCCCCAGAAGCCTGAACCCTTCAAAACCCCGAACCCCAACCCCCAACCCCGAAGCCTCGAAACACAGGCCCTCGACCCTAAACCCCGAACCCTTCAAGGGAGCCCTCCGTTGTAAGGAAGCCAAAACCCCAATACAGCGGCCTTAATAGTTACAATAGGGTTTTGGGGCCCAGTCTGCTATAGTTACAATAAGGAGCCCGCTAGATAGCATTGGTAATTATTGAAACCCTATATCAAACCCTGAAAACCGCGCGGTCCTTCGAGAGCTTTATGGCCTCCTGGAGCATTTTGGCGGCCCCAGAGGGGTCGCCCTCCACCATGACCACCTCGAGGGTCTAAAGGCTTAGAGAAATAGGGTGTAGGGTTCTAGGGGTTTAAGGTTTAGGGTTTAGGGTTTAGGGTTTAGGGTAGGGTTTAGGGTTTAGGGGTTTGAAGTTGAGATCTCCAAGTTAAGGGGCTTTGAGTTGAGGCATGTAGGGTCAAGGATTGAAGAGGTCAGACTGTATAACTTCTCCACGTTGTCCTTCTAGCCTTCGGCGGATTCAGCCTCAATGGTTGAGGATTTAACTCTTGGGGCTTAGGAGGGTTTTGGGATTGGGGTGGAGAAGGCCTTCAGTGCGGGGTTGGGTTCTTTCGGGTGTGCGAAGTCTGCAAGGATCGAAAGGATCGCTACAATGGCCCTAAACCCTAAACCCTAAACCCTGAACCCTAAACCCTAAACCCTGAACCTTCAACCCTGAACTCCCAGCTCCCGGGTTCTGGGCCTCTGCCGTGGCATCCAACGTCGCCGCAATGCCCACGACGTCCTTCGCCTCCGGAAGCCCGCACACGTGAATTAAGACCCCCCCATCCCCTGGGGACCAAAAAGGGTTTCAGGGGTTTAGGGGTTTGGGGGGTTTAGGGGTTTGGGCGTTTAGGGGTTTTGGGGTTTAGGGTTTAGGGGTTCAGAGGTTCGGAGTTCGGGGTTTAAAGGTTAGGGCTTACGGTTCGGAGGTTTGGGAAATCGGCAATAGGGTTAAGGCTTGCGGATTAAGGTGCGCCTTGAATCTGCCTGGATCCCCCCTCGCTACTTGGCAACCCCGAATCCCAAGCAAGGCCCCTACAAACCCCTAAACCCTGTAAGCCCTATAAACCTTAAACTCTATCAACTCTAAACCCCTAAACCCTGACCCCCACCTCCTTGAAGATGTCCATGCGGCGGTTGACTAGTTTTCGGGCCTCCTGGTAAGGTGAGAAAGGGCTGTTGGCTTTGATGGGTTTAGGGTGTTTAGGGTTTAGGGTTCGCCAGCGTCGTTGGCGCCCTGAGCACCTTTTCTCTCTATAGGGAAAGTGCTTAAGCAGCAATCTTTCTCTTTATAGGGAAGACGCTTAAGCAGCAATCTTGCTCTTTATTGGGAATATGCTTAAGCAGCTATCTTTCTCTCTACAGGGAAGACGCTTAAGCCCACCAGAGCCCGCAACCGTCCGAAACGACCGAAACCGTTCCCACAAAAGTTCGAAAACCTTCCCGAGAGCCCGAAACCCTCCCACACGAAGCCCGAAACCCTACGAGAGGCCGAAAACCTCCTTACAAGAGCCCGAAACCTTCCCCAACAAAGCCAAAACACCCGAAACCGTCTACACGAAAGCCCGAAACCCTCCCTACCAGAGGCCGAAACCACCCTAAACTCTAAACCCTCTAAGTCATCAGGATCACGAGTAGGTCCTTCACCTTCTTCGCCCGGAGCAGGGCCTTCGCACACGGCCATATCATCGGGTCAAGCTGGCCCCGGGTTTTTGGTTTAGGGGTTCGGGTTTAGGGTTTAGGTTCAAAGCTACGCCCGAGGAATCCCAAGGCATGACTTCGTTTCCTGGCTTGGGTTGAGGGTTTGAGGTAGGCTGCGCAAGCATGATGCAGCAAGTAAGACTACTCCCGTCGCCAGGCTCACGTTGATCAGTTGAGATCGACACCGCTCGTCCCTTTGTCCCGTGCCGTTGTCCGCTGGAAAGAACCGCTACAGAACCCAATGAGAACCTTGTAATTCGAACCCTTTTGGATCCCCGGCAAACCCCCCTTATGTAACGGTTGATGATATAAATCCTGCATTACTCACAATAAGGAATATACCATAATTCCCACATATTCCCTATTATGGGTAATGCAGGATTTCTATCATCAACCGAATCAGTGCGCAGCAGACGGATCAGCGGGCCTTCACGCAGGTGCGGAGGGCGACACCCTGCCAGGTGGAGTTCCCCAGCTTGATGAAGATTTTCAGGGCCTCCTTGGCTTCGCGTTTCGGGTTTAGGGCTTAGGGCTTAGGGTTTAGGGTTTAGGGCTTAGGGTTTAGGGCTTAGGGCTTAGGGTTTAGGGTTTAGGGCTTAGGGCTTAGGGCATAGGGTTTAGGGTTTAGGGTTCAGGGCGTAGGGCTGTTTGGGTTCTTAGGGGGTCGAAACCCAAAGACGCAAACCCTAAACCCTGCCAGGACGCCCCAAGTACCCTTCAACGAAGCCCTTAGCGTCTTCAATGGTGGATACTCAGGGTATACTGGAGGGGAGTTGGGGGATCTTGGTACGGTCAAGAGTTCAGAACTACCCCAATCCACAAGAGTTACCCCAGAGACAACGTGGGTTTTGAAACTAAGAGCTGTTCTTTCGCAAGGGCTTCAAGTACGACCCGACCCGACTATGGCGGCTTGTTCACATGATGTGTCATTCGTCGTATTCGCAGAAGTCTTTTTTGCGATAAGGATGCTGCTTCTTCTTCTCTTTAAACTCTACTGAGCGTTCTTGGGTGTCGTGCTGTTCTTGCTGCTTCTGCTACACCTACTGCTGTAAAGGACTGTATGGGGAAGCATAACATGAGGCCGTACACATGTAGGCTTTATACATTTTGGGCCCCAGTAATCACCCCGAAAACCCCCTGGCATGAGTTCTAAACCCCAAAGCCCAAACGGGGAGTCCTCAACCCCAAACTCAAAACCGGGAGTCCTGAACCCTAAACCCAGGCCCCAAAGCCTTAATGTCCTAGCTTTAGGGTATAGGCCCAACGCTAAACCCTAAACCCGGTTTAGGGTTTTGGGTTTTGGGGTTTAGGGCTTGGGGAACCCCTCTTGCATTCTTCCCCTTTCAGCTGCAGCGTCCTCGGCGGACTTTCTGCCCTCCTGGACAAGACTATACCCATTGGCTCCATTGTATAGGGTTTGGGGTTTAGGTGTTCCAGTAAGGGATCCATAAGGGCTCCGTCGAGTTCCTTTAAGGGATAAAGAAGGTTTCCTATAAGGGTGTTTAGGGTTTAGTGTACACCCATAGGCTCCAGTGTAGTTCCTTTTTGTGGTTCATACTTAGGATCCTTTCAGTAATCCCAAAAAAGGAACTACTGTGGAGCCTATGGGTAAAAACCCTTCTGGACCCTAGCAGCGCGCCTCTCAAGCCCTTCCAGAAGCATACTTTTTTGAGAACCCGTACTTGTAGAACCTGTGTGGGATCGGCATCTGCGCAGGTTGAAGTATGCTTTAGGAGTGATGTTTTTTTGCTTTGCAGCTCCACCTGCATAGTGCCTCCAAACCTAGGTGCACGTAATCAAGCATGTATGTACATATATATATATATATATATATACACACGCACATGTACATACCTACCTACATACAGACATCCATCCATCCATTCATCCATCCATCCATCCTTGCATGCATGCAGAGGTGTGCGCATATGTGTGTGTGTGTGCGTATAAAACACAAGAGCTGAAAGAGAAGGACAGGTGTACATGTAAAACTTAAGTGTATAGGGCTGCATATTGTGATCTGAGGTATATTGAAGTGTATTCCTTCGTTACGAGGTATTTGGCTCTTTGGCATACGAACAAAGAGTCTATCCCTACACCAGATGCTTTAAAACCCTAAGCCCTAAACCCTAAACCCTAAACCCTAAACCCTAAACCGTCGTCACCGGTAACAGTGCAAGGAAGCTTCGGACTACAGGGCTTCACGCGGGAATTGAGGGTTTGAGGGTTTAGGGTTTAGGGTTTGAGGGTTTAGGGTTTAGTGTTTGAGGGTTTGAGGGTTTAGGGTTTAGGGTTTGAGGGTTTAGGGTTTAGGGTTCGAGGGTTTGAGGGTTTAGGGTTTAGGGTTTGAGGGTTTAGGGTTTAGGGTTTGAGGGTTTGAGGGTTTAGGGTTTAGGGTTTGAGGGTTTAGGGTCTAGGGTTTAGGGTTTAGGGTCTAGGGTTTAGGGTTTAGGGTTTAGGGTCTAGGGTTTAGGGTTTAGGGTTTAGGGTCTAGGGTTTAGGGTTTAGGGTTTAGGGTCTAGGGTCTAGGGTTTAGGGTTTAGGGTTTAGCCCAAAAGGTCGGAGGCCGATTGCTAAGACCTGGGAGCCTGCAAAGAGCCCAGAGCCTCAAGACACGAGTTAAAAGAAGAAGAAAAACCGAAACCGCCAAACCAATCAGGCCCACAACAAGAGAACACCCTAAACCCTAAACTGGCTTTTTCAAAAATCCAGGGAAGGCCAGCGCAGTCCTTGTAGTGGCCCAATTGCAGCTGCAGCCGCGCTAGAAACTCGAGTTCGAGCCCTTCCTCTTTTCCTTGTCGGCTTCATGCTTTGGTGTTTAAGGTAGGTAGTATTATTAAGGAGACCCCTTAAAGGGTACCCCTTCTGAACCCAACTTCTGGCTCTCTTGAAAGGGGCCTTATTCAGAGGGTCTATATCCCCAAGGGTCCCCCTAATCCTAACTCCCATAAGGTTCCAAGTAAAAGGTTCAGATTTACAGGTCCTCAAACCTAAACCGACCCTTAAACCCTTAACGCGAAACCTGAAACCCTTCGCCCTTAAACGCTGAAGCCCTAAACCCTGAAACCTAAAACTCTCAACTTTCCTATGTTGAACTTGGGAGCCTGCAAAAAATCAGAATTTAATCTGCATGCTTCTTAAGTATTATAACAACCGAACATCAAACGCTATGTCCAATAACAACCCTACACCCTAAACTGTTAGGGGCTACGCCCCTGTGCGCCCGCACAACAGTTCGTGGTTTTGATCAGCTTAAGCGCCCTCCAAGAGGTAGAAAAGAGCACCCCACAGAATTGGGGCTTGGGGCAGCACCGTTAACCTTGACCCTTGTCCTGGACGCCGCTGCGCTGGCAAACCCTAAACCCTAAACACCAAACCATCAAGAAGAAAAAAACACAAATTGTATGTGGCTCACTTGAAGGAGGCAGTCTAGTTGGGTTGCAAAGTGTATTCGAAATCCAGAAGCATGGAAGTGCTCCATGTAGAAAGGCTGCCCGCATAAACAAGCCCGCAATGCACATGACTTTGCCCTACAAGCCGGTTTCTATACTTGGAGGTTCATGGGTCGGTATAAGTAGGGTTGTAAATAGGGTAACTATACTTACAACCCATATAAGGGGACGAAAAAGCCCAAGAAAGAACTAACATGAACCTCCGAGAATAAATTGCTCCGGCGAAACCTAAACCCTAAACCCTAAACCCCTGAACCCTAAACCCTAAACCCGTAAACCCTAAACGGCTAAACCCTAGACCCCAAACCCCTAAACCCTAAACCCCCGAACCCTAAACCCTAAATCCGTAAACCCTAAACCGCTAAACCCTGAACCCCTAAACCCTAAACCCTCCAGGGCCCAAGGCTATTGGGTTGTTGGGGGGTTGGAGCGTCGGCAGTTTGGGGCTTGGGAGGGTTTAGGGGGTTGAAGCGGTTTAGAGAATGTAGGGTTTAGGGCTCAGGGGGTGGAAGGGGTTGAGAGAATGTAGGGTTTAGGGTTTAGGGGGTTGAAGGGATTTAGAGAATATGGGGTTTAGGGCTTAAGGTTTTGGGAAGCTTAGGGCGTTGGGTTTTGGTTTAAGGCTTGGGATATGGTGCAGGCTTGGGTCCCGGGGTGCAAAGCCGCAGTGCCGTGGTTGGTGTATGAAACCCTGAACTCAAAACCGCGAAAACCTCAATCCAAAACTCCTCCAAAATCTCAGGACCCTAACCGAAATCGAAGCCCGAAACCCTAAAACTCCAAAACCCACAAACGTCCGAACCTAACCCCGATGTAACCCCCGAGGAACTCCGAATTCATCCGAGCTGCTGAGGCCGAGCTGTTGGAACATCGCCGCCGCTTCGCGGGCGTGCGAAACTGACTTTCGAAAGTCCTGCTCCCGGGGGTCTACAGATTAGCGCGTGGGGTGTATGGATAGGGTTTAGAGTTTGAAGTTGAGGGTTCAGGGTCTTCGATGCAGAAGCTTAGCTTGCAGTGAGCATACGCAGGAGTAGAACAGAAGTAAACGTCGAAGTAGAAGACGACAACGCCTCGTAGCAATGCTTCCCTTGTCAACCTTTTCTAAGCCCGCTACAACAAAATCCTGCAAAAGCCCCCTATGATGCCCTATAAAGCCCACTGATTCCATCTGAAAGTACGTTTCCTTCGTCAAGGTCTCTAACCCTGTGCTTCCAAGGACCGTATAGTTAGGGCCCTAAACCCCTTCAGGACCCAATAATAAGCTCCCTGCAATCCAAGGGCAAAAAGAGGGACCCTTAATAAGGACCCCTAGGTATATACACTTAATATAGCTGTTATATACCCATGATATAGCCCCATTATAGGTTAGGGCTCCCCATTAAGGGTCCCTCCTTTTCCCCTTTGATTGGGGTAAAGCACGGGATGCGGAGCTCGGTGCCTCCAACCGGCCAGTCGCCGAGGCAAGCCCATGGAGCGCCCTGGCCTGAAACAAGTTAGGGTTTAAGGGTTCTAGAGTTTAAGGTTTAGGGTTTAGGGGTTTTCGAGTTTTCCTTTTTAATGCAATGGGCCCTTGTAGGGGTTTCAGAGTTTAGGGTTTCGGGTTTAGGGTGCAGGGGGGTTTTGGGTTTCGAGCTTAGGGCTGGCGGGCGGGTGAGTACATACTGGGTGAACCAATCGATCAAGCTGACCTCATATTATCTTGAGCCTGACCTCTCACATGGGCGATGGTTGAACCCATATCTTACACCCGATGGCGGTTCGTTAACATATCTGAAACCTGCCATCAGGCGATAGCGGATGATCTCACATGTTAGTTCTGCCCCCTCATAAGGCGATGGCAGCTGCTCCCATATCTCACATACGACCCCGCATTCGGCGATTGCGGTTCATCCCATTTTTACACTCGGCCCCTCACTACGCGAGCGTGGTTGCTCCCACATCTTCAACCCGACCCCGCGTTAAACCATGGCGATCGGTCGAATACAGCATCTTAAATTCGCCCCTTCTCCCAGCGATGGCAGATGATCTCATATCCCAAACTCGACGCCACATTACCTCTCATTAAGTCATGGCAGTTCCTCCCAAATTTCATACTGCATATTTCACCCGACATTAAGCGATGCTGTCAGCTCCCAACAGTTTCACTCGACTCCACAGCAGGCGATGGCGGCTGATTTCATATCGGACTCTTCATCAAGCAGGGGAAATCTTGATGTGCCCCCTCATTAGGCAATGATAGCTGGTCCAACATCGTAAACTCGCTCCCTCACAAAGATGATCTGAGCGCCCATTTTGTTATTTGTTGAGGTCTATACGAGTCTATACTCTACACGAGGAAGGCGTGTGCGGGTGAGCGAGTGAGTGAAAGAGCGACTGAAGACGCGAGCGAGTGCACGATTTAGCCCACAGTGCGGCAGGCGCACCGGAGAAACTTAGAAACTTTCTAAATATTGCATCGTTAGCAGAACCGTGCCAGTGTTCCACGCGTTAGGGTGTGGGGGCAGAGCTCTTTCTATTTTACCTTGAATCCTAAACCCTAAACCATGAGGTTTCGGGTTCGAGGTGGAAGGAATGAGTCTGGCTCGTGGCGCCTTTAGCGTTTAGGGTTCAGGGTTTCGGGTTTCGGATGTGGGATTCAAGGTCTGGCATGTGGGCTTGAAGGCTTGAGATTTCTACCTTGAGGGCATCAGGGAAACTGTTGAGGGTCTCTCCTTACACTGTGCTCCTCGCAGTAGAGCATAAATGCCTTGAAGGACACAGGAATTAGAACAAATTCAACCCCGTGTAAAGCCGTCCTGAAACTCTCATAAACACCTTCCCCTTGTAAACACCTTATAAAGTCCCGGTAAAAATTGCAAAAGTGCATGGAACCCTCAACCCGATAACGCCTCCGCTGAAAAAGTATCGGGAACCAACCAGCCTCTCCGCTGCGCCCAACCACGTCCTCTGTACCCGGAGACTCCAATATCCCTTAATTAAGGGATATATCTTAAATTATAATAAGATCCCTAATATGATTTAAGGTATATTCCTTGATTAAGGGATCTTGGAGTCTCTGGGTAGCAAAGCAAAAGCAGCGTCATGGGGAAAATGAGGACCTGAAGCTCAAACGAAACCAAAACCCCGAACCCCAGAATAGAAGGCTCACGTTGGGTTTACGGTTGGGATCGGGGTTTAGAGTTCGGGTTTCGGGTTGCAGGTTTCAGCTTAGATCAGCAAGAAAGAACTCCACACCCGCACCCTGAGTTCGCAAGGGTTTGGGGTTTAGTTTGTGTTGGTTACTTGGAGGCTCACGGGTAGTTATAAGTCGGGTATCTATGCTTATAACCTAGATTGGACTTCTACGCCCACTTATACCTCCCCATCAACCTCCAAGTAGGGAGCTCGGATTTCTGCTTCATGGCTGAGAAAACTATGACCATTCGTACAGACACCTGTGAGACAACCGGGTCCGACTCGAACCCGATATAAGACGGGCTTCGAGAACGTACAGCTTGGGGGAAAACGTGACGGAGGTCTGATCCTTCGGCCTATGTTCGGGACTGAGACCCTAAACCCATGAAACCCTACAACCCTAAAGCCTAAAAATAATTCATTCAACCCTTAAGCAACCCTAAACACTGTAAAACGAAAACAAAGCTAAATCCGTAAAATCCCTGAAACCCTAAAAGCTCTAAGCCGTATATCCCGAAAAACCCGACTCCCCAAAGCCGATGGCTCGGCAGGGCCAAACTCTGTCCTCCTCTGGGCACTCGGTAAACAGCTGAATCGCTGCCTCCAGTCAAGTCGACACTTCGTGGCTGAGATTCCGTCGTATTTTTTGGATTTTATAGGGGGGTTGATGGCTGCAGTATCTAGGTGTCACACCCTCAGATGTTGCCACAGTGCTTCCGTGAAACCCTAAGTGAGCCCAAAAAGACTGGAATCCTAAACCGTGAAAACCTGAAAGTAAACACGACGGCCCCAAACTCCAGAAGCCCGAACCTGACCTTTTTCTCGACCCGAAACATGGAGAAGCCTTCAGCGACTTGATGGCACGCAAGTAGTGCTTCCGCTGATGCGCCTTCACACCTGCAGAGCCATGCAGAGGCAAATTATGCACTACTTATACCCGTATGTGTATTTTTGTTTATGTTATACCAAAATCTACATCTACATGATTGTCTATATCTGTAGCTGCAAAAAATTTGTCTACAATGTCTACCGCTGTTTCTAGATCTAGATCTATATGAAGGGCTAGAACTTAAGCTACATGTGTGAATCCATATCCACCTGTACACACTTGCATGTTCATATGTGTCTCTATGTATATATATATATATGCATATGGCATATGTCAAATATAGTGCACAGATAGTCCGAAGGGAACAAGACAAGTCCTTGATGACATTTCAGAGCTCTGCTGCTGTGCTGCCAAGCTGACTGTCAGCGTGAGGAATCCCAGGGCTAGCCCGGACTCCCAAAACAGCAGCCTTAACACTTCAAATCGGGTGGGGTATGTTTGTACTGGAAGGAAACAGGGACAGTACGAAAGTGTGACCACTATACCGTTTTGGAGCACTACATTACACCTGCTTGGGCTTTAAGCTTGAGTGGATTTTGTTCACTGTCAGACATTCCATGAGATAGTGAGGAGTCCCGCAGGTCTCTTGAGCACTCATGTTGCGTTGTAAATAGTTTTGAATTATGAGCATCAACTGTACCTGATCTTAGGCACAACAGGTGTCATTATTGGCCATGAGCACGTTTGCAAGAAGTACAACCTGTGAGGAATAAACCCTCTCTCCTAAGAAAGGTGTAACATTATCGGGGCCCTAGTGAAATTGAGACCGAAGGCCCTAAACCATGAATCCTAAACCCAAAGCCTTAAAGAGAGGCAGACGCCACCACAAGCCCAAATCGGACGAGGCACTCTTCTGCGTGCATGCGGAAGCCGCAGCTAAGAGCGCGAAGCCTTCTAGCTTCTTGTTGCCTCAGTTTCGGGTTTAAGGTTTAGGGTTTAGGGTTTCGGGGTATAGGGTTTGGGGTTCAGGTTTAGCGTTTAGGGGTTGACGTATTGAGGCATCAGGTGGGTAAAAGCCACAACCCCGCCGGGGAGCCCGGGTTGCCCCTACCGTCCTGTTTTTCTGTCGGGCTTTTGTTCCGAGATCAACCCGTCATCGACAGTGGTCTAGGGTTTAGGGTTTCGGGTTGATGAAGTGGTGGGCCTACCCGAATCCCTAAACCCCAAAAGCTCCAACAATGAGAAAACAGCACTTTCCAAACCAACAGCCGGGTTTCAAGCCTCAAGTGCGCAACCACCGGAGAGCCCAATACCACTAATTACAGAATCGACCTTCCATGATGGAGGTTCCTGGTATGATTTCGAGTATAGTATATCGCTTAGTCAAGGGAACCCTAAACCCTAAATACCCAATTCCCCTATTCCGTCATTAGGGGGGAAGTTACACTCTTTGGGGACAATACAAGAGGCTTTGTCTAACTCTATAGTTATATTATGGGCACTCTAACGGTCATACCAAACATTCAGACCTCTATAATAGCCTGGCTCCGTCATGAAGTCTGATCTTCTGCGCCACAAAGCACCGGTGCACCAAAACTCCAAAGCGCCAAAACCTCAATCCTAATGCCCGCATACAAAAGCCCTCTTGCTAACCCCCAAACCCTAAAGCCCCAAGCCCCAAAACCCTAAAACCCCAAACCCCCCCTAAAACCCCTAAGCCCCTAAACCCTAAACCCCTAAAACCCCTAAAACCCCTAAGCCCCTAAACCCTAAACCCCTAAAACCCCTAAACCCCCCAAAACCCCCCAAACACGAAACCCCCAGAGCACACGAATAAGCCCCGCAAGACGACCCCCTTTCCGTGCTTCGACACCGAGCTCTCTCTGGAGCGTCACCGCCTCACGAAGATGAGGGTTTTTGATGGGAGGCCAAAAGGGGGGTTTAAGATTCTGGGGGTAGGGATTCCTTAATATGAACCCTATTATGGAAACCCTAATCCCTACTAAACCCCCGTAGGCTAAAACCCCTTTTGGCCTCCTATGAGTTTAGGGTTCGGCGTTTGGGGCGTTTGGGGCGTTTGGGGCTTTTGGGTTTTGGGCTTTCAGTGTTTGGCGTTAAGGGCTTAGGGCGTCGAGTCCGGAGTAGACTGACTCGTGCTAGGGCGAGGGTTTGCGAGCGTACACCCATCCTCGGAAGACCTGACAATCCTTCAACCGGAACCCTAAACCCTAAACCCTGAACCCTAAACCAAAACCTGTAAACAAGAACTGCAACCTTTCCAAGATCCTAGACCTCCTCAGGAGAGACCCTTACAGACGCCAGAATCCCTCAAAAGCAACGCACATAAACTCCACAAGCCCGCTCCAAAATAAAAAGAGCTAAACTCTAAACGCAACAGAACAAATACATACAAAGATATATACATATATATATATACTCTTTTATATACACACACACATTTTTCTACAGTTCCGTGCATTCAGTGGTTTGCGCAGCCTGATTAGAGCTTGCATCGCTCCATACACACACACGCACAGATATATATATATATATATATATATATTATAAAAAGGGCCCAAATCGCCTGCGCAGGGCAGGAATATTGTAGGCCCCAGCACCCGCCATGGGTGCGTCTGCCGGCTACGGGCAAGCAGTGCATAGCGGCAAGTGTGCCATGCACAAGCTGGGCATTTAGGTTGTGCCCTCATCTGACATGATGGCAGTCATGGACGCAAAAGACACACTGCGTAAGGAGACTTTGTTGAGCATTCGTTCGGAGGACATGCTCGCAGACTACACAGCAGATGAGTTTGCGACTGGCTTCAAGAAGAAGCCGGCTTTTCAGCTGCGCAGCATCAAGCAGAACAGAGGCTTGTCGTGGATCACCAAGCGGCAACCTGGCAGCTCATGCCCTTCACCTTTTTGTGACGGTGTTTATGGGTTCGAAGGACATGCTGTGCAGAGTGGCCATATTGAACACGGGTTGGGCGGACACGCTCGCACCGTTCACCATAAAGGAGTCTGCGACTGGCTTCAAGAAGACACCGGCTTTCCAGCCACACGGCATCAAGCAGAGCAGAGGCTCGTCAGGCGAGGGCATTTGGACCACCAAGCGGCAACCTGGCCGCTCATACACTTCACCCGATGTGATGGTGTTATGGGCTCGAAGGACATGCTGTGCAAGGTGGCCATGTTGAACATAGGTGTGGAGATGGTTTGGAGGACACGCTCGCGCACTTCACCGTGGCGGCTGGCTTTAAGAAGACACCCGCTTTTCAGCTGCGCGGCACCAAGCAGAGCAGAGGCTCGTCAGGCGAGGGCATCTGGATCACCACAGGGGTTGGAGGACACGCTCGCATACGTCGGTAAAGGAATTTGCGGCTGGCTGCATGAAGATGTTGGCTTTTCGGCAGAGCGCCATCAAGCAGAACAGAGGCTCGTCAGGCCTTCGATCTGATGACGCTGACTCCACCATCCTGACTTAGCAGTGAGTGATGCTGAGGCGCTTTAGATTTGCGTGCGGCTTCATGCTAGGCAGAGTTTGATGTCCCGATATCACCTCGATGAAGGTGTTAGACATTATGGGTATTATAACCGTGTAGGAATGGCCTCATTTGATACCCATGAGGAAGATCCTGCACCTCTTAAGGTCCGATATGTGGATCGTATCATGTTTGGTGCTTTGATCGCCGATAACGGAATACGAAGCACCACTCGCTTGCCGTGCATGTTCAAGCATCGTCTATGTGCCATCGTTTTGATTTTGTCGAAGGAGCGGGACAGCTTTTCCTTCGCTGGCTCAATCCCGTCTCCCAGTGCGAGTCCACACTGGTGACAGTCAGATTACTGGTCCGCACGAAGCAACTTAATTAAGTGCATGCCAAAGGGCTGCAACCAACATGGAGTCTAAGCCCCAAATGCGAGAAATGCGAGAATATATTATAAAAAATATTATATTAAAAGATTCTATTAAAAGAAAACAAGAACGCCGTCCTCGTCGGCCCAGGCCAAGGCGGAGTCTCGAAGCTCCCCTCGGCAGCGGAAGGTGGCCACCTGCTCCGCCGTGAAGGGCTATGGGGGTTTTGGGGGTTTAGGGATTAGAGTTTAGGGTTTAGAGTATGGAAGGCTTCAAGGTTTAGGGTTTAGGGCTTAGAGTATTTAGGGCTTCAAGATTTAAGGTTTAGGGTTTAGAATTTTTAGGGCTTTAAGGTTTAGGGTTTAGGGTTTAGAGTATTTAGGGCTTCAAGGTTGAGGGTTGAGGGTTTAGAGTATTTAGGGCTTCAAGGTTTTGTAAGGTTTCTGAATTTTGAAGGTTTTAGGGTTTAGGGGTTTTGGGCTTAGGGTTTCAAGGTGTTTGGGGGTTCAGGGTTTTAGGGTTTTGGCGGGGTCTTAAGGTTGTTAGAGGGTTTTAAAGATTTAGGGCTTCAAGGATTTTAGGGTTCTAGGCTTTTAAAGGTTGAAAGGTATGAAGGTTTAGCGTTTAAGAGTTGTAGGGTTTGGGGTGTGGGTTTTAAGGTTTCGAGTTTTGGGGTGTTGGCGATTTTGTTTGAGAAAGGGTCTGTGCTTGTAAGGCTTCAGGCTTCGTGGTGCTTTACTTCTTAGAAAAAGACTGTAGCAAGCCCACATCTGTCGGTGGGGCTTGACACCTGGCTGTATTAGGGCTTGAAATTTGAAGGGTTTTGGGGTTAGGGTTGATAAGGCCCTAAACAAGCACATAAGCAAAAATGAGGGTAGGGATATCCCATATAAACCCCCATATGGTAGGAATATCCCGTATAAACCCCCTTAAAAGGAAGGCCAATAAGGTAGGGATATCCCCATAAAGTGCTTATGCTTCTGTGCTTTTTGGGTCCCTAAGTTGAAGGTTCAAGGCTGAGGCGGCAAAGAGCCGATTCAGTGATGTTTTGGGTTTGTGGATACTGAAACAGAGGAGCATCAAGACATGGGTGGTTGTCACAACTATGGCCCCTTTTTGGGTACCCTAAATATTATACTAAGGACCCAAAAAAGGACCCTACTATCCCAGACCATTTCGGGCTTAGGCGTTCGGGGTTCATTTGAAGTGTGAATGCAGCTGAGGGTTGACACTCAGACTGGCGCTTTTTGGATCGCCGGGCCAGGGTTCAGGGTTTAGAGTTTATAGGGTCTGGGGTTTAGGGTTTAGAGATTATAGGGTCTGGGGCTTAGGGTTCAGGGTTTAGGGGTGGCATCGTAGAATTCGGCCTCTGAGGCCAAGGGTTCTTCTGTGTCTGCACGGGTTGGTTCGTGCATGCTACCCCGCCTTAGGAATTCCTTTTTGAGGGTTCCTTGTAAAGGGGTCTATAGGGATTGCTACAAGCGGTATTCTGGTGAACCAATTCTGCCACTTGGACCTGTAAAAAACGAAGCTCGAACCCTTAGCCCGGTAGGTTTGGAATCAAAACACTCTAGATCCAAGCAACCTCTGGACCCTAAAGCCCCCCAAAGCCCGAACCATCCTAGATCCCCAACAGCCCCAAGCACCCTGAGCACCCCCAAGACCGCAGGAAGGGCCTTTACCCCTCTCAGAGCCCACCATAGACACAGACAGCAGGTCTAAAGAAAGCCATAATCTATGTGAGCCAAACCCTAGAAAGAAACCATAAGAACCTAGACTCTAAACCCCAAACCCCCTGAAAATCCCAGCGAAAAACCTTAAGAACCCTAGGCTCTACCCGAAACCCTAGTAGAGAGACCTTAAGAAGCCTAGACTCTACCCTAAACCCTAAAGAGAAACCAACCCGAAAACCTTAAACCCTAAACCACAAACCCTAAAACCCCAAACCCTAAAAGCCTAAACCCTTAACCCTAAACCCTAAAGCGCGAGGCCTCTGCAAGGGACTGCAAGGCCATGGCCTCCTGCTCTTTGTTTCCAGCTGCGCGGACATCCTGCAAAGGATTTAAGCCCAGAGACTCCAATATCCCTTAATTAAGGAATATACCATAAATTATAGTAGGCTCCCTAATATGATTTAAGGTATATTCCTTAATCAAGGGATACTGGAGTCTCTGGGGGGTTTAGAGTCTAGGGTTTGGCGACTTCTTGGTTGAGGGAGGGTTTAGGCTTCACACATTGAAGGTTTGAGATTTGAGAGGTTCGAGGGTTGAGGGATGGGTTTCGGGTTAAGGGTTTAGGGCTTTAGGGGTTTAGGGTTTAGGGTTGCGCCGATGCTTGGCATCGTTTTCCTCATCCTCTTGTCTCATTGCCACTACATTGCTGCTCTTCTTTCTACTTCTCTTCTGTGAAGACAACTTATGACCACCGATCCCAGCACCTCTAACCTCGAAACGGAAAAACATCCTTCAGAAGCAGCTCTTCAAAAAAACTCGTTAGCCTTAATAACCTCAACCTCAGTGCCACAAACGTTGAACCCAAACCCCACAGCCACCCTGTTGCGTCACGGGTGTAGGTTCAACCACCCTATAAACATTGTGACAAGCCATAAACAGAAATTAGCACTTGTGTAAGACCCGACAAAATCATAGATACACACCTTTACTAAAACCCACTCTTTAAAGAATTATTGACAGCTCAGAAAGCCATTCAAGCCTGTTTCACCCCTGTTGGAAGAAAACCAATCAAGACCCCCAATCCCAAAGCATTTGAGACCATGAGGTGCTCCTGAATATCAAAAAACACGCTGTGAGAAAACCCCTAAACCCTAAACCCTATACTATACCCTGAAGGCTAAACCCTCAACCCTAAACCCCAAACCCTATACTATACCCTAAAGGCCCTCAACCCCAGACCCGAAATCCCGCAACCCCTCAACCCCCAACAAACCCCCTAAACTCCCCATAAACCCCCTAGCTAAACCCCCACAAACCCACTCTAAACCCCCTACAAACCCCGTAAACCCCCCCGAAACCCCTCCTTAACCCCCCATAAACCCCCCTAAACCCCATATAAACCCCCTAAACCCCCCATAAACCTAAACCCCTAAACCCTAAACCCCCTATAAACCGTCTGAGTCCTTGAGGTGCTCCTGGCCCAAGGCCAGAGCCTCCTTGCGGGACTCGAACTCTGCCAGCGCGCACATCGCCCTGGGTGGGAGCTGCCGCGCGGTTTAGGGTTTAGTGTTTAGGGTGGGGTTTAGGGGTTGGGTTTGCGGCTTGGGGCTCTGGGGTATAGGGCTTTGGGGTTAAGGGGCTAGGGTTTGGGGCTTAAGGGTTGGGGGCTTCGGGCTTTGGGGTTAAGGGGTTAGGGTTTGGGGCTTAAGGGTTTAGGGGTTGGGCGTAGGGGTTAGGGTTTGGGGCTTAGGGGTTTAGGGTTTAGAGAACATGTCCTAGCTTGGATCAAGGCTTCCGGCTTTTTTGTTAGGCGCTTCCTCCCTGCTATAGAAAAGCTTCAGGTTAAGGGTCCGGGAAAGGGCGTCTGTAGGTGGGTGCTTGTGTATCGTAATGAGGAAGGATACTGATATTGGTATAGGGCTTGTGGTCTTGAGTTTAGGGTTTTGGGGTTTGGAAATTGAGTGAGGGTTTGGGAATTTATGAAATTTCAGTCTTGATGTGATTACAATCTGCCATCCTGGATACCTAGACGTCTCTAAACCCTCAACCCTAAAACCTAAATCGTCCCTACACCCTAAACCCTCAACCCCCAAACTCACATGCACCCGAGCAGCACGCGGGTGGCATCGGCCACGCCTTGGGCACTTTTGCAGGCCCGAAACTGCTCCAGGGCCTTCTTGGCGACAGACTGGGAGTCCTCGACATTCAGATCAATAACAGAAATCACACTAATAGCAACAGTAAGCTAACACCAACAATAACAATAATGACAATAATAAAGGTAACAACAGTAATAACAGAAAAAACAGAAATAAAGACCATAATAGCGACAACAAACTAGAAAAACAAGTAAAAGAAGTGGTGATACTAACAATAATAATGATGATAATCATCATAAGACTTGCTGATAATCATAACAATAATAAGAAGAAGCATAGCAATGATAATACCAACAATAACAAGGAAGGAAAAGGATAAGAGTAGTACTAATAATAACAATAATCATAAGTATAGTTCAAGTTATACATATGTCATTACTAATAACAGCAATAATAAGAATACCAACCCAATGATAACAATCACAAGGATAGCAACAATAATGACAAAGTAATAGTAACAATATCAATAACTACAAAAATGACATTAACATCGATAATAGGAATAGCAGTAGTAGTAGTAGTAGTAGTAGTAGTAGTAGTAGTAGTAGTAGTAGTAGTAGTAGTAGTAGTAGTAGTAGTGTTAGTAGTAGCAGTGGCAGTCGCAGTAGCAGTAGCAGTAGCAGTAGTAGTAGTAGTAGTAGTAGTAGTAGTAGTAGTAGTAGTAGTAGTAGTAGTAGTAGTAGTAGTAGTAGTAGTAGTAGTAGTAGTAGTAGTAGTAGTAGTAGTAGTAGTAGTAGTAGTGGTAGTAGTAGTAGTAGTAGTAGTAGGAGTAGCAGTAGCAGTAGCAGTAGCAGTAGCAGTAGCAGTAGCAGTAGCAGTAGCAGTAGTAGTAGTAGTAGTAGCAGTAGCAGAATGGTAGTAGTGGTAGTCGTCGTCGTAGTAGTAGTCGTAGCAGCAGTAGTAGTATTATAAAGAAGAAGAGGAAGAAGGACAAGATATAGAAATTACGATGCGAATACCCATGTTCTCCCATAATGATACCAATAAAAATACGATAGACAATAATCACAACATTCAGAGGTCAGGCCTCGGAGTTTAGGACTTCACAACTAAGGATGCGAGCCCTGATACGCCCGCAACCAAAGCTGTCAGGTGCTTAGTAGGGAATGGGGGAATGGGTTATGGGAACTATTATTGGGGATTATACACGGGCTACCGGAGGGATCCATTCCCGCACCTACTAAGAACCAGACAGAAAATGTCAACCGGAACCCTTCCCTGGACCCTTCAACCTCTGAAACACCACTGTGGTTGCCGTGAAGACCACTACGGATGCTGAGCTGTCTCAGCTCCACACCCTCCCAACAGTCTGGCTCTTGAGCTTTTGCCTTTAGGATCCTACACCCTCACAAAGCTTCTCTACCGGTCCTCGATACGCCCCCGGCTCAGAGAGGCCTCTGCTTCTGCAAGCAGGCGGGAAGCTTCTTGGAGGTCCGCTTGCAGCGAGGCATCTTCTGCCAGGGCGGCGTGCTTGACACCTGCAGAGGGGCCCACTTGGAGGTTCATGGGAAGTTATAAGTAGGGTTATAAGGGGTTTAGGGTTCCCTTAAAGGGATCTATAGGGTTTAGGATTTAGGGATTAGGGTTTAGGGATTAGGGTTCATGGGTAGTTATAAGTAGGGTAACTAGACTTATAACCCATATTAGGGGACTTAACCCTGCTTATAGCTACCCATGAACCTCCAAGCACCACAAGGATCAAGAAGCCCTCGGGTCCCTTTCTGGGAGGCCAAAAGCCCCCAAACCTTCAAAAGTCCAAAGAATCGAATCCCAACGGCTAGAGACGGAAGCCGAACTTGCTCCAGAGTTGGCCTATGTCGGTGGTCGGCAAGATGAGCAGCACTCGTCCGGGCTCATAGCCTCTGGAAATGCCCACCGTCATGGCGATGCCGGCCCTCAAGGAAGAAGTCCCGAATCTAAGATTGCAGATCTTTAGATGTAGTCGGAAGACCAAAACCGAGCAGCGATGGTTTACGAGACATGATTGCTGGGATCAAGGTATCAACATTCGCGAAACGAACATATTCTATCATCGAAACCCAACCAGTCTACTGGATGGATTGCTCTGATGGGTTTAATGGGTTTCATGACGTCATGTTTTGAAGCTACACGGCATCGCATAGAAGGCTTGGCAAAGTATCGTTATGTGTAGGTATGTGTTGAAACACCGAGCAGCTGTTTGTGAAAATTCGGGAGTTGCGTGCTAGAGGAATTTCACCCCACCTGCTTCCCACGACTAGAAATCTAGCTAACCAAAGTCTTGGCGTAATATCACATGTTCTCGAAACAGACTATCAAGTCGAAGTTAAGATGTTCAGACTTGGCAAGCAGTGTGTATTGAAGAGTTGAAGGCGCCGAAAAGCAAAATGCTTGCACACAGCCATGTTCATTCTCGCCACTATGCGGTGTGGTGCTGGCTTATGTCACTCGCACCTGTGAGCAGTGCAGCCCTTGCGGACTATGCATCGCCCGCCCACATCTCCTTCCACCTGCATGTCGGTAAGGTCTATGTGGCTAGCTGAATTTTAACGGAGGTATTCAGCGGCTGCCTGCTCCGGCCAATCAACATGCTGCTTAAAAGGATCATGCATCATAAGACGTCCACCAAACTCTGCAAAGTTACCACTCCATTTCATTTCAGAAAACCAGCAAAATGACCCGCTTCTAAATGAGAGCACATGGCTCTGCAGCAACAAACATCCTGAGCTCAATCTTGTGGATGCGCTGCTGTCGCCGCCGCGATGAGAACCCCCACCGAATCTACGGTAGAAGTCGCTGGCCGGACCCCTTTTGTAAACCACATACCTTATGCCAAGACTGCCGACTGGCCCACCACAGATCGTGGGATAACAAAACCAGCAAATCCCGGGCCACTGGGAGAACAAAACCTAACATTTCCCGCCTGACTCCCTGGATTTCAGCCTCTCAAACAGCAACCCTGTTCTTCTGCAAAGATCGTCTGCACTTTCTCATCAACCTCATTCTGTCTATCCTCGCTTCAGTTACTCATTCTGACTCGCGTCTGCGGCCACGCAAAGGACTTGGAGGAGCTATGAAGAGCGTAGGTGCCGAAACGTCTGCGCAGCGAACCAAATCGACCGAAATCACACATTCATGTGCACACTCCTGCACCTCAGCACCTGAACTGCAGCACATGTTTCCTCCAGAGGCTGTTTCCAGCGATCCATCGGAAAATGGTTGCCGCGGGCAATAGCAGGGGCTCAAGGCGACGGCCTCTGCCAACTAAAACTGTGTAACGGTTCTTCTGGCACTACTCATGCGGTATCGAAGACAAAGAAAAAGCCTGGCCACATAGCTGGCCCCACACTTCCCCACGCGCTGCAGTCCGAGTCACGCAGGAGTAGCTGCGCGCTGGCAGGCTGGCCCGGGAAGCCAAAAATGCACGCTAGCACGCTAGCTGCTGGAGTGGCGTTCGAAAGTCGTCGTCTCGTCCACATGCCAGGTCCAGAAGAAGTGCTAGCGACCTTTGATCGGTGGCAAACCACCTCGACGGGCACCCAGAATCCACAAAGGCGTCCACCGCATTTCAGAGTGGTTCAAACGTGCATGCATTTGCGCTGCAGCGAGCAACCCCCAAGTATGGGTAGGAGACACTACCAGCAGTGACCAGCAGAGACTCGGTCTCTGTGGTCATCGCGGCAGTGGCTGTTGACGCGCCGCTTCTTCCTAATCTGTGAAACCACTCGGTCAACAATACAGAGGTCCATCGCTCCAGTGGAGTCCGTGCAAGCTGTGGCAGTGTGGACATCCACGAAGGAGCCCAGGAGGGCTTTGTTGTCGCCCAAAACCGCAGCATCTTAGCCGCACTGGCAGCTGTGTCACTGCCTCGGCCTCGGAAGACTGGGTTTTGTGAAAAAGCCCAATTGGCCACAGTGGTGTTTGCCTCCACATGACTGGGCCTCCCTACAAGAAGCCTATTTTTTGCCGTGGGCGGGCCTCAATGACTGCGGCAGCAGCACTCCGGTCCTTACAAGAAGCCTAGTGAACGAAAAGAACTACGCAAAAGTGGTGAAACAAGCCGCGACGTGCAGGCTTTGCCGGCAAGTGTCGTTCAGTTTCAAAGCCCGCCTGGTCTTGCAAGGCGCGCGACCTCAAACCCTCTCACTGGCCCTGCCCTCCGTAAAGCTTGGAGAGGCAATGGTCCAATTCATAAGCATTTGGCTCTGCTCTCCGTAAAGCCTGGAGAGCGCATTGGCCTCGTTTATGTGATTTGAAGAGCATACCGTCATTGCACATGCGCACCTTGCCCGGCCAACCTAACGACAGTGTCGAGAGGCTGTGTGTCCGGCATGGTATGCGCAAGTGTGGATCCAGCGGGCCAAAAAACAATGAAGAGCGAATGTTCCCGTTCATTGCGCAGGCGGACAATGTCAAAATTGCAATGAGAAACACTCCGTCCATCAACAAGCCCCGCAGATGCCTGATCTTTTTCATTCAAGGCCCTGCCCTCTGCAAAGCCTGGAAAGCGCATTGCCAGAACAACGCCCAATGATAGAGAACCATCCACAGCCGAAAAGCATCTTGTAAAGGCGTCTGGCTTGTCTCTGAGCTTCGTGCAAATGTACTGTCAAAAAAACAGCAGAAAACCAAGCAGAACAGCTTCCAGCACGAAATACACCCAGTTGCGGGGTGTCGCTCTCGAATCCCTCTGGTACCAGAGCAGCCGATGGAGCTGTGCAGCAAGGTGCTCTTTGGCCTCATCGATAGCATAAAGAACTCGCTTCGCCGCAACAGAAGCAAAGGCGATGCCACCCTGATGTGGCTGCCCAATGGCATCCGCCGCCGTACTGTTTATGGCATAATTAAGCATTCGCTTCGGTGACAACGCTGCCCAGGCCGGCATCCACGGTCCAAGATCTCCCTGGCCTGCTGAACAGGAGGGAGTAGGTCCGCCCGGCCAAGTGAAGCGGTGAGTGCTCGCAAAGCTTCGTAATGCGCACCAACAAGGTTAAGTTCAACAGCTTGTAGACCCAACGCAAGGAGACTACGCGAGTTGCAGCCCGGTCCAATGTTGCGCTGCAGGCTGCAGGGCCTCAAGAATAGCATTGGACAGCCCGGCTGTAGGTGGGGCAACAAAAGGGGGCGCAGGTTCGGCCCCTCTGCAGTGCTCAAGCGAAGCGCAGGCCGTTTGCCTGTGCCAGAGCACGTGGCACTTTCTAATCACCGTAAACGAGTTGCTGCAGAGGAGCTTGGTGGCGCCAAGCGCCAACGCCTTGGGCTGCATGCTTACTTCCGCCGGGCACATCATCGGTGAGCACACGGGGTGTATTCACTGTAGCCTTCTCTTGGCGTCAAGTTCCATCCCCTGCTCTCTGTCCCCGTTCCAAGGTGGAGTGGGCTGGCTTCCTGACCTGTTTAACGCTCCCATCTTATCTCTCCCATTGTGGTCTGCATCCGATGTTTGTGAAGGAATTGAGTAGGGAAGCAATACTTGCTCCCCTCGGTTTTTTTTTGGCTTGACTGGGCCTAGTCGACTACGGCTGTAGCACTCGGTCCCTACAAACAAGCGAAACTAAAAACCAAGCAACAAACTACAACAAAGCGGTGAAACAGCAAAGCGAAGCTCTACAAAGGGCTGCGGCGCACAGGCTTTGCCGGTGTTAGCCGTTCAGCACAAACTACGGAGCCTCAGCGACCGGTCAGGAGCAACAAAGAGCCGTCGCTCAGAGCTGCCCAAAACAACAGGTGGAGCCAAGTCCAGGCTCCGGTTGCCGTTCTAGTCTCGCCAGACAACGGACAACCCCTGTGTTTTGTTCCGTCACGATCGTGCACACCAAAATCCAAAAGTCCATGGCCCACTGCAGCGTGGGCGGCTTCCGGATAAGGAGTGCGAAGACCAGTGCCGCAGGCAAGCAACCCGCTCATGCAACCGCCGTCATCGACCCTAGGCGTGCCAAGCGCCAAGACGGCGCTCAGAAGCAACACTGGCAATCAGTGTGGGCACACCCACACGGGCATCCTGCCGGAGTCCTACCAGTGACAAAGTTGCTCGACCACGACACTCAAGTGCACATGGCCGCCGCCGCCAGCAGAATCAAATCAATGTCGCTAGCCGTGAGCTGGAACACTGGGTCAGCCGCTAAGACAGGCAGAGATCGCCAAGGTGGACATTGACGTGCAGGTCACACGCTTCCACAGCATCGTCAAACCGTTGTGGCGGCCATGGCAATTGAAGACACCATTCGGAGGTGTGAACAAACTGGACAGGTGAAGGGGCGAGCGGCGTATGCCGCAGGCAGGCGGCGAAGCTTAGGAGCACACACCCTCCCGTCTCGAACGTGCACACCAGAGCCCAAGTCCGAGCTCAGGGTGATGGCGCATCAACATGGTATCGAGGGCATGAGTGACATGGAGAATGAAATAGACTGAACGACGTATGTCGTCGGTCGCAACGGCTTCCACAGGGGGACAGCGATCACATACAGTGATGAGCCGCCTGATCCCATTTGTTCCGTCACAACCAGGGCACCCAGAGCCAGAATTCCAAAGCCCACTGGCAAGCGTGGCCGATACCAAACAGCGGGTGCATCGACATGGTGGCGAGGGCCTGCCTGCCCACATCGTTTGAGCCCGACCTCGGCTAAGTATGCTGAAGCCGAGTAAACCCAATTGTCGCTTGCTCGAGAGAGAGAAAAAGACGCAACGACGTATGTCGTCAGTCACAATAGCGGCTGATGGAGACTGACTGACTGTCAACCAGAAGAGCCAGCCGCCGCTTAGCGCGGCCAGCTGTCGAGTTGGCGCTGCATGTCACGACCGCTCGAAGGGAAATGACTCTCCCTTAAGAGATAGAGCAGCTGGTAATTTCCCTCAATAGATTTCCGTCACCCTTCGGAATGAGTATTGGTGAGTATCCTGGTCGGGGGCATGCAGATGTGGCATTAGAACGGTGGATATATATGGAAATTGGAGGCCAGGTCCAAGGCCCCCTTCCCTGCGGAACTCCTCTGCCGCTGCCCTCCAGCTTTCGTGCGCCCAGGGATGCCCCAACCTGACCCAGGGACGCTCGCCACCCGGCAGCTCCTGCGCCTGATTCTCTTCCCGGGCGACCAACCGGTGAAGGAGGACCATCGCTTTCGAGTCAAATGCGTCGAAATGCGCGAAGCGCCATAAGCGGTCTGGAAAGTAGAAGTCTTTCTTTTGTGGTCCACGTATCCAATAAGCCACTACCGCCCGGAGATCCCATCCATCAGAGGTAGCAGCAGCACGAAGGCGCCACAGTGCACTATTCAACAGGCCCGCGGCCTGAATCGAAAGAGAGGGCTGTGCTTGCAGACCCAGTGGGATGTCCGCAACCATACTTGCTCCCCTCGGTGCTTTTCTGGGTCTCCGGAGAGGGGAGGAAAAGAGTGGGCTCGTGTGCTGAGTGCCTCCGCGGTCCTGTACTTTTCAGCTATGTGTCTGCGCAGCTTGCATGGCATTTTGCGCTCGCTCTTTTGGCTTAAAGATTTTCCGTTTGGGGGGTAATACAAACCTCCCTTTTTTAAAAGCCCGGCGGTCCAGATCGGCTGTCGCCCCTGCAAGGTGTGCAGTGAGCTCTTGCTTGGAATAGCTGGCTTTCCGCAAGGTGGGCTTGGCGCTCGGCCACGCCCCAGCTTTTCTCGAAATCATGGATTCGGCGCCGAGTTACTCAGTGCACAAAATCGTGCCAGATTTCTCACCTCTGCGGTGGGTCCTCTCTGTTGATCTTCACTTGGATCGGAAGGACGAGAGCTCGGCACTCGCCGTGTTCATGCATTCGGACATTTCCGCCCTTGAGGATCCAATCTGGGACGATACGCTCCGCTGCCTGTTGGAGGACAACTTCTCTGTGCTCGCCACCTTGGTTCTCTGGGGCCGCCTCTCGGGTCGATCATCGCTTGCCCTGCGTCAAAACCCAAACGCGCCTTGAGGCACACTTCTAGGTTTGGTACAAAGGAGGTGCAAGCCGACTGACTGCCTACGTCAAGCAAGACTGGTCTCTACAGCAGTGAGAGCTAACAGCACTTTTACACCTTTCCACGCAACCAACTGTTCACCACGCGCTTGTCACGCAGTGCAAGGCTTGAGCCAAAGTGAAGCGGGGCGCGGACAGAGACTTCAGCACACTCACTTCCGTGACAAGTCCTAAGGACTCCTAACGGCTTCTCTGCACTGGTAACTCTGCTCTATGGCCCTGGTGTTCCCCGGACTTCGTCTAGAAGTCCGCTCTCACAGCAAACAAACTGAAAACAATCTGATATTCATCATGCATCAGGAAAACTTCAGGGAAACACCGTTCTTCGTGAAAACTCGTGAGGAAAACTCCGGTTGGACACGCTAATGGGACTAAGCACTTTCACCGCAAGGTGAGACAGGAAGCGTGAGCGCAGCGACCGACAGACAGACAACTTTTCCCTACTCCTACCGTTCACGGCTACACCTAAGGTTCTCTAAAACTCACAAAGGAGAAAACAGAAAGTATTCCTGACCTTGGCGAGACACAGGGGCACCAGTTTAGGATTGAAAATCATTCCGGTGGCGCGAAAGTCCACGGCCAGAGGCCACTCCAGAGAAACCTAAAAACGTGCACATAATTAAGGTTTGCACAACCCAATCCTTCACAGACCAGGGGTAGAAGCTGTCTCAAGTGCCAGCGCCCGCTGTACAGGCGAGGAGTGCCCTCAGCCTTAAGGCACCGACAGCTACAGCTAACTGTCTAGGGAGCTTCAGGCTCGACCCCAAGTAAGCTGTATCCTCAGCCCTGAGGCGAGGTTAGCAGCTCGGCCAGAGCCAGCTAGCAAAACAGGTCAGTACCTTCTGTAGCAAAACCTTCAGAAAGTACCGACTCCGCAACTACCCCGGGGAGCAACACACTCAACCCTCAGCTCAGATGTACCCTTAACCTCAGCCCAAAGGCGAGGTACGGGGCACGTTGAAAGCAAACTTCACTCAAAACTGCTTGGCAAACTCGCTCACAAGAGGGCAAGGGCCATACTGGGTCCTCAGCCCAAAGGCGAGGTCCCTAGCATGCGAAAAGCAACCTGGCCTGTTGACCTGAAAGGACCCAGTGTTCCAAGGTGCCCTCCTGGCATTGCTCCTCAAGCCCTTCGGCGAGGCGCAAAAGGTCAGGCTCCTGGTTCCAGGCAGGATGCAAAGCTTTATATGCACTCAAGTTGAGTATGCAGCGACTAGACCCTGGCTCACCCTGGCTCAAATGGGCTCGGCGGAATTGTGGACAATTCGGCCGACCCTGGCTGTGGGCCCGTGGCAAAGTGCTGGCAGGCCAGGCGACCTGTGCACAGGCGGGCTTGCCAGCGAGTGTAGTGAGGCAGGAAGCACTCGCAAGTACAGAGAGTAACCCTTTTGGCACTTCTTGTTGCCGTGCTGTCGGGACCCCAGCCCTAAGGCGAGGTCCCTCCAGCCAGTCTGCAGCAGACGGGAGCTTAGCTCAAAAGGTGCACCTCAGCCCGAAGGCAAGGTCTCCATCTCCTTGAAGGCTGCATGCTCTTATTGGTTCGAATAAGGCGAGGTAGCCTGCACTCAGGAAGTCCAAAGGCTCCGGCTCTTCAAGGGAACCTGGTACTCCGGCGAGATCAGAGTCCGGAGCGCCTCCATGACATAAGTGGGGGACGCGTTGTTGGTGAGCTGCTGTAACGCCTCCACATTGTCGGGCTGGTTGTGCCTCACCAGGGTCCACAAGCCCTGGGCTTTGTAGCGGTTAGGCCACACTGCTCTCTGGTCCGGAGTAAGCGGCACCCAGTCTGCAGCATCCACGAAGCATACGTAGGGTGCCTCACTGCCACGACGAGGAAAAACCGCCCAGTTGTAGGAGCCCAAATCCTTAACCGAAAAGGTCTGAGAGCAGTATGCCACCAAATAAAACAGGGTGTAGATCAGGTCCATGGAGGCCGGCACTCCACCCAAGTATTGTGGTAACTGCGTAAGGGCCAAACCTTTGGCCTTCTTCCGCTTGTTCTTTTTGCGTGCCCTTTGTCTCTCCAAAGTCCCAGAAGACTTCCAAGAGAGTCCCGCCTGTTCCCGCGCAAGCTGGGTCGGCAGTTGCCGGCCCGGAGTCTTCGGCGGCATGGCGGGACCTCAGCCCTAAGGCGACGTCCCACTAGCCTGCCCCCTGTGAGCCGGAAACTTCAGAGCCTAGGCTTAGGCTTTGCACGCGTGGGGGGTTTCGGAGAGGGCTTAGGCAAGGCGGGACCAACAGCAGCAAAGAAATTACTTGCAGGTGTCACTGGTGCACTCACTGAAAGGCCCTGCCCAGCTGCCTTTGAGGCGGCGCTCGGGGGCCCATCTGTGGCGAAGCAGCCGCGCCAACCGCAGGCGCGGTGGTGCCGGCACCGGCAACCTTGGGAGCAACACTCGGGGTTTTCAGCTTTGGTGTGGCAGCTGCGCCGGCCGGTGCAGAGGCAGCAGCACGAGCAGCCTGAAAAACACTTGCAATGGAAAGACTCGAAGCTCCTTCAACCTGAGCCATTCCGCGAGCCCTGGTGCCCCTGTCAACCTTACGGCCTAGACCTTTGCAGGCAGCCTGGAGAAGAGCAGATGGGCGACGCGGCTCCAAGCTTAATGCAGGCCAGGCACTTAGAGCACAAAAAGGAAGAGCCTTTATTACGCATGTCATGACTAGGATGTATATTCCAGCCTGACGGTACCGCTGCAGCAATGTCTCGACAAGGGTTTGCAACCTTGCGCTCAAAAACCGCCAAAGCATTGCATTGTTCAATATACAATTGGCAAATTGTGCATTGAATAGCAAAGTTGGTGCTCGCCTTGGCCTCACAATCACGCCAAACGTGACCTAATGCCGGGTCAGGAGAAGCCAGCATCTGCTTAAGGCGTTGTTTTTTGTTAGGCGGCGGAACTTTAGTGCTTGCAGACACAGCTGCAGCTTGCGACCGAGGCTTGTCAAACTGGCTTAAGGAATCTCTAGCGGAGCGGGGAACAAAACCCTGGGCTTTTTCCTTAATCAGCTTCTCAGCCCTGGAGGCGAGAAAACAGTTGAGTTCCCGGGTTACCAGGTCGAGTTCCTTTACTTTGCGTACAAAATGCGGGGTGCATGCAGCAGCAGCTCGGCTCCCTGCGAGAGTGTCTGCTTTGGCATTGAGCTCGCGGCGCCAAAGCTGACCAGGGAATTCAGCCTCAAAGGCCTCAGCAGTGCAGTGGCTCCTAACCCAGTGCGGTTGAGCCCTTGCTCGCTCCTGCCAGACTGGACCCCATTCAGGGATATGTTTTTTGTTGAGAGTTCTGGCAGCCAGGGCTTTGAGAGCCGGCTTGCAATCACCTGTGAGGTCAAAGTTGCCAGTGGTGGCCTTGAGGGCTTCAATGATTGCGAGACTCCCCCTGAGGCACCGTGCTGCCCGGCGGAAGAAGGCCTGAGATGGTCCCGTGCTCAATAAGGCCATCAGCGCGGAGTTCACAAAGCACTACCGACCACCCTACAGCCCTAAGGCGAGGGTCGTGGGTATTGGGACCTCCGCTAGCATCAGTACCTATGAGGAGCCCGGTGACATCCACCGGCTGGTGACAAAACAGCCCTGTCACCCTGGTTTCCAAAGCTGAGGCCGAAACCTGCGGGGTCGTCCAAGCCTTTGGGACCATTCCTCGTAGCCAGAAGCAGGGGTCTGGGTGTTTGCGCTGAAAACTACGGAGGGCCGGGCTTAACTTAGCAGGCGCAAGCGGGCACTCATAGTAGACATGGTGCAGGGTATTCTCAGCCCCGCATGCGCAATGCGAAAACCCCCCGTTCCCAGCGTGCAAGGTGCGTCCTTGCCACACGGCGTGAAAGGCCCATCGTGGGGATGAAGGCTTGGAGACCTTCAAGAGCTTTCGGTGGACTGACCAGTCAACTCCTTGCTGGGCACCTTGGGCAGTGGGAACTGCACCAAAGCGGGACGCCCTTTCAAGGGCAACAACCTGAGTGAGAAAGCGGCGAACTGACAGGAAAAGGCCAGGGTTGGTGACATCAAGCAGAAGAACCCCGCTGCTATGAACCCAGCGCAGAGGATCACTGACATTGATGCGCAAATCAATACAATACTGCACCATAGCAGCAACCGGGCCTGCAACACACTTCCATCCATGCACGGCCGCCTCTTGGCGAGTCCAGGCCACCTTCCAGGTGCGGGCTAGGATTTCCCAGCCTTGTGCCGTGGAGGGGCCGAACATTTTATACAAAGCATCAGCCTGTGCAAGGACAACTGTCAACAGTGGGTCTTGGCAGCGGAAGGACATACAGTCCAAAGACACGTCGACAGAGCCCCACTTGGACCGCCCAACATGCCTGGAGATGGATGCGCGAACGACCTTGAGCCTTTTGGGGGACAAGCCCTGTCCCTGGCAACCATAGATCTCGGCTGTAAGAATGGAAGTGGCATACAACCTGTGGGCTTTGCAGCCTGTGCCAAGTTGGTGAAGTTTCTGGTTTCGGGCGCGGCCGACCTTGAAGCGTTTCAAAGCATGCGTAACCCTTCTGCGCTTGGCACCTGCCGAGTCAAGTCCAAGGTCCCGGACCAAGTCAGCAACCTGAGGATCGCCTTCAACACGCATACTGTTGAGTGCTTTGGCCGCCTTGGCACTATTGACAACAAACTTGGTCTTGGTTTTGTTAATGCGAAGCTTCTCAACGGAAAGCAGGGCCTCCAATTTCCTGGAGGCCGACAGGGCCAGAGAGGCCGCAACCTCCGGGTCAGCATGAGACACATCGACACTGATGTCATCAAGCCATAATCATAAATCAGCATGGCTGACCCCCCGGTGCTGGGTGCGTACGGGCACCCCTGAAGGATGCCCCTCTGGGGCCACAAAGCAACAGTGCTGACCCCCTCGCCATGGAGACAACGAGGCCCATTGTAAAGCTGAAGACTAAGTTCCAAAAGCAAAGGTGGAAATGACAAAGCTTTGCCCTGTGATATCAGTCGAGAAAAATCTACCCCATCATAGAAGCCTTCAAGATCAACGAACAAAGTTATGAAAGTAACTTTGCGAAACTTATGATCTTCTGCCTTGATCAAGCGAGAAAGTGCTGGGTCAAGGGAAGTGTGTCCTGGGGTGGCGGAGTCGAAAGGGGCAAAGGCCGCGTACTCCTTTAACCAGCTCTCCAGGAGCGGGCGTCGCAGCTTGCTGTACACTCGCCAAAGGACCGATGTGAGAGATATGGGGCGCTCTTTTTCTGGGGTTTTTGCAAGAAGGGCGACCTGCACCGTAAGCATTTGAAGCGGCAAAGTAAGGTCCGTCTCAACAAGACGAAAGAGCCCCGCAAGCTGTCGGTAGCAGAAGTCAGGGAGGTTACGCAGAGCCTTGTACGACCAACCATCAAGACCTCCCTTCTTGTTGCCCGTGGCCAGGCACGCTGTCTTGACCTGCTCCCAAGACAGCGATGACAGATCCTGCGCCTGCTGCAGGGCCTCAGCTCTTAAGGCGAGGCGCTCTGCAGACAGGTGAAGCTGCGGCGGCACAATTGACGCATCCCAGATGCGGCTCCAGAACTCCATGCGACAGTAAGCCCGGACAAGGGCCGACTGGTCCCGAAAGGGCCGGACAAGAGTCTGTTTGTGGCTTTTCAGAGCACGATACACCGGCTCCATGCCAGCCGACAGGGCTCCAAACAGCCATTGTTGACACGACTCCGCCTGCGCTCCCTGCTGAGCGGTCTTAGCAAGCTTGGCCTGCGCCTCAGCATAGCGAGGTCACGATGATTCGAAACAGTGTCCCGGGCTTCGTCTGCCCATTGATGATGCTCGGAGCCGAGCTTGGAGAGCAGGGAAAGGGTTTCATATGTGCGGCTCCCCAGCCTTGAACCGGCCTGCGAGCTGGAACCAGACAGAGTGCTCGTAACCAAACCACTGGAGGGTTGCGACACGGCCGGCTGACGAATCGTCGGCAAGTTTACCTTCCTGCCCATGGTCCTACCGAGTAAATCTGAGGCCTCAGCGGTGGCAGAAAACTCCGCAAAGGCGAGAGAGACGGTCACAAGTCTCGATTTCCAGGAGGGTGACCCTCTGCGGTGATACAACCGCGGGTTGCAAATTGCGCTAGTCATCAAGAATAGAGTCAAAGGAGTCAGTGATGGCTCGCAAATTTGGCTGGAGGTCCTGCAAAGACTTAAGAGGAAGAGTGCACTTAAGCGCCGCATGAGACTTAAAGGGAACATCCCAGGCAAGCTCAAGCGAAAGATGCGAGGCCAACCGGGCATGGACCAAGCTCGGCTGCAGTGCCTGCAGTGGGCAGCTTTGTACCAAGTAACCGACCCTTTGTGAGGTCCTCAAGCCTGGTGGCAAGAACCTCACAAGCATCTAGGTTCCAGTCTCCAACCACGCGGGCACTTAAGCGAGACAATCACTGCATACATGTTGGACAGGACCAAGATGTTGGCCCGGCCTTCAAAAGTGCTGCCTGACGGGCTAAGTTGAAACCCGTCACCCGAATAGCAAAACCACAGCCCGTGTCAGGATCCTGAAAAGTGTGAACGTGTCTGGCCTGCAAGTGCGACTTAACACCATCACACCTCCAATCTCCTGCTTGCAAACAGGGGAATGCTGGCCATGGACATGGTAGCCTGCCTTCGCGAGAGCCACCGTTTCAGCATGAAAGGCTCTCTCCGAAAAGTGGTACTCCTGAATCAAACTGGTAAAAGACCAGCCAGCCCTTCGGCGAGGTGCAAAAGGTCAGACTTCTGGCAGGATGCAAAGCTTTCATATGCACTCAAGTTGAGCGTGCAGCCCCAACTGGGTGGACTAGACCCTGGCTCACCCTGGACCTCAAATGGGCTCGGCGGAATGTGGATTTTGAGTATTTAATGGACAATTCGGCCGACTCTGTTGAGTGGATCGGCGGAATTGTGGAGCCAGGCGGGCGGCCTCGACGCTTGGACTCCGCGGGCTCCGAGGAGTCGGCTGGGGCTCTGCCGGCGTGGGCACGGTGGCCACGTCAGGCTCTGCAGCCAAGAGCTCAGGCTCTGGAGGAGGCTGTGCAGCTTCAGGAGCCATGGAGGGCTTCTCATGCTCGACCATTTCCTAGATTAACCATTTTAATTCTCGTAATCCAAACAAATCGCAAAGAAACGCTGGTCCCGCGGGTATTCACTACATTGCTATCTACGTCGGTGAGCTTAAAGCGCAGAGTGCGCAGCGTAATCGGCCCGTGCAACTTGACGAAGTAACCTTCGTCCGTTCTAGTCTGCATAATGTTGCCGATGCCTTTGTCGATAATCATTTTGCAGATTATATCGCTACCCAAGGGTCCTTTAATATTGGCGCCGGTGGCGAAGGTGCTGCATCTAAGAAGCAATTCTGAGTACGGATTCATTGTGACGAACACAAAAGTTTGTAACCCTCCATCGACAAAGGACGGGCCGAGCAAGTGATTGATTGAGAGCGGTCGACTGGGCGTAGCGCCGGCAGAGTAGCTCTCGGTGCCCGGAAAGAGGCTTCGAATCTTATATATGCGGCGGTTGCCATCGTAGGCGACCTCGATCTCGTTGGTCGACTCCACGTAGGTGGCCGAAGCGAAGTTGCTGCCGATCCACGCAGCCAGACGACTCTCCGTGTAGGCTCCGACGGGGAGCACTGTCCAGTTCAAGGTCTGCAGAGCTTCATCGATCCAGTACATGTACTGTCCCTTGTCCGTGCTTAGGAAGGCGTCGGCCACCCTGAACTTGAAGACGGAGAGCTTGGCTCCGGTTTGCAGGTGAAGAGTCTCGCCAATATCAAATTCAAAGCTGCTGTCATTCCCCGCAATGCGCTTCCTGCTATCGATATAGATCGTTGTCGACATCCTTTTCGTTAAAACCCAAACGCGCCTTGAGGCACACTTCTAGGTTTAGTAAAAGGAGGTGCAAGCCGACTGACTGACTACGCCACACAAGGCCACAGCAGAAAAGCTAACAGCACTTTTACACCTTTCTTCGCAACCAACTGTTCACCACGCGCTTGTCACGCAGTGCAAGTCTTGAGCCAAAGTGAAACAGGGCGCAGACAGAGACTTCAGCACACTCACTTCCGCGGTAAGTCCTAAGGACTCCTAACGGCTTCTCTGCACTGGTAACTCTGTTCTATGGCCCAGGTGCTCCCCGGACTTCGTCTAGAAGTCCGTTCTCACAGCAAACAAACTGAAAACACTCTGATGTTCATCATGCTTCAGGGAAACACCGTTCTTCGTGAAAACTCGTGAGGAAAACTCCGGTTGGACACGCTTCTGGTAATGATCACTTTCACCGCAAGGTGAGACAGGAAGCGTGAGCGCAGCGACCGACAGACAGACAACTTTTCCCTACTCCTACCGTTCACAACTACACCTAAGGTTCTCTAAAACTCACAAAAAGGAGAAAACAGAAAGTGTTCCTGACCTTGGCGAGACACAGGGGCACCATTATAGGATTGAAAATCACGCTCGAGCGGTCGGTCCGCTGGGCTGAGCCCAGTTCGAGTCAGGGTGAGACGAAGTTTGAGGGGAGTCACCTCACCCTGAGTTCTGAGCCTAGTCCACTTTGGGAGCGGCGAGTTTCTCTAGACCAGTCTGACATCAGGTGATGTCCTTAAACAGCACCCTCGGCACAGACTGGTCGAGCTCACCTGCCTACTGCGGTTGCCCTCAGCCTACCTTCCAAGGAGTCTCCTCACTTTGAGCTAGGCGGCAACAAAAGGGTGCAAGGGAGGTATCTCAACCTTGTAGCTTCTCCAAGTCCACGGAGTCTCCTCACGTTGTTGGCTTGTAGAGCAAGGGAGTAACCTCACCTTGAGCAGACTTAGGCTTGTGACCAAATTGGCTCGTTGAATTAAAGCTGGAAAGGGGAGTCTCCTCACCCTGGAGCGGCTTGCAAGCTTAAGGGAGTCACCTCACCTTAAGACCCTTCAAGGGGTTTCTCAACTTGTTGGGGTGTCCAAACTTGGGATCGGAACGAGCTGCCAGGTTGTATCATCCGGATTGCTCCAAGGGTTGCTCAGGGGAATGACCATACCAACCCTGTAGCACAAAGGGAGGTAGGTTAAGAACCCCGAGTCCTTTAAACCCTCGAAGTGGTGCGGGAAGTCCTGGAGGCGGTGGAGGAAGACCTTGGCCAAAACCTCGGGGGAGCCATAGAGATGGATTTGTTCTTCCACCCATGGCCCAAACATTTCATGTTTGGCACATAGGCCAAGGAGCCCCTTGGTTGCCGCCTTTCCAGGCCAGTGCTTGTGCTGCGCTTCTCTCCAGCGGCCCCCGTCGTACAAACAAACCTGCACGTAGTCGGCCGAGCGCAGCTTTGCACTTTGGAGCGCCATGTTCTCGGCGCGTGTGCGCGCCAAGGTCGGGAGGGCCCAACCTACGTTGTGCTCCCCAAGATCCGACAAGCGGATATGGCAGGCACACAAAAACGCGACCACACTTAACAAGGCCAGGAGGTCCGGGACATCAAGTGTCCTAAGCCTTCCCTGCGGAGAAGCCACAGGGATGACCCGCCTGTAGAAAACCGCGCGGGCACGAAGGGAAAAACCCCGGCCATGGCCATTCTCTGACAAGGTGAGCAGGACTTCACCAGAGGACCCCGGTCGAGGAATAAAGGTGAAATCTCTGGATAATCCCTCCAGAAAAATCTGCTCCTGGTCCATGGCCTCGGCGAGCCCCAACTTGAGGACCTGAACTTCGGCTCCAAGTCCCCATTGAGCCGGGGGCTCCAAGGTGACACGACTGCCACCTACCCCCAATACGGCCCATACCCCTCCAAGCTCGTCCTCCAGCTCCGCCGGAGTGTAAGTAGTCCAAGGCGTGCCAGACGTGCCTTTTTTGTTTAGGGACACGCCTCGGAGGGATCTCGGGATCTTCAGGGGCTGCTTGAAAAGAAGCTCCAAGGGAACCTCCGGATCTGGTTCCCCTCTGATGTCCTCGCCCTTGATTCCCGGATCTGGGCCTGAATGGGACTGCGCTGGGGATGGAGCTTCGGTGGTGGCCGGTGAGTTTGCCTCAACCTGGGCACTGGGGACAGGATCTGGGTGAGGTGAGGGTTCCTCAACCTGCTCAGGCACCAAAGAAGAGGCTGGCTCAGGTGAGATCTTCTCAACCTGTGTTTTGGAAGCCGGGCATTCTGTATCCGGCTTGGGCGCCGGTGAGTAACCTCAACCTGGGAGCTTTGGGCAGGCTCCTGCTTAGGAGAGGTCAGTACCTCTTCCTGCTCAGGCTCCAAGGGAGAGGCCGGTTCAGGCGAGACCTTCTCAACCTGGGTTGTGGCGGCCGGGCCTGGATCACCAGCATCTGTATCCGGCTTGGTTGCCGGTGAAGGAACCTCAATCTGAGAACTCTGGGCAGGTTCCTGCTTAGGAGAGGTCAGCACCTCATCCTGCTCAGGCCCCAAAGGAGAGGTTGGTGCAGGCGAGACCTGCTCAACCTGGGTTGTGGAGGCTAGGCTTGGTTCATCAGCATTGGAAGGCGAGGGCACCTCAGCCTGCAGATTGGAACCGGAGGCTCTTGGCGAGGCCTCCTCAGCCTGGGCCTCTGTGCGTTGCCGCTTTGGCGGTGGTGGTGGTGGGGTTCGGGCTACCCCCGTCTTGGGTGCGGCTTTTGGCCTCGTGATAGGGGCCTCCACCGACCTTGACAAGTTGGGACCAGAAGCCGGAGGTTCCCGGTCGGTACCTGAATGCTGGCTTTGCCTGGAGTACCTTGATCTCGAAATAGCAGGTTTGCCCTCACTAAAACGATGCTGCAAGAGGGCCTGGTACCGCTGTTCCGTGACCGGGTCCTCGAAAGGGGCATTCTGCCCCTTCCCTGGCTTGTTCTTCCCTTTTCCTTTACCCATCTTGGAGCCAAAAGCTGCGAGAAGGCTCAGACATGGAGGGTTAGCAAAACCAGGTACGAGTAGCACTTAGACCAGGCTACATCTGCAGGCTTGGCGCAAACAGCACCTACCCCATCATCAGTAATAAGCTTGGAGGGGAGAAGTAATGTACGATAATGTCCAGAGGTCGGGGAGTTGCCAAAATGCGAGACCACGGCCTTGGGGTAGTAACGAAGAAGTTCCCCATCCAATCCCTCAAGCACACAAGGATCCTCAAAACCAACTGGGTTCTCGAGCCTCCGAAAACCCCCCCCGTCCCCAACAAACCTCAAAAGCTGCAATGCAATCAAAGGCGGGTGAGTGAGGATTTTCACTTCTCCACCTTGTTGCCAACTTGCCAGGAGTTCCCTCATAGAGACTTCGTGCTCCGGGAGGTGAAGAGGAAGTGGGAAAAAGTTACCCTCGTGGTGAGGTGCATTGGGAGCACAAGCTCTCCATGAAACGCAAGAGAGGTCACGGGGAAACCCCGAAGAAAGGTGCATGAGAAGTTGACAAACATCATGCTGGCTGTTTGGGGATTCCCATCGACCCTGGCCTGCAACTAATCTCTTCCAAACCAGGGACTGCCACAGCTCGACTTTGCGTTGATCTTTCAACCATCGCAGAATGCCCTGGATGGGGGATCCAGCAAAGGGGCTGGAGGCATAAAGGAGCAGATCAATCCAAAAGAAACCAACCACCAAAGAATTGGTATAACAATGATTGGATGGATTTTGGAACTTCACCTTGCGAACAATGGAGCCAGCAGCCCTTAAGTCTCCAAGCTCCGGGCTACAAGAATCCCGGTGATCGCGGACAGCAGGAGAGGGAGGCTCAATCCTGACCATGTTCTGCAAGGGAGGGTCGTCGGAAGTGAGGTTTTGCAGGGGAGTGGCCTCAACCCTGTTAAGTGGTGTTGCAAAGAAGTTGCTAAGGTTTCGGGCTTTTGGGAGGGTCTCCTTAGAAAGCTTGCTAGCCTTCTTGGAAGCAGGTAGTGACTCCGGAACCCCTACACCACTTAACAGAGTGTTTACGGGTCACACACAGGGACTGGAGGAGCCCCGGGACTTTCTTTGCCCGCGCTGGCAAAATGCCTTCACACACTTTACACTGCCAAGCTTTGCCAATGGAAACAAGCTGATGGGAGGAGTGACAGGCCAGGTGCTCCGGGGGACGACCTTCCCCTCCTAGGCACGGCTGTGCAAGGACCTGCTGGAACAGTGACGGAGGGTCCACTTGCTGCAGGTAAAGGCCACATTTCCCACACATGGCTGTGAGGTTCGTCGGGTGCTGACTCCGAATTTCCCACTGGTGTCCCTGCGGAGATACGGTTTGGCTGACGAGTTGCTCAATCTGCTGCCTTTTGTTAAGGGTTGGAGGTTTTGGCTGGCGCTTGCAGAAAATAGTCTTCTTATCCTGCGTAGTAATCAAAATCTCCGCCCTCTGACTAAGTAGCTGGGAAAGGGTGGAAACCAGCGTGTCAACTTGCCGGACTTGCTTTCTGGCATCAGGGTGCAAAGCTTGGTCAGCCCTGGACCCGGCAAGCTGGTCAGCTTCCTGATTCAAATGCCAACGCCAAACCTCATCTTTTCCAAACTTTTCAGCAAATTTTCCTACATCCAAGTGGGCCTTGACCCAATGAAGGTGTTGTGGGGAGATGCTCTGCCATTGGGGTTTCCAAAACATGGAATGCTTGGATGTAACCGCCTTAGCTGCGGCCTGCTTGCAAGCTACCCGAGAATCTGTAGTAAGATCCGTCAGGCCCGGGCAAAGCTCATGGGCCTTGACAATGGCATGGACCTCCCCATCTAGAACCGTGGCCGGCCGAGGCAAAACCCCGCTCGCAGTTGCGATGACTGTGATGCTTTGGCCCGTTTTACGTGCTAGAATCACAGCCCATCCAATGGTCCTCAATCTGGGATCGGAAGAGAATTTGCCACCACTGGCATCGGTGCCAATGACAAAATCCGAGTCCCAGGTCTGTGACGGCCAGGTGCCCTCATACCTATCCTCAGCGTTCTGAAGTGGCGAGGAGACGTAGGCAAGAGGGGGAAGGGCTCGCAACCAAAGGCAGGGCGCAGGATGGGACTGACGCATTTGTTCAAGATGCCGGGGAAGCTTTGGCTGTCTAGCCCATCTAGGGCAGTCCCACAGCACATGTTGTAGTGTGTTGTCTGACTCAATGCCCCGATCCTTGCAGTAAGGGCACTTGGGGTGGCCACCACTTCCCGCATGCACAACTGCTCCTTGCCAGATTGACCGGTAGAAGGTCAGACGTTTGGTCTTCTTTAAAGCAATGCGGCGATGAATTGTAAAATCTACACCATCCTGAGCTCCTTGACCGCCATGTTGGCAAGAGATGGCTCGCAATCTTTCGCCCTTGATGGTAGACCGAATCTTGCGCCGCAGCTCCTGAAAAAGAAAGGGGCTGAAGTCAACGGGCCAGGGGTGGCCATCAATATGCCAGACTTCCGGGGACTGGACATCCCATCCCATGTCCCTGGCATACTGAATCATGGCCGAAATGGGTCCGGCAACGATTTTCCAAGGGTGAGGCGAAGCCTCCAACCTGGATTTGACCAAGGGCCAGGACCTTTGAACTTCCGCCCAAATGGAAGGAGAACGGCCCAGAATACGAAGGAAGACTTGCAAATGCTCACAAATGATCTGCTCTCGGGGATCCGGAAATCTGTGGGAGAACATCTCCAAGACGGTCAGGGTTCCTCCAAGATGTTGGCGTCCTAAGCTACCAGCCAGCACAGCGCGGTGCCATTTCAACCGTTTGGGGCTAACACCCTGTGCCTGATGGCCATAGGTGGCACATGTCATGATGGATCCGCGCACAACCCTAGTGCGTGAACGATGCGAATCAACACCTAAAGCACGAAGGCGCTTGTGGCGGCCTTGCGCCTTCTTGTGCCTGCCAAGAGAGGTGGCAAGCCTGCGGCGTCTGCCAGCATTGCTGTCAACCCCTAAGTCTTTGGCTAACAGAGTAATGCCAGGATCTTGGTCCGAACGCAGACGCTCAAGAACTTGAGAGGTGGCAGAATCTGAGCAAAGAAACTTGGTTTTCTCCAAGGAAACCTGAAGGTTTCGTTCCGCAAGAGAATCTCGCAGTATACGAAATGTCTTGAGGGCTTTGTGAGCCGTGTTAGAAGCAGTGGAACCTACCACGTCAGCCGAAATGTCATCCAGCCACTGGTCTATGTTGTGAGTGAGGCCAGTAGCCTGAAGGTCCCTGATTGGGACAAACAAAGCCAGTTTCGAAACCACCGGCGCAACAGGGCAACCCTGAAGCAACCCAACTGTGGGAATTATTCCCGGCGAAACTGAATTTTCGGCTGAGACAAATCGTGTCCCACCATAAATTTGAAGGGAAAGCTCCAAAAGCAAAGGTGGGAACTGCAGCAGGAGTCCGGTGTCGACTACCGAGGCCCAAACAACACAATCATAGAAGCCTTTGATATCAAGAAAGAGTCCTACAAAGTGTTTGGACTGAGTTCGGGAGGCTTCGGCCCACAGCAAACGGCGGATGCCGATGTCTAGTGATGTTCGTCCTGGCACTGCGGCATCCCAAGGAGCCAGGGCCTGGTAGGAGACCGTCCACTCTTGGATCAGGGACCACCTGGCTCTGCAGTAGTCCCTCCACAAAACGTGAGTTAAAGAGATAGGTCTCTCAGCAGTAGCCGATTTGGGCAGCATACAAACTTGTGTCAGGAGAAACTGCTGCGGGACTCGGAGGCCTCTTTCGAGCTCCTGATAAAATTCAGCGATGTCCTGAAGCATTGGCCAAGTCAATTTCTTGAGAAGGGACTTGCTCCAGCCATCCGGTCCTGGGGCAGTGACCCTGCCTTTGGAAAACCTTTGTTGCAGCTGTTCCGGGGAAATGGGGCTCAGGGTAGCGACCTGCTGAGCAGCCAGTTCCCGTAGCTTTCCGCGAGCCTGTTGCTCTGCGTGTGGAAGAGGAGGAAGGTCCTCAACTCTAAGTACGCCTTTCCAAGTGCGGAGCCATAGTTTGGTTCTAGCCAGGGCGCGGACCTCTGCGGACAGATCCCGAAAGGGACGTGCAGTGGTGATTTCACCTTTTTTGATCGTCTTGAAAAGGGGAGCCATCCCTTTTTCTTGGGCTCCCTGCAACCACGACCTGTACGACTTGGTCTGGGCATCCTGGTGAACTTTAGAGGCCAGCAGAAATTGCTCCTGCAATAATTGCTGGACGGGCTCAGGAACAGCTGCCTGCTCCGAGAGACAGGCCTGGAGCGTAGAAAGAAAGGAAACAGCCTCCTCCGAGTTGCCCTGCCAGTGGTCCAGGATCTGCGGCAAATACTCCTGGCATTGCTCTCGACGTTTGGGGTGGTCTCCCTGGCACAGAAATTGTACCCGGTGCCAAAAAGCCTGGCAAGAGCCTTCCCATGCGAACTGGGACATGCGAGGAACAGCTGGGAGGAATTCAACTTGGAGTTGGCGACCAATACCCTGGGACGTTTGCAAAAGACTGTGCTCCACCGAGCTGGAAATGGAAGCCAGTCGATTGCTCAGGGGGTCAGCCGACAAGGTGGTATCGGGCAAAGAGGCGAGGGTCTCCTCAACCTGCATGTAATCAAGCGGTTCTTCCCTGAAGGAAAGCACAAAGGAGGGAAGCTGTGGAGTGGTGAGCTGGAAAGCGCCCACATTAAGGGCAACTTGGATTGCTGCATGTGGCTTGAAAGGAACATCCCAGGAGGCATCAACCCGGAGCAAACCTTCCAGGCAGTGTGATACAGCCAGAAAATCAAGCTCATTGTCACCACATGTGGCTTCGTTGGGCCCAATTGGTTCAAGGGACAAACTTTGAAAAATGGCAGTGTCCAACAATTCCTTCAAAGGCGAGTTCCAATCTCCACCTATCAGGATTGGGCCCCTTACAGATTGACGAATTGCGCGCAGAGATGCTAGGATGTCAGAGTTGACCGGGGACCCGAAGCCGGAGGAGGACTGGAGGTACAGGCTAACTACTGTCAAGTCAGCCCCTTGTGTGCGTAGCGTCACCGCCACGTAGCCGCAACCTTGGTTGGTATACTGGCCTCGCAAACGGGCTCCCAGGTGGGCTCTAACTAAAACCCCTACTCCGCCTCTAGAGCTATTCCGTCGGCCTTCCCCAGGGGCTGCGGGCACAAGGAAGGAGTCAAAGCCCATGGCAGCCATAGACGAAATTTCAGCAACAACTTGGGACTCCAAAAGGTGGTGCTCCTGAATCAAGATAACATCCCCTTGAGCTGAAAACCATTGCTTGACTTCGGGCCTCCAAGAAGTGATGTTGCAAGATGTGACTCGCATTTGCCTATGCCCCTGTGGCTGCGATTTGCGCAAAACTTCAAAGCCCCGAGCAACAAGCAGGAGCAAAGTCAAGTCAAAAGAACGTTGGAGGGCCAAGATCTCTTGGCACAGCCACCAACCTAAGCTGCCCTGTTCAACCTGATCAAGAAGGTGGGCAACCAACTCCGAAGTTGCTCCCAACAGACCTGGGTTCTGGACAGCCTCCCACACCTGGCCTTCGAGTGTTCGCCACTGGCTGTGTGGGCTTGCCGACGGTGGCAACTCAGGTGGCATCTCACAAAGGGCAAGCTGAGAGAATGGCACCCTAATGTGTTTGGGCTGTTTCGCTCTGCGCCTGGTTTTATTCCGTTTGCGGGTGACCCCAACCTCGGCGTGGCTCCCCGACGCCTGTAAGCGAGGAAACTCCTCAACTTGAGATGCCGTTGCTGAGGTTGTGGCCACAAAAGCAGAGATTGAAGAAGCACCGGTCACAGGGACCTCATCAAACTCAGTTGTCGAGAAAGACGGGGGCCAAAATTGGGGCCCTGTGATGAGTTGGGTGTCCTGGGACTGCAGCGGGGTGCTGTGGCGTAATCCTTTGGTAACAGTCTGCCAGGCACTCAAATCCCCAAAAGAATCCCAGTCTTCCTTACCAGAAAAACCAGGTAACCAAAACTGATCCCATACAAGGTCGGTGTTGCAAAATTGTGAGTAAGCCTCAACATACCCTGAAACCTTCTCTAAGGACTTGGGCTGCTGAGGTTGGCACTCCCCCAATGAAAACAAATCACTGTACAAAGAAATGGGTCTCTTAACCGATTCGCCGGAAAACCCGCAGGGCTGAGAGCTGGACGCAGGGGCACAGGAAACATCTTGATCAAGCAGAAGGGCAGGCTGAAATGCACAAGCAGGTTGCCCACTGTCCCCACTTAAAGGACCTTCCTCGAAAACAGACCTAACCTGAACCCCCAGCCCCACTCCCTAACCTTGCTGCGTGCTACGGCCTCGGCTCCTGGACCTGGGCTTGGCTTGCTCACGCGGCTCAGTGCCCTTGTGTTCTGGCAGAGTTTGGCTTAGCGGGGCACTGGTCGGAGCCGTCAAACCAGGCTGGTTTGTGGCTTCAACTTCCATATTCTGCTGCCCATCGTTAAGCTTACCGCGCTGGGCCTCCTCGTAAAGCTCCTTCTGCTCCTGGGTCAGGACAATCCCAACTTTGGCAAGCGTATCTAGAAGCCCTTCCAAGGGATCGTCCTTGCGCGCGGGGTCCTCCAGACCCAAAGCATCAGCACGGAGTGTGGCTTCCAACTCCGACTGCATAGCCGTGACTTCAGCTTGCTTGCTCTGCAAATCAGATTGGCAAACCTTCATCTTCTCAAGCAGCTCCTGGTAGGTTGCTTTGGCTCGGTCTATGCGAATCTGTAAAGCAGCAGTTTGCTGGATCATCTGTCGCAAGTCCGTAGTGCTCTGCTTAAAGCGACGAGTTGCAATCTCAATCTGCTGAGTCTGCGTGGGGGCCGGAGGATCAAGTGCTGCAAGGGCTTGCTGGATCGAAGGCGGCAATGACTCCAAGTGCTTCTTGCAAAGGGCCGCAAGGTCTGTTGGCTCCGACGCCACCGGCTCAGGGATGCCAGCTTGGCGCATCAGCTTCTTCTGATCATCAGACGCGGAATCCCACAGGTTCTTAGAGGCTTCGGCCTGCTCGTCAAGCCCACCCTTTGCCCCTTTGCCTTTGCCAGACTGGAGGCCTGGAGGCGGACTCGGCTGCCGGCCTGCTTGGAAACCTGCCTCGCTCAGTTCCTTCTGGACCTCTGGGGGAAACTTCTGCCAAAGAGTCGTGACGGCTTTGGAGAGGTTGCCCTCATGATTCCTAGGCCGTTGGGGGCTTTGAGTTGCACTCTCAGTGGTTGCGCTTCTGTCCCTGTTCTTCTTGGGACCCCGCGGGCGCAGTCTTTGAGTGACCGGAGCACCCTGTGTTTTCCAGGCGTTACCACACAGGTTGCAAAAGGGGTGGTGCTGGACTCTGTCTACGAAAATCCAGCTCTGCTTACCCGCCCTAGAGCAGTGAGGACAGACGATGTAGGGCGTTGCTGCACCCTTGGCACCGTTTTTTCCCCAAGTCATGGCGAGCAAGCTCAACCTGTGACAACGGCTGAGCAAGTGTTCGGCTTGAAAGCACGTGCAGTATGGCGCTACCCCGCCCCAACCCTTGCTGGACAGCCAGCCTACGACCTTTAAGGTTGCGGTTTGGGTTCCAGTCAGGGCCTTTAGCAAAAGTAGGGACTCCAGGCTAAAAGGCCACGTCGGCACTGCAAAGTCTGAGCCGAAAACTTGAGCCAGGATTGAAAATCAACTCCCCCTCATGAACCTGTCGTCGAGAAAAGGTACCGGTCCAGTGGCTGCTGTTGCGTATTGGGCTCGTAGATCTTCTCACGGTCCACGATAGTTTATGGCTCTTCCAAAAACGGCTGCGGCTGTACAAAGAGGCGTCAGCACCTACCAAGCACTCAAAGCCCTAAGAGCTGTGTGAGCAAAAGCTTCGGGGTAGTGCTGGGTGTTCTTCAGAACGAACATCTTACTATGCTCGTGGTTTCCAGGGCACTTTAATTTATCCATGCAGTGAATGAGAACATGACTGTTCGAGCACAACCTCCAAACCTTCTTCACAGGAAGTGCGTCCATTCCAACCATGCCGCAAGCACAACCATGCACAAGAGCGGTCTCATGCGGATTGATCTTAAGGAATGACTTCGTAGCGGACCATCCCCAGTAAGCACAACGTTGCGGCCATTCAATGACCCAAGTTGCCGAATCAGATGTGTTGACTAGCTTCAAGAAGCTCTTCCAGAGCTTTCGGTGGACTGTGAAAAGTCCTTTCATCCTTTCATCATAGTGATCTGCAGATCGAGCTTGGTGGTAGCGCTGCCAGGGCGAACCACCGGTACAGGGCGTCGAGGCCCACACAACAACATGCATGTTCCGACGGTGTGCCGCATGAAGGGCGTGCTCAATGAGCTCGATGGTCTCTGGGAGAGTACCATCCGTTTCTTCCGTCACGGGAATAGCATGGATGCCATAATGGCTAGCAAGCTTAGTCAACCAGGCTTCTCCAGAAGTGCAGAACTCGACCATCACAATGTAATGCGGTGTCTGCAACCTACAACGACCAACCAACACACTCCAAGGATCATCGACGCTTGCAGAAAACAAACCTTTGAACGCGGCAAACACAAGGCAACGGACTGGGGGCGCATCACCTCGAAGATAGTCACTACGGGTGAGACGTTCCTCAAGACACAACTGTCCTATGTGATACCAAGTTTGCGCGACACTCAAGTTCTTTGTTTGCAAGTCGGCGACGTTGTCCGTCCCTGGGACGTGTGTAACAAGGATCTCGCCGTTCTCGACCTTATCCTGCAAGTAGCAAAGACGGAGGTCCACATGACGCATCCTCCTCAGGAAGCCGGACATCATACTGACCTGGCGAGCGGAAGAGCTATCCGTAGGCAGGTATAGGGGCTGCGCGACGCTCTCGAAAAGGTGGCCCAAAAGCTGCCCCAATCCTACAAGCTCGCGCGCCATCTCAACCATAGCGAAAAGCTCAGACTCCGCACTGGAGAGTGCTACAATAGGCTGGAGCCTCGAGTAAGTCTTGATACAGTTCCCATTCAGGTAAATCACTCCTCCGCTGGTGCTTTTTCGTCCAGTAGAGCGCTCAGAGGCCCAATTAGCGTCGCTGAATCCAACAAGGGTTGCAGCTCCCGGTTGGGCTTTGGATTCCTTTTGAAAGACCTGAACAAGGTCGGGAACCTCCAACAGCCAACGGAGCACTTTACGCGCGCGCGGACAAGCTTGACCTCTAGACAACATGGAGTGAAAATAACACAAATCTCCCCTGGTTTGCACAAGCCATCCTAGTTTCCCAGGGTGCTCCTAAAACGGCTCGCGGCTTCAGGGGAGAGCTCTTCGGAGGGCTTCTCGGGGTCTTCCTTGTCAAGGATCGATCGGAGGTCTGGTGGAGCGGTGCAGGGCTTCATCTTCCTGCGGCTCTCTTGGGTCCAACCAAAAGCCTCAAAGATCGAATCGACGTATTCTTTCTTCACAGCCAACAAGATCTCATGGCCACGCTTGATTATCTCACGACCTAGGAATCCAATCCTGCCGTCCTCATCCAAGCGTCCGGTCAGCTTGACCTTAAGACGGCCCATGAGAAAGTCTAGAAGCTGTTGGTTTGCCTCTTTGGTTCTTGTGGCTAGCAAGATGTCGTCGACGTACACAAGACAAAGCACAAGGATGTCTCCCCAATACCCTTTGTACAACGTAGGTTCTATAAGCGAAGGAAACAACCCCAACTCAGCAAGAAGTCCAGCAAGGTGCTTCTGCCATGAAAGGCCTGCCGATCTCAAGCCATATATGGCCTTCTCCAGGATGACATAAACCTTAGAGCCGTCAAGGTTCTGAAAACATCCCGGCAACTCAAGCACGGTATCAAGAACCAACTTGGCATACAAGAAGGCAGTCGAAACATCAAGTCCCCAGAGGACAAGCGTATCCTGGACAACACGGCAGATGAAAGCCTTGAAGGCCTCCACAGAAGCAGTCTGGCTCGCAATGCCCAGTCAAGCGCGGATGGTTGATTGAAAGCAAAGTCTTTTGCAACAAGGCGAGCACGCACAATGTGCTGGTCGTCAACATCAACCTTGTCAGTGAAGACAAAACGCGACTTAATGATCTTGGCACCTGTTTCCTGGCAGTGGGTTTTAATTTCATCATAGGTGCGTGCGTTGCCGACACCCAAGTTGTGCATGGCAGACACCTCTTTCTGCATTCCAACCCACGTCTTCTCAGGATCCAAAGGCAAGCCACTAACATCATCAACCACAGAAGTAGGCTTGATGACCCACACCTCCCGATCGCCGAAAGGCATGGTCACCCCCTCATCGGGATTACTGTGCTGAGCGGGCGCTTTTCTCTTAAGCTGTGCAGCAAACAAGCCAACCTCACCGTAATCAACAGGACTCAGGTGATGCTTCTGGTCCGGAATCACTGAGAACATGAACTGAGGCATGCTCGTACTGTCAAGAACATCCGGGACCTGAGCTACATCCATGGGCACGGTGTAGTCATCCATATCAACCTGATCCATTTCAACGTCTCCTCCAGGGAGATACTCCTGAGGGAGCTCAAGGTCTTGGCCTGCCTGTGAGGGTTCAGGCACCAAGTGCTGCAGATCCTCAGGAACAGGAGACCCAGGAAGGCTGGGCTCGTAATCCAAGCTCTCTTGCTCAAACTCCACGACTTCAGGATTCGGGTTGATTTTTACTTGAGGCTTGTCAGGGGCTTGTTGCTGTTCCGGATTGTCAAGATCACCGAGCGTATCCCTGATGTAATCACGAAAGCGAACTTTGCAACGCCTAGAGTGGAAGCGCGATCTACCTAAGCATCCCGGACAACGTGCCGTTTTGTTGTTTTCAAGCCATTCAGGCGCCGGTTGCGGCAACGGGATTGCTTTCCTCGGTAGGGCCACCCCTGGTAGGCTTTCATAATCAGGCTCATCAGGATTAGCCTCGGCGATAGTGGGTAACAAGTTCGATGAAAATGTCACTGGGTAGGCCATCTTGAGAGCCCGAGCGACGCATCTTTTCATAGACCCATTCGAGAGTCTGATCATGCAGTGATGCCCTTGCCCACCAATCACAGGGCCGAGATAGGCACCAATGTCGTATCGACCATCAACTTGTGACGCAAGGTGCTCTGGGGGCTGAATGTACATGATGCAAGCAAAAGGAAACAACAAGTGAGGCGTGTGACTCTCACCCAAAGCTCGCTGCAAAGGACTGAACAGTTGACCCTGTGACGTTCCGAACCGGTTGTGTGAAGCAGCCGCGTGGCTGTGAAGCAATTCCATCGCTTCCTCATTTGCCAACAATTTCAAGCCACTCACGCCCTGGGCGTGAAGCTCGTTGGCCAAAGCAGTTTCTTTATTGCTCTCTCAGCTACCGGGGCGTGCCTGCTAGGAGAGGTTTTGGTAGAGACCGAACTCCCACCTGTAACCTCAACGACCTCGGCTGCTATGGCTGCTAAAAGCGGTTCCCCGTCATGTACAACATGAACTTCTTTGAGACCGAATGATTTGAGGAATTTGACTAGCTTCCCCACGGTGACTTTTCGGTAATCTCCTGCATAGGTAGCAGCTGTGCCTACACAATACGTCGGTACGTGTACCACAGCGATCAAACGGATGCCTCGATACCAGTATTGATCCATCTGCACCTCAAGTGGGTCGACACTTTTGCGTGTTCGGGCGGGTGAGAGCCCTTTAGATCTTACACAGCTAGGACAGCCACCCCAATAGGGGATGTGCCCCTGACGTTGGTGGCGCAATCTAGCTTCAGCACCGAGGTTCTCGGGGAGAGCTTCTTCGGGGTCTACAGGGGGCCTGGTGTTCTGAGGAGCTGTTATCTCTAACCCGTCATGGTCATCACCATCATCACCAAAAAGCTGATCTAGCTCTGCAACACCAACGCCACCACCCACATCACCTGAATCAATCAATGGGCGACCGACCGACATGCACGCTGAGCTACCTACTGGCACGCAAGCTGCAAGACCTAAAGGAACACAAGCTGCACGACCTACCTGCAAACATGCTGGGCAACCTACCTGCAAACATGCTGGGCAACCTACCTGCAAACATGCTGGGCAACCTACCTGCAAACATGCTGGGCAACCTACATGCACAAACTCTCCTACTGCAACGCTCTGCGAAACCACCTTTCGAGCAGCTCTTTTCGCGGGCGGCTCGGAAGAGACCTGACGGCAGTCAATCAAAGATCCTCGTCTGAGGAGATCGTCTCGAACTCCTCCAGGTCGACAACCGGCACCATTGGCGCAGGCTTCGCTGTGAGGTGTGCCGGAGGAGGCACAAATCGTTCCTCTGGCGTGGGCATCTCGATGGTGTAGTGAACGCCCACCACCGCCCGGGGTTTCGGCACACCCTTGGGTGCCCCTTTCGACACCGGTAGCAGCACCCTCTTCGGCAATGGCACCACGACTAGAGGCCGTGCCGTTGGCAAGGGTACTGTGGTAGGAGCCGAGCTTGGTCGTGCCGTCGGCATCGTAGTAGGTGCCGAGCTTGGTCGTGCCGCCGGAACCGGCACAGAGGTAGGTCTCGGTGTCGAAGTAGGCCTGGCCCACACCTGAAATTGGCGGCGGATAAGGGTGGTACCGCATGTCCATCACGGGCGCCTGCATAGGCACCAACGGCGGCGGAGGTGTGTTCTCCACCTTGGGCGCCGGAGGAGGGCTCGGCATCCTTGTCGAAGCGGCCTTTGCTTGAGCACTGGCCTTTGCTCGAGCCGCGGCCTGTGCAAAGTCCGTCACTTCTCTCTGGCCCAAGAACCCCATCCGGGCACCTTCCATGGCCGAGAAGGGCATATGCCTCGTCGGCACCACAGGATCCACCGTCGCCACCGGAGGTGTTGTTGTTGCCACCGGCTTTGCCACAGGGGCCGGCGATGTCACAGGAGCCGGCGTTGCCACAGGGGCCGGCGTTGTCAAAGGAGCCGGCGTTGTTGTAGTCGTGCCCTTCGGCGGCTTTGGAATAGCTGCTTTCGGACCCTTCGACGGCTGCTTTTGGAACCTTTGGAGCGGCAGCCTTCGGAGCGGCCCTCGGTGGGGGTGGTGCTGTCCAGATGTTGGGCGGCGCTGGCGCGGCCTTTGGCGGACTCTTTGGCGGACTCTTTGGCGGAGTCTTTGGAGTAGAGGCTGGCATTGCCTTCGGAGGTGTCACTGGAGCGCTGGTGGTTGTCTTGGGAGGCGTAATTGGCTGCTGCACCCCACGCGCCGTGGCCACCACCTTCTGTCGCCTCGCAGAGGCCTTCTCCCCAAAGCCCACCAGTTGGCTTATTCTGTCCACCATCACGTCCTCGTGCGAGCTGGCGGCCATAGTTTGGGAGCCCTCGGTCGGCTTCCAATTCCCCCAGTTCTCGTCGTCGCTCTCCGAAGCAACCTGATCCCGGATGCTCTCCACCGCCAGGGGAGCACTCGAAGAAGTCGGCATTGGAGCCGGGGGCCCAATTGGAGCCACTCTCCCTCGCCATGCGTAGGTGCCCTGCTCCACTGGAGAGTCTGGGCTGTCCTGGCGAGCCAGCGAACGAGCTCCCGCCTTGCTTTGGCGGCCCTCTGGCTCCACTCCTGCGCCCGGGATGGCGATCTCCTCCGGAGGAGTCACCGGTGAGTTCTGGAACTCCGCAAAGAGGCTCGCAGCGAAGCTCGTTGGAGATGCCGGGGCTTCTGGAACAGCGCTCTCCGAAACTCTCGGAGATAACTCCACTGACGTCGTCGGGCTGGGAGCCCGAACTGCATCCGAAAGCTCGGTGCCCTCCGGGGGCAGGTTTATCACCCGGAACACAGAGTCCTCCATCTCGAGGTCCATCTCGTGGTCGGACCCAGCCATCGTCCCTTACAGGTTCTACTGGGCCTTCAGAGCAAGAGTGGGCTAGGTGAGACGAAGCGACCGACCGACCAACACGCGCTCCTACGGTTTCAAGCCCTACTCCTACACCTACAGGGTGAGACGGGACAACAGAACTCACGCTTCCCTTCTCAACCGACTGCACGGAACCATCAGTAGAATCAGGCTCAACGTAGGTACAAGCTTTCAGCCATGACGTGTTGGCATACAATTCTGTCTCAAAGCGCAGACCACCCGGAGGATAGGCAACATGTAACTGAGGATCATAGTCTTATTTTCCCTTTATGTGTCAACCGGGCGTTCCACATTCAATATATACAAAAGAATATACATATAAAAATTCGGGATATGTCATTCTTCATCCGAATATATACTTCACAACTAATAAAAATTCGGCTCACGCAGCGGCTCACTTTTTTATCGTGATTGGGGCATCGCAGTGCCTTGCCCTGGGCTCCGGGCCCAGGGCGCTTGCTCTTTGTTCAGTTCAACAACATCGCCAAGTTTCATTTGTACAATGGGTATTGTGAAAAGAGAGATGCCACTTGCACCATAGCGAACTTCGCAGCACAACTTGTGCAGGAAACAACCAGGGCGGGCTGGGTGGGACAAAACTTTTTTCCGGACTTATGCCGGAAATTTTTTCTTACCCTCCCACCACCCTGTGGAGCCAACTGACGGCATGGTAAAGACTCATGGAGATTCCTCAAACATGAACTGTCATGTCATGGGTTGAGAGAACTTCGACAAAAGATCACGCCCTAAATTTTGAGTTTGTTTGACAAACCAAAATTTTTGACACAGGGGAAAATAAAGCTTCATCCGCTGTTCGCGGAGTTGCGTCTTATTTTCCCTTTATGTGTCAACCGGGCGTTCCACATTCAATATATACAAAAGAATATACATATAAAAATTCGGGATATGTCATTCTTCATCCGAATATATACTTCACAACTAATAAAAATTCGGCTCACGCAGCGGCTCACTTTTTTATCGTGATTGGGGCATCGCAGTGCCTTGCCCTGCCCCAGTCCTTGGCACTGAGAGCGCCCACACTACTTGCCGCCGCACCACTTGTGCAAATCACTTCAGTCGTGACTTCGACTTTTCAAGAAGGTCCTCGAAGAACTTAGCCGCAGGCCTAACACGCACAGGTGTCGGCAGATTCCACACTCCTCTTGAAAGCGGATCCGAAGGATTACTTGCAGATGGAACTCGATCGTACCAGATCATAAAGCCAAGGCTTTCTTCGATCTCACATACCGCATCGATGACATGCGTTGCAAACTGACTCACAGTCCAGCACTTCACGAAGGCGCCGTGAACACCTTCGTTGTCGGTGAACACAACCACATTCTTGCCCTTAAGAGCTTTGAAGAAACACTTCAGCGCAACATGTACCGCCAAAGCCTCCAGCTCAAAAATGACGGTCTCTTTGACACGCTCAAAAGACGTCATGACTTGGGAAACAAGCGAAGCATCAAGGTTTTCACCGAACCATTGGAGCAAAGAGCCTTTATGGTCATAAGCCATGCCCCCGATGCCACAAAGCTTGCCCTCATCGCTGAAGGATGCGTCCACATACACATGCACGACATTGCCAAGTTGTCGACTAATCAAGCGGCTCTGGTTTGACGAAACCAAACGCCTCAAGAAGCGACACGCCTTAGAAGTGGCCTCGCTCAACCGACCTCCATGATGCCGGCTAAGCTGGTGCAGAGCAACCTTCGCCCTTCGACCGAACAACTGGCCGGAAGCAAACTGCAGCCTACCCCGAAGTTTCTCGCAGTCGGAATGCGACAACCTCTCGGCTAACAAGACTTCGTCCAAGGCAGCGGTTAACTCCATCACACGTTTTTCAGTGTTCGCCAGCTTGAAGAGTCCCAGGCGAGCCTCCGCCATGTCGATCTTGATTCCAAGGACTTTACAGCACACGTCATAGGGCAGAAGTTTATCTAGCGAAAGATCCCAACCTAGAATCCTGAAAAGCGTGCTGATGACGACCTCCACGTGTCGACGCTCCTCAGGCTTGCAAGCCGATAGAAAATCGTCAAAATAAAAACTCCAGACCAAGGCAAACATTTTTACCCCCAGCCGCCAAATTCCGAATGCACAACGGATGAAGGCAGTCACTGAGGCTTTCGCCCCGAAGGGCATGACCCGCTGCTTGTAGATGACATGCTTGCGAGTGCGGGGGCAGTAAATCACGAAGAAGCTATCCTTTTCGAAACTTTTGTCACTAAGCGGTAGTTGCTTGTATGCGGCACTGAGGTCCCAACATTTGCACACAAGTCCCTCACGCAAGGACTTCAAAGGAGACAAGTGCAACCACATCGCCAACATGCCAGCAACTACGTCCAACGTGTGGACGGGCACTTGTTCACTTTGGGACACAACCGAATTTACCAGCGAACTCAAGTAATTGTCGATTGGTCTCACTTTGGGACCCTCCTCGGTTTCTCCTTGGATCACTCCGAAGCGATGCGTGACCGTCCCATCAGCAGGGATGTCACTAGCACTCACCGGCCCCTCAATGAAGCCTTTGGACAACTCTTTCTCGGTGGCTGCCAGTACACCTCGATCCACGATCTCGTCCCCTGAACTTTTAACCGAAGCCAAAACCTGACCCCTAACTAATCCCGCACTTTTCCTAAGCGTTTCCTCGGCCATGGCTGCCGGGCGGTACTTATTCTTAAAGGCATTAGATCGGGGCAAGGGTCCGGTCAAGTCGAAACCGTTTGACAGATCAGAAATCAAGTCCTCGTCCTCGTGTCCCACACTGTCAAGCATCTCTTTCATCAAGAGCAGCCGCTTGTTGCACAACACTTGACGTCGATGGGAGCTGAAAGATCCCTTGAGCTGTTTTTCGGCAGTTTCCAGCTCCTCAGCGCGAGCAAGCCATTTCTTGAGCATCTCGGTGCGCTCGCGCCCAAGCGTAGCGACATCTTTGGAGTGATTTGCCCGTATGGCCTCAACAAGCTCTGATGGCAAAAGGCTTTCCAAGTGACAAGGATGTTGCACGCTCAACGCTCTCGCCACAAACTCCTCCGGTTCATGGTACACGCCGAAAACGATACTTCCTTTTTGTACTTTTGCAACCCTGGGAGGCACATCACTAGAACCAGAAGAGGGGCCTAAGGGAAAACCCAAATTTTCTAAGAACCCTTTGTCGGCAGTTGCAAGTTTGGTCACTCCCACTGGGGTGTATGCAACGATCACTCCTCTGTCACCTCGCCACGGTTGAGTAGCATGCCAACGCTTCGGTTCGAAGATAAAAGGCCTTCCAACTGCCAAGTCATGAAACCTCCCAGCACGCTGAGTTTTATCGACGACCATCGCAACAGGCCCACCTGCCTCCTCAAGCCACAGTCCACCGCCAGCACAATCATGCGTTGCCATGACCAGGTTTTTTGTCCCTGGCTCATTATGCAAATCTCGATGGGCCTCTGCGCGCACATTGCACAGGTAGCCCACGGCAGAGAAGCAAAAACCCGGAGCGTTATCACGAACATGCTTGCAAAGCACGGCAGTGCACCAAGGCATATCTCGTGTCAAGTTCTTGCAGCCCGTCATGGGCCCATGAGCATAGGCTCCACACAGAAACTGATTGGACTGTTCGTCACAGCTCCCCCTGGCTCTGGTCTGATGTTTTTGCGGCAACATGTCCAGAAGAGTTCGCATCTCCTCTTGGCTGAAGCGAGTGTTCCACTGCAACATGATGCAAGCAAGCTTCTCAGCTGGGTGAGCATCTTCGGGCGGAGCAGAAAGGCTCGGCAATACACGGCCAGCCTGAGCTGCACTCAAGTTGTCCGGAGCATCCTCTGACATTTCCCCCGGCACCGTGAGGATGCGAAGGATTTTGGAACCTTGTGGCACCGACGACACAAAGCACGGGTCAACACTTGCAGATGCAGGTACCTCCCACGATGCAGGGAGTTTGCAGCCTACTTGAAGACCTTGCATAGACGCAGCAGGGAAGCTGCCACGAACATTCACAACATGCTTGAACTCCGGAACCAGAGGAAGGACACGCTTGTTGCTCTGCCACCCAGCAACAGCTCTGGCCGCTGCAACTGTGGCTGTTGTCTGACTTAAGTCAGTAGGCAGAGGCTTGGCCCCCATGTCAAGTAGTTGATCTTGCAGAAGCTGTGACATTGCCTTGCACAAACCCCAAGGAAAATCCAAATCACGGTCGAACTTGCAGCCCACACCCTTAGACCAAAACTTATGTACATGTCCACCGGCGCATGGACGATGCAACTCCAAGAATTTTGGTAGTGAGTGCAGCATCCGCATGGCCTTCTTGAAGGGCGATTCGAAGCTGCAAAGGTGAAAGTGCGTTGTGAAGAGAGGAACTTCCTGAAGCAAAAGTCGCAAAGGCTTGGTAGCCCACATAAAACTTGACTCTGGGTTGCAGATACTGAAAAGGACTCCGCGTTCGTGACATGTTTTGCAAGCTGCAGCCACAGCACGCAGGTAAGCATTGGCATCACTCACTCTAGTACGATCGGCTAGCCCCAACCCTGGAACTCCGTCAGGATGGGTTTCGTTCCGAAGGATTGCAGGGGCTCCTGCAAATTGACGCAATCTGGCACGGCTTGTAGTATTACTGGGCGGATAGAAATGAACATACATCAAATTTTCTTCGGTCAAAATCTCCTGGAACTGCTTGCGACCCGACTCTGTACACAAGTCAACAACAATTCGTGGTGCACAGCACTTGCCGGCTGTTCTATCAACGGAAAAACTGTTATCAAGCTGACGCTGCTTGAGGCATGCAGTCAATCGCCCCGACCCCGGCGAGACCTCCAAGACGAGACATTCATCTAAAGAGACCCCCTTAACCCTAGCCATCACTTTTTGAAGATAAGACTCAGGCTCCGGTACAGCCGAGGCGGCTGGCTGTCACTTCCGGTGCTTGGGCAACGGATGCGCCTTGAAGCAATTTGGCTCGCAACACAAGTGCCAGCCGCGAGGACACTCCTCGCCGTCAGCGGCATTGGGACACCCATCAATGTTGTATGCCCAACACAGCCTCTTCCCTTCGTTGGTCTCGCTGGCTTTGCCGACCAGCTGCTTCGGCATTTTGATGAATTTGGCTCCTTTGACTCCTGGCTGATCCTTGCCTTTGCCCTTTCCTTTGCCCTTGCCATTCTTTTTCCACTTGGTCGAATCATCGGTCTTTTTGGCATCATCTGTCCACTTCCGCTTGTTATCATCGGTTTCTCCACCTTTCAACGGCAACAAGTGGAAGCTGATGCTGGGATCCTGAAGAATGTTCTCAAGGGCTCGATCCAGAGGCAAAGCCCCATCAGGCTGACGCTTGATCGAGGGTAGGCTTTCGGCAATGCGAGTGAAAGCTGCCCTGTCTGCCCTAAGCACTTGTGCCACCGAAATCTTTACGTAAGTAGGCGGTGGCAACTCCTGCAGTCGATGGATCAACGACGAGTGATACCGATTCATGGTGTCATAACTGGCGCACTTGACTAAATCAAATGCTAAGGCTCGCCGCCTCAGAGCCTGCGTAAGCTCAAGCTCGGTCCCTGTCGTGCAGGTTTGATGAGGCACCTTGTCTCTCACCGTCACACTGTTCCCGTCGATGGTGAGCTCCTTCCCGGGCTTCTTACCCTGAAGTTCGGACTGTCGGGTCGGAAACCTGTCTGGCCCTAAGTACGTCAAGGAATCCGCGGACAACATGGCGTACACCAAGTCGTAAGAGGCATGGCTAGGCTCTTCGACTCCACGATGCAAAAGGCCTGTGATCCTTGCACGCTGCTCTGTGATGCGCTCTTCCCTCTCTGCTGTGGCAAGCGTCGAAGGTGCTCCAGAATCCCCCCTCTGAACCCGAGTTTTTAACTCTTGGACTACGAGGGTATGGGCCTCAAAGATCAAGCGCTTTGCTGCAGCCATCGTCCCTGCCGTGATGGGCGTTGCCCCGAAGAGCCGCTGTACCTGATCGTCGCTCGGTGACTGGCCCGGCGGAACTGTTGCAAAAGCTAATTTGGAAAGCGTATCCACTCCGGTCCCCGTCATCGTGGCCACATTGGCTTGAGTCAAGCCAATCTCTTTAGCCCTTGATGCGAAGGCCGCTGTAGATTCCGTTAACGAGCCCATGATCCCTCAGCAAGTCACCAGCACAGACTACCGAGCACAAGTCATGTCAAAACATGAAGTCACATGTCAGTTCACAACTCGCTCCTAACATGTGTCTCCGTCATGTCTCTACTCATTCGAAAAGCACACTCATGCCTGTTCACCAATGGTCTCCACTTGAGCAAAACTTCGAGCATAACATAGCTCCTCAGAAACTTGCACTCGCAACCGGACTTGACTGCCAGATGAACTTCATCTGCTCTTCAAGCGCACTTCGCTTTCTTTTGCCCCACGTGGACAAACTCGATCACTTCTCTCTACAGTTCATGATCTGCTGCAGCGCGACATTCAAGCTGCCAACATCTCTAACAGGACGACCCGAATCGCACTGCTTGCACTTCCGCAACTCAAGGAAAGGCACACCACTGACTTCCACATGATCATTGGTGAGGGCCCTCCCACAAATAAAAAGCCCATCTGAACTCCCAGCACTCATGAGATGCACAACACCAGTCCTAGAATGTTTGTACATGGTGGCCTCAGGCCTCCAGGTGCTAGGCTTGCTCGCTGGATGTCGGAAGTCCTCGCCCTTGACCCATTCATCTCCGGACTCAGGCTCCGACTCACTGGAGCTGTCGCTCGATTCACTCTCGCAGTCCTGTTCTCCGCAAGCTGCAGAGACCCCTGAAGGATTGGCAACAGCATCGACCTTCTCGAACGACTCAGTGGTCCTGCCTAACGATCTCTCCTCATCAGAAGCCGCACTCACAGGCACGATCGGTGATGCAGTTTCATCTTCTGATACTTCGACTTTAACAATCGGACGATCGGCGAACCGTCCCGATCTGCTCAAGTCAGGCATGAACACACCTCGCCTGATGCTTCCTAAAATTTCGGTGTATTTCAAGAGGGCTGGCGCAAGGTTGTCGCGCCCATAAGCATCCAAGGATCCGTCGCCACTGCTGTGGTGTCCTAATCGCAGGCGGGTATGCTTATCCATTCCAAACTTAGAGCACCAGCTCAAAGAAGTCCCTTTGATGGCATGCGAAGTCGACGACTCAGGCACATCACACCCGGCCTTGTCAAGTAACGCACGCATCCACTTGGTGACCTCTCCTGAATCGACGCATCGTCGAGTCCAGCCCCCCTTCTGATCAGGCGCAGGTAGCACGGGTCCTACTCGGGTGGAACTAAAACCCAAACCTACCTCATCTGCAACCTTGGCCCATGTCACAGCCCAAGCCGAAGATGTAACACCCAGCGCGGGCGCCACCAAAGGCATGCTGAAGCCTGTATGCGCCACAGCATTGGCCGTCTTGTGATCTCGGGTCTTGCACTCAATGAAACCTTCGCCTCCGCTTACAAGTTCACTGAAGTCAAGGAACCAACCGAAAGTCTTTCGCAAATCCGAAACTCGGCTCCTGGAAAAGATCCCAAACAAGATGGCACCGCAGGCATAACGATCAAAGCTATTGACCGATTCATCTTCAAGCAAACGTTCCAGGGCTGCAACATATGCCACAGGCAGGACTGTGGCCTGCTTCCGCTCTGCCTTGGTCAACTGTGCCTGACCAATAAGACCTTTACTCCAATGGCTCCACACAGTGCTTTGCTTTGGTCCTATGACGGACTCATCGACAGCAATGCCGACCACATGTATTGCAAAATTCACACACTCCTGGAAACTGGTGAAAGCCCCGGCTGGCCGCTTCTCTCTCTTCAGGTGCTTCAAGTATCCATCCAGATGCGAGGACTTGAAAGGGAAAAGGTCACTGCCCCTGCATTCCTTTCGCCCCCATGAGAGGTATCCCATGAGGGCCGATCCCCTTTTCATGACTGTACTGCCACTCTTTCGCCCAAAGAGTTCACGCAAAGTTTCAATTGCGTCATCAGTTTTTTGGATGGCAACCGTTTCTCCGATATATGACGAACCAGGGCACTCAGTAAGAATGACCAGCCACTTCTCAAGAGCACGTCGCCATTGAGCCTCCTCCTTTTCCTCGTAACTGTCGTAGGCCCTTGAAGAAATAGCAACCCTGAAACACTCCCCACTCTCAGGCATCTGTCGCGCACGCTTTGCCGGTGGCTCGGCAACAAGGTCTGAAGGCTGGATACTGGAGCTGGACACAGCAGGCACTGGTATGTGCTTCGGGAGACCTGCCAAAAGCTTTGTTACTGAATCATCTTCTCCAAAGACCAAACTCATGCTCTCCTGCTCCCAAGGCAAAGGAATGTCTACTACACTCCTTCCCAGAGCAAGCACGGAATCCCCCAAAGCATCGTTAAGCAAGCTGCTGTCAGCACAATTGACCACTTCCCTTGCAGACTCTCGATCGCGCACACAAGCTTCTCGCTGCTCACTATCTATTTCTGAAGGCACGAAAGCATCAAGATGCGAAGGCAAAGGCCGCCCTGTCCCTGCCTCCTCAAGCTCCTCGCAAAGACGCTCAAGATGCTTATCAAACCCCAACTCACTTTCAGCAGGCAGCGGCTTGCCGAAAAGGGCCAGGTTGAAAGTCGAACCTGTTACGCCTCGGGGTCCCCGTTCGACACAAAACTTTTTTCCGGACTTATGCCGGAAATTTTTTTCTTACCCTCCCACCACCCTGTGGAGCCAACTGACGGCATGGTAAAGACTCATGGAGATTCCTCATAATGAAAGATCCTAAAGCCTAAAGACTGCAAGATGCCTGAGCTAAGGATGCTTATCGAATTGGGGGCAATATACGCTTCCAGCTGCACTCGAATCTCTCTGTAAACTTGGGTTCCAGAGGGCCCCGCTTCGAAACAAGGGAACCAAAGCTCTAGCAACCCATACCTAGTTATCTCCATAGTCTGGTCGTTTGCGACACTTACAAAGAGAGGCTCAACCTCAAGCTCACGGATCAGCTTCGCAGTCACTCCAAGCATGTCTTGCGAAACAAGGTGAACACTCCCACCGCTATCAATCAGGAGATACGAGGGGTCGTCCCTAGTGACTGCAGGAAGTGCCAAAGTCGGAAAAGCGAGGCACTCTGAAGACCGATCCC